AGAGAAAGAAAGTCAGTGGTCACACAAGTTTTTGGTCGTCCCTGAAACGAAGATCGTTCCAGGGGGGGGAGCTAAAATCTCAGCCGACTGACGCTATGCATACACATGTACTTCGTACTTGCATGCGATTTTCGTCGTCCATTCATTTCGGAGGGTGGAGAGGAGGTCCGAGTACGAAATGAATGATGTTTTTTCAGGGATGACTAATCACTTTTGCGATGACCCCTTATTGCATCAATTGATCGTCTGAACTGCGCAATTGAGTCCCACTTTAATTATGTTGGGTCCAGATTTCAAAACTCGTGAAGTTCGAGGCGAAAAGCAGGCCGATGAAGGGACGCCAGTAATTCAGTCTGGTCCGGTGTCATGGAGAGGGACCGATGAACCGGCAACAAGAGAATTCAATACGCATGCTACTCTTCAGTTCATTGCTGGGGAAGACTACTCAAGGCCACGTCACTCCGGCAATTCAATGTACAAATCAGCAGCAACACTTGCAAACGTATTCCTACCAGCTGACCAGCAAGTTACCAGCCATCAGCTCTTCAAATAACTCCAACTTAACAAAGAGAGGAGATGGACAGATCGGAAAGTATCGTGGCAAGCTCAGGACAACACACGTCCGGCCCTATGTAACAACAGTGGAAAGTGCGTGCCATGGTATATTTTCGAAGGCATATCAAGAACCAGCTAATGTGGACTGGGAGCGTCAGGCGAAATAGCACGTCATCGTACATTTGAGATCAGCGGGAAGAAGATGACGACGTCCACTAATTTAGTATCTGTGCACACGAATCTGCCGTGTGTGTGACTCTGTGTGTCAGCTATGGCATCATCGCCTGTGGTTCCATGCCTAGCATGTACGTCTGAATCATCCTGCAAAGTTTGAATGACGTAGGTTGAGCGATCGCTCCGCGAAATATACTTTTTGAAATTCTCTTCATAGTATATCTTCCACCATTGAAATTTCGAATTTCTTCAAAAAAAGTGCTGAGAGGGGTGGCTTGCAACCTCGATATGGCTTGTTCCAGGCATGGTTTGGAGCCATCTTCTGTTGAAGTAGTGGCGGGGATCTGCCCTGCAACTGCTACAACAAAAAATGATTCGATCTGAGAAAGGGTGAGACCGCGAATCTCGGTTGAATATTGAGTATTTCAAGCCTTTTCACGACGAAGATGGAGTTCTTTTTTGGAGATGGACGTCGCGGCAAAGAACATGGTGTCCGACGTCTGGCGTCTGGTGAAGCCAGGGATCATTTGTCCAGTCAGGTCGGCAGCCTAACCGTCGGTAAGCTTGTGTTTGGATCCCGTTCTGCTCGATGTGGTAGATCACAAACAATTTGATATCGCACAAATTGATCTCAGCATCGTGCGTACGGTATTTTATATTCAGAAAATCCCAAAGTGTCTCTGTGTGGCCGTCCTATGCCACGAGAAACTCCAATCAGGCTCCTATGTCCTCTGCCTTCATGATTGAATGTCCACTTCGTTTGAACAACGAACACAACAATCGAGGACGGCTTTGCAATGAAAAATACAGCTATACTGGAGCTGAAAAAAGAAGAAAAAAACGTGCTCAGGATGAGACTCGAGTACACGCATACTCTCCCAGCAGGTGAAACGCAATTTTTTGTGAAAAATGCGTGACGCCGACTGACCAGTAATTTCGCCTGACGGTCCATTTGCATCGTCCGATCAGCTGCTACAAGTGCCGTGAGCCAATGGCAAACACGTTTGACAGAGACTACTACCTCTACTGAATGCAACTTTGGCATGGCAGAGATCTACAAGCACGTTATCGTGTCTATCAATAGAGTTGCATCCTCATACGACTATGTGAAGTGTGAGGTCGTACTGTACTGCGTCTACGACCTGGTTGGAAATGTATGCAATAGTTCCCACCCTCTTGACCAGAGATCGCACACACCCTAGGGTTTTGATGGGTTTGTACGACTCCCAGCTCTTGACTTTTGTTGGGTGTACGAGACGCACGCACAGTTTTCTTAGGGGGAGTACTTTTTCATGTAGTACTGAATGCGGCAAGCAGGACTCGCCCATCCGCCCCTCCCCAAATGGATCTACTCGAATGGTTGCGGAGGTAGGGGTGCTCTGGCGGGATTTTACGACATACACAAGCGCGCACACACCCACACAATATACACACGCACGCACACACATACACACGAACGCACGCTATGTCGCACGTCTTGGGCATGGCTTCGTGAATACAATAATTTAATGTTATAATTTATAGTATCCAAATGTTAGAGTAGCTTTACAAAACCTACCGTTCAATACCGGATCATCTTGTGACAGCTTCCTTGCAACACCCATGACTTGACCCCACTTCGTCTTGACGTCGGGAAATCGTTCACACCGGAGTTGGGACACGACTCATTGAAATCCAGGCCTATCTGCAGCTGGGAGCAGGACAGAGCTGATGGACGTCAGCAGCGGCTGTAGAACAACCATAAACGAGTCTTCTTTCTCCGCAGTCAGGCGGGACAGCAGCTTTGCAACGCAAGCTTCTTGCCTTCTGTGGGTCTTTAGCGGCTGGGATTCGGAACGCTCTGTAGAAACCATTGAACAAGTACTGCACTCTATCAACCCACAAGTATTTCTTCCAATTCATGATTATTCGCAACTTTTATGCAGTACGCGCACCAGATCAGAAGCCGCTAAGTAGCAAGGTTGAAATAGTTTCAAGACAAATTGAAAAATATAATAAGGCCAAACTAAAGAAGGTGTGTGGTTCGACTCACCCGACCGACCGTACAATTTCAGCCCGACCGTAACTTTTTTTCGGCGGGCTGTCGTGTGACTGACGTACGTGGACTGAACACGTCCACGTCTACGTGCTGTGCGGCGTGAGTCTGCGGACGCAGGCGGCTCCTATTGGACTTGACTTGTAGTTGTACTGCAGTGCAGTGCAGTGAGTGGTACGACTGCTGCCTTTGTGCTGGTAGTAGAGTCTACTCGATACGCGTATACAGTGTATTTACATGTACTAAAAAATATATTAAAAAAAAAAATCCGCCCGCCCGCCCGTAAAAAAAATGTCCATGTTAGTCGAACCACACACCTTCTTTAGTTTGGCCTAACAGAAAATTAGAATTCAAACCATACGGCATACCTGTGGCCCAAGTCAATACAGACTGAGCGTTCACGCGAAGAGAACGTAGATCTACGTCAGCTGAGGTTTCCTTAGGATCAGGAGGTGATTCTTGACCCGGATCTGGATCGCGATCAGCAGCACTCTCTGCCTCCATCACGATCATCAAATGCAACTAATTACTTGGAAAAGTAGTTCATTCTTGTTCTTCTTTTCGAGCTACGATTTCCCACGATCCTATCAGTATCGATCCTGCACGAGTCAAGGTCAAGGATCCGAAGGAGTGCACTCCCGGATGCATAAGTACGCGGAGTAGTTGGTTTATAACTCAGGGCACGCACCGGGGATATCTGAGGGAAAAGTGGGAGAAAGTGCCGCGAGTCAATCATAGTCGGCCCGGAAGGCCTCGTGACCCCGTGTCGCCTCCCGCGACTCCCTGGTACAACTACAACAGACAGTACAAGAGCTAGCGGCTAGCATGCATGCTATGTACAGTAGCAGCTGACGTCAGGATTCTTGGCTATGCATGCCTTTATATTTTGGGCTTTATGGCCATGGCCATTATGGCCAAACGTCTGATCTGAGCTGTTCAACTTCAGGGCTCACAGTCGGTATGCAGGATCGACAAAAGCGTCGTGCGAGGGCGGGTTTGGTGCACGTGAGTCGCGTGACCCCACGAGAGCACGATCGTGTACATCCTACGCATCCCAACAGAACAAAGAAGAGAAAGAACCTTGGCTTGAGTAGCCTGTTCTTGTCTTGCAGAGCCGATGTTCGCGATATTTTGGTCGGACCTGTCCTTTCCTCGCCTTCTCTTGGCATGCAGTGTCAAACCATTCTCGTTTCCGTTCGTCTCGATCTTGTGCTTTTACGATCGTGCATACTCCAGTGGAAATAGTTTGCTTTATTATTTGCACTGGGAATTGCACTGCAACACTGAACAGTTACTGCCAGCCCTCGGCAACGACTTGCCTTTCACTGTGCCTTGTAGAATTGGTCCACCGAAGGAGAAGGCGACAGGCAACCTGTGCTAGTCCCAGGAAATTCATGTCATGTAGCCGCTGTTCGACCAAATGCTGATGCTACAATGAGCGATCGCGATGTTCCACAGGTAAGAAGACAAACAAACGAGTCAGAGCTCGCCAGGCAGGTAACGCCGAGAACATACCACACAGAGCTGCTGATCGGATGGAGGCGAACGGGACCAGCAAATCCGCCAGGCGTTAGTTGAGGGCCACTGAAGGCCAGGTTTCCAGAGGTACCAGTTCCTCCATGATGGCGAAATGCGCTGCCACAAGAACTCCAGCGAGAACGAAAGCACAGCAACCAACTCCGCGGGCGAACTGAGGAGAGAACACTGAAAAATCTGTGCGCAATGATTTTCTGTTGGACGGCGCGCGCGTTGCTGTTCCGCTGCATGCATGCGTTTTTCTTGTTGTTTGATCTGGTGCTGCTTTTGCACTTTTGGCGTTCTGCGCGCTGAGTGGCACTCACTCAAAAATGTCCACTACATCTCATTCTTGGCGGATTTTGATCATCTATGGCTTATTTTTTTCAGCGTGGAATTCTCCAGACATTTACCGATCACTTTTCCGATTGCTGTGCCGAAATCGAAGCCAAAACGACCAGACTTTGGCTAATCCGTGCCGGAAAACTGGAAGGAAAATGGTGAAACGCTGCGGTAGATCACTGAGTTTGGGGGTTTTGAATCAGCATAGCGAATCCCAGCTTCGTGGACATCAGGGCCGATGTAGTGGACTAGATCAAAGATTTGAGAATAGAGGAGAATAGAGGCCTGTGATTGGTCAGTTGTCATCACGTGACATCCGCGCAAAGCCGTGCGCGACTCGACGCTTTTGTATTGGACTGTGAGCCCTGAACTTTTACTTCAAGTAAAAATGGCCAAGTAAAAGCACAAGATGCACAAAATGCCACGATGCTGAAAAAGTAACCTATAAAAAATATGTCATCGCGTCTTGAGAGAAGATTGAGAGTCGCATCCAGTCGACTAGTCCGACGGCTCCAACTGTACTTTCTGGCAGTGAGCCCTCTTGTGCTATTCTCTATTCTTCGTTTTATCAGTTATAGTGATGTTCCTGCGTTGGTCCACTACCTAGTTTTGGCCTTGGCAAACTGGCGAATATGGAGTTTGTTTCGTGCAATGACGGTGAAAGTTTTGTTTGCGTCGTGCAAGACGAAACTACAGCGGACTTTCACAGCTCCAAGCATCGAACTACGTGCACTCCGACAACTACCGTGCGCAGCTTCTATCAAGAGGTCGCTAGCTTAGCGCATTACATGATTGATACGTTTGTGTTGGTCTGGTGCAATCCGAACGGTTCGGATGAACGACTGATTCCTGACTCCACAACAACATTGGGCGAGCTAGGCCTATCGGGCAAACGGCAGAACTTCCTGCTGTCCCAGAAAGATGGTATCGACCCAGTGAAGAGCTTTGTGAGCGTCAATGAGCAAGGCGACCGTACCAACATACACGCCGGTGAGAGCAATGGAAATAGCCTCTATCCTGAAGATCAGACCACTCCAGTCTCTATGAACTTGGTGGCGTTGGGAACGGATGATGACACTGTGAGCTCGACCACAGGTACGTACGGCAGCGACGGCGGCGGTATTGCCAGCAGCAGCAGCAGCAATGCAAAGACAGAGTATGTGGGACTGGTGAACCAGGCAATGACATGCTACCTGAACAGTCTGCTGCAAACACTGTACATGACGCCGGAATTCCGCAATGCCATCTACCGATGGCGCTTCGACGGCACACCGGACGAAGAATCGCGCAGCATCCCGTTCCAGCTGCAGAAGCTCTTCGCCAACCTGCAGACGTCCACAAAGGATGCGGTGGAAACAACGGACGTCACGAAAAGCTTTGGCTGGACAAGCAGTGATGCATGGCAACAGCATGATATCCAAGAGCTGTGCCGCGTTATGTTTGATGCACTGGAGAAGAAGTTCAAGGGAACAGACCAAGACAATCTCATCAAGCAGCTGTATGAAGGTGAAATGCAGGACTATGTCAAGTGCCTGGAATGCGGCCACGAAAGTGCAAGGACCGATACATTCCTGGATGTGCCACTGGTGATTAAGCCGTTCGGTGCCAGCAAAGCCTGCGGTAGTGTTGAGGAGGCTCTGAAAGCGTTCGCCACACCAGAGACCCTGGACGAGTCAAACCAGTACATGTGCGATAAATGTGACAAGAAGGTGGACGCGCACAAGGGACTGAAGTTCCTGAGCTTCCCGTACCTTCTCACGCTGCAGCTGAAGCGATTTGATTTTGACTACACAACGATGCATCGCATAAAGCTGAACGATCGCGTGACCTTCCCACACAGGTTGGATCTGAGCAACTTCATTGGCAAGGACGGCGGCGGCCACGGCGTGGCGAGTCGTCACTGTGACACTGCTTGCCAACAGACTGGACAAACTCCTCCTAGCGCTGCCGCGACAGGTCTCACTGGTGATGATGACGTCGCGGTGACATCAACAATCGGTGAAGCGTCGTCATGCTCTGCAGCGGCGGAAGGCCAGCAGCCTGACAGCTGTGATCGTGAACACCATGCCGCGGCGAACGAGAAGGAACTTGCGTCACCGACACCAAGCAGCAGCGATGAGTCCAGCCCAGCACATGAGTATGAGTTGTTCTCCATAATGGTTCACTCGGGGAGTGCGAGTGGTGGCCATTACTATGCCTACATTCGCTCCTTCAAAGATGGCGAGTGGTACAGTTTCAATGACACAACGGTGAAGGCGATTTCTGACCGAGATATTGAGAGTACGTTTGGCTCTGGGACCAGCTCATCGTTCTATTCCTACTCTAGCATGTACAGATCATCAGCTAATGCGTACATGCTCATGTATAGACAGGTGAGTAGCTCCAACTGCATTGAATACATGTGTGTATACGGAACGGGCAAACTCAGTGTTCTGTATGCAATTCTGATTTCATAGACTTCAAGAAAGGCAGGCAGGCACAGTGGGTTGGTCTAAGACCATGATTGAAAAACGTGAGGTACCAGGTTCAAGTCCTGCTTGAAAGCGGAAGGATTTTTTCCAGCCATGCTGCGACCCACAGTGAACTGGAAACTTGTGGCCTGGCATGAGGAGAACATGCATGTGGCAAATGGGATTCAGCCTTTGGCCTCTGGTTGGTGGATCTGATCTATCCCCCACCATTTAGGAGCCGTACCTGATGCCTGATAATGGGACGGTGGCTTCCCACGGAAGCGGAAAAGGCGGTTCTTGACCCACCCTGTCGCGAACCCCTGCAATTATTTTTCAAGAAAACTTCCACGCACGCAAGTGCATGACTTTGAGCTTGTTGCTGCGTACACGCCAAAGGTGCGGAAGCAGCTCCATGACCTCCTGGAAGAGGCAGAACGGTATGGAAAGCACCAAAACTTCCAAAAGACAACTTGCATCATGTGAATTACTGAAGAAACAAAGAACTCGCGCTCCTGCATTTCAGTATCAGTTGGGTTTGTTGGAAATGGAATACGCTTCTGTCATAGCCTTTGGTCAAATTTAGTACTACCTTACTATGCCTACATTCGCTCCTTCAAAGATGGCGAGTGGTACAGTTTCAATGACACAACGGTGAAGGCGATTTCTGACCGAGATATTGAGAGTACGTTTGGCTCTGGGACCAGCTCATCGTTCTATTCCTACTCTAGCATGTACAGATCATCAGCTAATGCGTACATGCTCATGTATAGACAGGTGAGTAGCTCCAACTGCATTGAATACATGTGTGTATACGGAACGGGCAAACTGTTCTGTATGCAATTCTGATTTCATAGACTTCAAGAAAGGCAGGCAGGCACAGTGGGTTGGTCTAAGACCATGATTGAAAAACGTGAGGTACCAGGTTCAAGTCCTGCTTGAAAGCGGAAGGATTTTTTCCAGCCATGCTGCGACCCACAGTGAACTGGAAACTTGTGGCCTGGCGTGAGGAGAACATGCATGTGGCAAATGGGATTCAGCCTTTGGCCTCTGGTTGGTGGATCTGATCTATCCCCCACCATTTAGGAGCCGTACCTGATGCCTGATAATGGGACGGTGGCTTCCCACGGAAGCGGAAAAGGCGGTTCTTGACCCACCCTGTCGCGAACCCCTGCAATTATTTTTCAAGAAAACTTCCACGCACGCAAGTGCATGACTTTGAGCTTGTTGCTGCGTACACGCCAAAGGTGCGGAAGCAGCTCCATGACCTCCTGGAAGAGGCAGAACGGTATGGAAAGCACCAAAACTTCCAAAAGACAACTTGCATCATGTGAATTACTGAAGAAACAAAGAACTCACGCTCCTGCATTTCAGTATCAGTTGGGTTTGTTGGAAATGGAATACGCTTCTGTCATAGCCTTTGGTCAAATTTAGTACTACCTTACTATGCCTACATTCGCTCCTTCAAAGATGGCGAGTGGTACAGTTTCAATGACACAACGGTGAAGGCGATTTCTGACCGAGATATTGAGAGTACGTTTGGCTCTGGGACCAGCTCATCGTTCTATTCCTACTCTAGCATGTACAGATCATCAGCTAATGCGTACATGCTCATGTATAGACAGGTGAGTAGCTCCAGCTGCATTGAATACATGTGTGTATACGGAACGGGCAAACTGTTCTGTATGCAATTCTGATTTCATAGACTTCAAGAAAGGCAGGCAGGCACAGTGGGTTGGTCTAAGACCATGATTGAAAAACGTGAGGTACCAGGTTCAAGTCCTGCTTGAAAGCGGAAGGATTTTTTCCAGCCATGCTGCGACCCACAGTGAACTGGAAACTTGTGGCCTGGCATGAGGAGAACATGCATGTGGCAAATGGGATTCAGCCTTTGGCCTCTGGTTGGTGGATCTGATCTATCCCCCACCATTTAGGAGCCGTACCTGATGCCTGATAATGGGACGGTGGCTTCCCACGGAAGCGGAAAAGGCGGTTCTTGACCCACCCTGTCGCGAACCCCTACAATTATTTTTCAAGAAAACTTCCACGCACGCAAGTGCATGACTTTGAGCTTGTTGCTGCGTACACGCCAAAGGTGCGGAAGCAGCTCCATGACCTCCTGGAAGAGGCAGAACGGTATGGAAAGCACCAAAACTTCCAAAAGACAACTTGCATCATGTGAATTACTGAAGAAACAAAGAACTCACGCTCCTGCATTTCAGTATCAGTTGGGTTTGTTGGAAATGGAATACGCTTCTGTCATAGCCTTTGGTCAAATTTAGTACTACCTTGGGGCGGTGCTCATTTACGGATCTCATTTGGCTGCGGAATAGTGAACCTACCCTGACACGAGACATGGTATGGCCTCATACGGATACGGGTACAGTGTGTGATAACCATGGTTACCCGGGTCCGACTGTTTTGCGTCATGTATAGTGCTTTAAGCAGCTGGAAGAATTGACATTCATAGCAAACTCTTCGCTTCTTTTGCTCTGTGTTCTGGAATGATTTGCTTTCAGGTCAACGCAGAACGCAATGCCATGCCGTTAGAAACAGCCATGTTACCGGAACATGTAACAGAGGTGATAGGCCGTGTTGCTCGCGAAGAAGAAGAGGAGCGCATTCGTGTGGAGCGGGAACGTTCTACTCTGAGAACCAGAATCTACTATGATGATCCCGGCCATGACAAGCTTGTTGGTCGGCAGATTGCGTTTCATAACGAGCTGCCACTTGGCGAGGCACTGGTGGAAGCCCATAAGTAAGTTCTGTTTACCATATCGAGGGTATGTGTGGTCTGAAATCCTCATTTCTCACTTCCCTATCATAATTTTCTTCACTTGTTTCACCTGTATATTGGTAGAAGCCCCTTTCGGTAGGTGTCTTTTGCCTTTGGGGAATTCTGGAATGGATCAATAAAACATTTCCGCCGTTTTCATGTATCCGTGTCTGATAGTGCTTGGGGTGTGAGCAGTGGTCAGGTGCGTACGCTGGTAACTAACGTTACCCTATGTTCTAATTCTCTGCTCTTAGGCTGTGGGAGCTTGATGCGGGTATTGTACCGCTGGAGAGATGCCGCTTAGTGAAGTACGATTCCTTCTACGAAGTTCCGAGCAAATCCCTGGACCATCTAGATGTGTCAACACCTCTCTCCAAGATTGCAGCAACTCCATTCTCTTCAAGTGAGACACTGGCCTTCATGCTGGAAGCACGTTGTGAGAATGAAGAGTTTGAGGAATACCAGTCGTCCGATGATTGCTGCTTCCTGAAGGTGAGGCAGTTTGAGTAGTATGGTGACTATTGCAAATGCATGTGGCCCATGCAGATGCATATGGAACATGCAGATGCATACATGTATGCACTGGATATTCTTTGAATGCTGCTTGACTTTCGGTTTGACGGAAATCCATGATAGGACATAGAAGTTGAACAGGGATGATACTTGATGACCGGGTTTCCTGTTTGGGCCCAGGAACATGGAATTTGTGTGTTCACAGCCAGCTGCATGAGAAGACGTATTACAGTGTGCTTGTTATGCAAGAGTCTGCCCTTGGTTTGGCTGACTGCAAGCAGCTGTTGTGTTAGTGTCCTACCCACTATTCATGCAGAAAGTGAAAGGAATTGCATTGCTTCAAGGCTTTAAAACAAAAATTCTCTTTGCTGTTTTCGGTTCTGTGTGTTATTGTTGATGTTGTAGATCTTCTATGTGGACCTTAGTGCTGAGACAGTGACACGAAAGCCAATGATCTGTGCTGATCTGCAATGGACGGTGCATGACTTACGTCTATACCTTGCAAAGAAGTTCAAGTGCAGTGTGGAAGGAATACGTTTGCTTGCGGACCGATACTACTCTGCTCCTCAGCTGATGACCAAGGAGACATCAACTCTGAAAGCGCTTGGTTTCTACGTCTCTAACAAGATCTATGTATCTGCAGCCTACACTGAAGACCAACTCCAAGATGTGTTAGTTCCGTACGAGACGTCTCGCCTGCAGGGCATTGTGGACACTTGCCTTCATACGTTGCTGCTAACTGTCACGTTGCCATCAGAAGAGGCCATTTCCAGGTATCGGAATGCTACCGTAGGCCAAGAAGCAAGCCAAAGCCAACCGACCTCCAACGGAAACACAGCTCGGACAATCTGTCTGGCAATGGACAACCGCAAGACTATATCTGATGTGAAGGAGAAGCTCTCCGAAGAGATCCAGCTCCCTGTTGAGTCGTTCAAACTACACAGAGCATATGGCACTGGTCAGGAGTTTGAAGTGACCCGACCAACGGAGCTGCTAACGCAATATGACGGCAAAACCCGCATCCGCGTCAGCCTTGGCAGAGCGCTGCGAATCGGTGAGTACCGTGTGAAGGTACACCTGTTTCAGCTCGACAATCCAGCCCAGGAGGAGCAGGAGAATGGAAGTTCTCCTGCTGCAAAACCAGCACTAACTAATGGTACAGCAGAGTCAGCAGCATCGGCAACGCCACCACTCCTAATTGCAGCATCAGGAGCTAACGGGTCGGACGCAAAAACAGCACCGCCATCGCCAGCAGCAGATGAGCCAACTGAGACGACCGCTCCCATTGAAGAAACTGCAAAGGCCACAGCAGCAGCAGCTGTTACAGCGCAGAAACCGATGGCAAAGTACGAGGATGCGCATGAATCTTACCTCCTGTGCACCAGCGTGGTGAGCAAAGGAATGACCGTGCTACAGTTAAAGAAGAATATTCTGAACGATTCCTCGACATCACTTCCATCATCCATGCCACGTGACCCATCCAGGCTGCGCCTGCGAAAGCGTTGCTGGAAATATCCAGCGACCGTTCTTCTCGACACAATGAAGTTTGAAGAAGACATCAGTGTTTACACTAACTGGGATGTCTTCCTACAAGTGTTGCCAGAACCGGAATGTATGACAAGTTCGTTGCAAACGATTGTCTTTGTTCGCAGGTGGAGGCCATCTTCATATTCGTTGGGACCATGGAAAGAGATCGTCTTGCACGACAAGTTACCCAACACACTGAAAGATGCTATTTCCGTCCTCTCAGCCATACCAGCCGAGCGTGTGAAGATTGCTCGCGGTCGTGGCAGTTTCCCGTGTGACACTGCATTGCTTGATATGCCCGATCAAGATTGGGACCCTGACGTTCGATCACTCGGAGACTACCCGGTCAACCTGTCGGACGACGGTGTGGTGTTCTTCTACTGTGACAGTGAGGAGAAGCTGCAGAATCTGAGCGATGAGCGGCGTAAAGACATACAGAAGCAAGATACCGCACGCTTTGGCAATCAGTCAACCGTATCCAGCTATTACTTCAGGGAGAAGGCACTGAAGATCTATACCAGTGTCGACGAGGACAATGACTCTCGCTAAGCCAACAAACACATACGCAGACAACTGTTGCGGCAGCAGCATCAGCAGTGCCAGCAGCATCAGCAGTGCCAGCAGCATCAGCAATGCCAGCAGCATCAGCAGCATTAGCAGTGCCAACATTAGCAGTGCCAGCAGCATCAGCAGCATTAGCAGTGCCAGCAGCATTAGCAGAGCCAGCAGCAGCATCAGCGGCAGCGCTGGCCGCAGTTACCCATGGACTAGCAGTTATACAACATAGTCCACAATTGTGGTGGTAAGTCCTGCGTGTTACCGGTTTCACTTGGATTTGGACTGGCCGCTGTGACTGTGTGTGTCAGGTGAGCCCCTGCTACTACCACTACCAGCGTCATTGTATAGCTATCAACACTGGTGTGTGTTTATGTCTCTCCCGTATATCAGTTAGTTCAGCTATCAGCACTGGTGTGTGTGTGTGTGTGTGTGTGTGTGTGTGTGTGTGTGTCTCTCCTGTATATCAGTTAGTTCTAGTTGCCCCCGTTTACCCTTGTAAAGTTATTTGTACTATATACGTCTGCAAGACATCAGTCTCGGCATTGTTTTCCGACTATTGTCTGTGTCCGGCGTACGTGTGTGTGTGTGTGTGTGTGTGTGTGTGTGTGTGTGTGTGTGTGTGCGGGTGTATGTGTGTGTGGTGCGTGCATATTTCCAAGCTTTCAAAATAGCCCGGCTGATTGTCTTGAGTTATGATGTTGACTTTGCACACCACAGTCTGTATTGTTTCTAGCACAACACACACTGCTTGTGGTGCTACGGCGCTGGTGTGACCTGCAAGACTAATAATATTATATACCTACAAGTCTCCTTGTTCATAAACGTGTCTTGTGTGTGGAGACTGAGTGAGCACTTATACATGCTCACACTTACTGACTACTATGTACAATGGCGTGTGTTTGTTTGTTTGTTTGTGCTGAGAATGCGTGTATAGGGCCGCATGTGGCTTCCTTTATCGCATACTGCACCATTAGCCGTCTCCGAGTGAGATGAGAATAGAAGAAGAATGTACTGTGGCTGTCTATACTGCCAGCTTATAACTGTGATTAGTATTGAAGGAGCACTGGTGCCTCATCATCACCTCTTTATCCCCCAAAGCAGTATGCAAAGCATCATGATTGTGATGTACTGGAGTGTAGTACATGTAGTGCCTGGCGCTCAGTGCCCAGGACCCGCCATGCTTTATTTCCTATGTACAATACATGTATGGGTCACCTATGCTTGCGTGTCAACCGTTGTATATAGGTGCTGCCAGCAGACTTACCCGTAGTCACTTTTTCAGTGTGTACGCTAATACTAGTAATAGTAACATACATGTGGAGAATCCATAAATACAAATACAAAATACATGTACATGTATTTGTCTACACGTCTAGGGAGACGTGAACAACTTGCCATACCTGCTGCAACTACATGTACATTGTATACGAGTTACGTGGGTCAAGCCTCAAGGGGTATACTCCACGGTACTCATACTAGTCATACAAAGCAGCGCAGTTTTGAGAAGACTACAAAATTAAAAATATAATTATTATTAATGATTACCGGTATGTAACTTACTTGTTCATTCATCATAGTGACACACCCCTCATCTGTGTCACCATGGTCACGCTGTCAAGGTTACGTGATTCGTTTACCTTCTGACTGTTCCGGCTGTTCTGTCAGTGTCACTATCACACTCACAGGCTGTCTGTGAACTGTATCATTTGCATGGCCAATGACAGTCTGGGGCCCATTCAAATACTTGAAATAGTTTCCTTGCGAAAGGATAGGAAGACTAAATGTCGCAACCATCTTCGAAAGAGTCTATCTACCTCCCGTGGATTATTGTTTGTCTGAGTTGGGAGGAAGAGAATGGCTCGGCGACCGCAGTCTGGCTTCGCTCGTCCAGGCACGGCACGTGCAGCTGGAACACGAGTGGAAATAACCAGTCCAACACTTCCCGACTTCGCAACGGTTGTCCGAGTAGCGCGTCCGGAGACACCAACCACTTCTGGACAGAGTGCAGAGGAAATGTGCGTATTTGCGACTGACGAACCTAGCAATACTGTTGCCAAGCGTCTAGTAATCAAGGACGATGCCCTTTCACTCGCTGGCCAGTTGATACCGGGAAGTGTCGAAGGTGGAGGAGGTGAGAGTGAATACGAATTTGATGCTGTTCTCCAATGGAAAGATGAACAGTAAGTATTCTACCGCAGCGTCGTTCAACATGTCGTGGAGCAAACGCTACAGGGTTATCATGGCTCGATCATTGCTATCGGTCCCAGGCACACAGGCAAGGCGTACAGCATGCGAGGTCCTGATCCTATCACTGAGGAGCACGGTCCGCGAGTTCGCTTGAACAGAGGTGCAATCCTACGCGCCGCTGAGCAAGTGTTGCATTGCCTACAAGTGTCGCGAGGAGCGGCACGAGGTTTAGTGGTCGTCGTCTCTTATGTGTGGATTTCGAATGAAGAAATATATGATCTGCTCAGTGCGAACGATCTAGAACCATCAGCTGATGCTCCCAGCTCAAAGCAGTCTAGCTCATGCCAGAGAATTGCTTTGGATGATGACGGGCAACTGGAAGGTCTTTCAGAGCACGTAGTGTCTACAGCTAGAGAAGTAGAACATTTACTGAGGCTGCGTTACTCTCTCTCTCTGATAGATTTCTCAATATTGCTGCTACAATACAGGTTATAAGTTGTGCGAGGTGTGGAATGTGCGGATGCTCTGTCGATTGCTGTGCTTTTCTGTATGATTCACCTCGCACAATGCTGTCACTCTATGAGGTGTTGTTTTCGCTGGACGTTTTTCTGTCTGTGTTCTGGACACAAGAGTGCAACCAGCCTTGCTGGTCAGTTAGTTCTAGTTGCCCCCGTTTACCCTTGTAAAGTTATTTGTACTATATACGTCTGCAAGACATCAGTCTCGGCATTGTTTTCCGACTATTGTCTGTGTCCGGCGTACGTGTGTGTGTGTGTGTGTGTGTGTGTGTGTGTGTGTGTGTGTGTGTGCGGGTGTATGTGTGTGTGGTGCGTGCATATTTCCAAGCTTTCAAAATAGCCCGGCTGATTGTCTTGAGTTATGATGTTGACTTTGCACACCACAGTCTGTATTGTTTCTAGCACAACACACACTGCTTGTGGTGCTACGGCGCTGGTGTGACCTGCAAGACTAATAATATTATATACCTACAAGTCTCCTTGTTCATAAACGTGTCTTGTGTGTGGAGACTGAGTGAGCACTTATACATGCTCACACTTACTGACTACTATGTACAATGGCGTGTGTTTGTTTGTTTGTTTGTGCTGAGAATGCGTGTATAGGGCCGCATGTGGCTTCCTTTATCGCATACTGCACCATTAGCCGTCTCCGAGTGAGATGAGAATAGAAGAAGAATGTACTGTGGCTGTCTATACTGCCAGCTTATAACTGTGATTAGTATTGAAGGAGCACTGGTGCCTCATCATCACCTCTTTATCCCCCAAAGCAGTATGCAAAGCATCATGATTGTGATGTACTGGAGTGTAGTACATGTAGTGCCTGGCGCTCAGTGCCCAGGACCCGCCATGCTTTATTTCCTATGTACAATACATGTATGGGTCACCTATGCTTGCGTGTCAACCGTTGTATATAGGTGCTGCCAGCAGACTTACCCGTAGTCACTTTTTCAGTGTGTACGCTAATACTAGTAATAGTAACATACATGTGGAGAATCCATAAATACAAATACAAAATACATGTACATGTATTTGTCTACACGTCTAGGGAGACGTGAACAACTTGCCATACCTGCTGCAACTACATGTACATTGTATACGAGTTACGTGGGTCAAGCCTCAAGGGGTATACTCCACGGTACTCATACTAGTCATACAAAGCAGCGCAGTTTTGAGAAGACTACAAAATTAAAAATATAATTATTATTAATGATTACCGGTATGTAACTTACTTGTTCATTCATCATAGTGACACACCCCTCATCTGTGTCACCATGGTCACGCTGTCAAGGTTACGTGATTCGTTTACCTTCTGACTGTTCCGGCTGTTCTGTCAGTGTCACTATCACACTCACAGGCTGTCTGTGAACTGTATCATTTGCATGGCCAATGACAGTCTGGGGCCCATTCAAATACTTGAAATAGTTTCCTTGCGAAAGGATAGGAAGACTAAATGTCGCAACCATCTTCGAAAGAGTCTATCTACCTCCCGTGGATTATTGTTTGTCTGAGTTGGGAGGAAGAGAATGGCTCGGCGACCGCAGTCTGGCTTCGCTCGTCCAGGCACGGCACGTGCAGCTGGAACACGAGTGGAAATAACCAGTCCAACACTTCCCGACTTCGCAACGGTTGTCCGAGTAGCGCGTCCGGAGACACCAACCACTTCTGGACAGAGTGCAGAGGAAATGTGCGTATTTGCGACTGACGAACCTAGCAATACTGTTGCCAAGCGTCTAGTAATCAAGGACGATGCCCTTTCACTCGCTGGCCAGTTGATACCGGGAAGTGTCGAAGGTGGAGGAGGTGAGAGTGAATACGAATTTGATGCTGTTCTCCAATGGAAAGATGAACAGTAAGTATTCTACCGCAGCGTCGTTCAACATGTCGTGGAGCAAACGCTACAGGGTTATCATGGCTCGATCATTGCTATCGGTCCCAGGCACACAGGCAAGGCGTACAGCATGCGAGGTCCTGATCCTATCACTGAGGAGCACGGTCCGCGAGTTCGCTTGAACAGAGGTGCAATCCTACGCGCCGCTGAGCAAGTGTTGCATTGCCTACAAGTGTCGCGAGGAGCGGCACGAGGTTTAGTGGTCGTCGTCTCTTATGTGTGGATTTCGAATGAAGAAATATATGATCTGCTCAGTGCGAACGATCTAGAACCATCAGCTGATGCTCCCAGCTCAAAGCAGTCTAGCTCATGCCAGAGAATTGCTTTGGATGATGACGGGCAACTGGAAGGTCTTTCAGAGCACGTAGTGTCTACAGCTAGAGAAGTAGAACATTTACTGAGGGCTTGCTTGGCTCGCCATCTGAGTACTCTTGATTAATAGTGAGCATAGAGGCAGTAGGCTTAGGTTCTGCGAAAGTGCTCAATACCTGATTCAGGCAGAGCGGCGTACACAATTGCCTGATGATTGGTCCAGCCATGAAACTCTGGGTCACAACGGAATTTGCCCAAGAGTTTCATTGTGTGTCTTTGTGTAATAGTGAGCATACACATCATCCAGGATTTACAAAGCATACACATCATCCATGATTTACAAAGCACAGATGAGCAGCTATAAAAATTGGGCGGCTTGTGTATTTATGATGGTGGCAGTGAGTTCCACCGAGAAAGCACAGAAATGTAGAATAACAGCATCTCATCCCATTCTTACAGGAACACACATACCGTATATTCTCTATTATAAGCACATTACTAGCACAGTCTCTAATACTAGCACACTGTGAGCACCTTTCGAAACATTATAAGCACGGTCTCTATTATTAGCACGGTCTTGGTGGAAATCAATGCTGCATGCATGATATCTAGCATGTATTTCTTCTCGCTCTGTATGGATGCATTGGTTGAAAAAATATCAGCACGGTCTCCAATATAAGCACGGGGTAGAGGGTGTTGAAAAAATATAAGCACGGCGCTCATAATAGAGAATATACGGTATACAGTCGTGTACATGTACCACACTATCAGGAGCCGGGCACGGAAGCTAGAAATAAACACCTCGCTTGGTTTTCGAAAATGAGCATAACATGTCACCACTGAAATGAGAACCTCTGGCAATGATTCAGGTGAACATTTGAGTACTTTCTATCCACACTGCTGTACATGTAACGGACATAACAAGCAGTTCTAAAACACATACCCATGAATGCTAGTGCACGGGAAACGCTGCTGGCAGAGGTACGACGCGAGGAAATCGGCTGTTCGCTTTGTCTCCACAAAGACAATCGTTCTGTCCATCCCTGGTCACACAAGCAGTAGAAGATAGCACCAAGCATAGAAGACAGTAGGTAAAAGAGAATCAGCGGATGCAAATGATTATCAGCAGAGCACAGTCACTAAACAGAACATGCCCCTGCAGCTACGCACAAGTGGCCATAGCACAAGAAAACCCAGACCGCTATCCATGTACCCGTGATAGCTGTACCCATCTCAACTAGTCACACCTGCCACACCAGAACATACCTTGCGAGCTCAAGATCTCAATGAGCTTCTTGCGCTTGCCAAACTCCTCCACTTGCACGACACTCTGCTTGACATCACTGGCTGCACAGCCCAGGATACCAACAGTCAAGAACAAGTAGTCATCCAGGAAGTTCTTTGCCAGCTGCTGCACTTCGTCTGGGAAGGTGGCTGAAAACATGAGCGTCTGACGACCGGAGGCCATGCCCAGCTGCTCTCAACAAGCTTCTGAATGCTGGGCAAGAAGCCCATATCGAGCATGCGATCAGCTTCATCAAGAATCAGATACTTAACTGCACCCAAATCAATCTGCAACAAACATCACAAGTGGAAGTATCAAATATCAAGAAATACGACACTTATTTTGTAGCACTAAATACAATTCGATGTCAACTACAACCCGTACCAAGAGTACATGAAACCCAGAGTGTGCAGCTTGGGGCTTTTTCTACTATGGGTGTCTGTCACGGCGAAATTCCGTGATTGCATCATATTTGACGCAGATCTGAGGCGGGAAATGGCGTAGTGCGTACAACGAGCTGCAGTTGTGCAGAAAGAGACCTGCTTGTATCCTGCTTGTACGCACTACATCACTAACATGATGTAATCACGGAATTCCGCCGTCGTGACAGTAACCCATCCGAGCTGCACACTCTACTTTTCATGTACTCTTGCCCATACTGAGGCAAGGGTCACTATCCTCTCAACTAGAATTCTTCACGATTGATCAGCAATACCGGTGGCTAACACAACACACAGCGTTATTAACACGGGACACACATGACATTGCGCTGCACATAGTAGTACCTTTCTTCTGTTGATGACATCCATCAGGCGACCAGGGGTAGCTATGACCATGTGACATCCCTCCTCCACTTCACGGATCTGTCTCCCAAGACTGGTACCGCCATATAGAACTACAGGTCTGAGCATGGTTGTGTGGGAGAACTTTTTCGCCTCTAGCCAAATCTGCAAGGCGAAAGGAAAGCATAGGAAAGGAACAAAAAGGAAGAAACAAAAACAGACTTTTGAGTGTGCCAGTCTACAGCTAGTGTAACCTGAAGTTGTAACTGAATCACAAATGACAACTTACAGTCTTTGGTAGTACAGAACACACAGGCAGTAAACGGCCACGATACTGTGTACAGCGAGCGTGACATTCGTATTATTAGGATTATCAATTCGTCAATTTCGTTACGCAGCCCGAGCTAACCAAATTCAACTCCGAGCTAAAAGGCCATGCACATGCATACTACACTGTTACTGGGGAAGACAAGAGCTATACTCAGCCTAACAAGATATAATTCCACACAAGCAGTGCCAAATTACTATGATAATTTCACTGATGACTATTTCTTTTTCTACAGTGCGAGTAAACTTGAGCAACCAGGCATGACATCGCAGGGACTAGATAATACAGAATGTGTGTGTGTGTGGGGGGGGGGGGGGGGGGGGGGGAGGGTCCCACCAAAGCAGTATCACCATACAGAACACTGCATATCGCATGTATTCTATGCCGTCCATACCTGAGTGACCAGTTCACGAGTAGGTGCTACAATAATGGCAGCAGGTGACTGCACTTCGGCAAACTTTGACGCGTCAATTCCGTCTTTCATCATACGAGACATGACGGGAAGGATAAATGCAGCCTGTACACAGCAACAGAAGCCAGGGACAATTAAGCCAGGGACAAGTGAGATAACAGACAACAACATCATTGCAAAACAAAATGAGAACTCGCACTGCGTAACACGCAACACCTACAGCAGGGTATTATCATCCTGGCTAGGGCAGTCTGTTCGCAGCTGGAAAACCGTTGAACTGCATCAGATTTAGACTTTTAGAGCACACCAATGAAAGGAAATGCAAAATATTGCCATGCACCGGGATGGCGCATTGCCATGCACCGGGATGGCGCATTGCCATAGCTACCCCCACCCTTGCCATATCATGCACACTGAATAAGAATGGAGGGTGGGAAAGCCTGGGCATTCGAATGGTGGGTGAATGTATGGGCCCGACACCGCGGCATAGGAATGGTAAGTGAATGTATGGGCCCGACACCGCGGCATAGGAATGGTAAGTGAATGTATGGGCCCGACACCGCGGCATAGGAATGGTAAGTGAATGTATGGGCCCGACACCGCGGCATAGGAATGGTAAGTGAATGTATGGGCCCGACACCGCGGCATAGGAATGGTAAGTGAATGTATGGGCCCGACACCGCGGCATAGGAATGGTAAGTGAATGTATGGGCCCGACACCGCGGCATAGGAATGGTAAGTGAATGTATGGGCCCGACACCGCGGCATAGGAATGGTAAGTGAATGTATGGGCCCGACACCGCGGCATAGGAATGGTAAGTGAATGTATGGGCCCGACACCGCGGCATAGGAATGGTAAGTGAATGTATGGGCCCGACACCGCGGCATAGGAATGGTAAGTGAATGTATGGGCCCGACGCCGCGGCATAGGAATGGTGGGTGAATGTATGGGCCCGACACCGCGGCATAGGAATGGTAAGTGAATGTATGGGCCCGACACCGCGGCATAGGAATGGTAAGTGAATGTATGGGCCCGACACCGCGGCATAGGAATGGTAAGTGAATGTATGGGCCCGACACGGCGGCATAGGAATGGTAAGTGAATGTATGGGCCCGACACCGCGGCATAGGAATGGTGGGTGAATGTATGGGCCTGACACCGCGGCATAGGAATGGTAAGTGAATGTATGGGCCCGACACCGCGGCATAGGAATGGTAAGTGAATGTATGGGCCCGACACCGCGGCATAGGAATGGTAAGTGAATGTATGGGCCCGACACCGCGGCATAGGAATGGCAGAATAATATTATGACTGTACATGTACCCAGGGCCGAACTTACTGTTTTCCCTGAGCCAGTCTGTGCACAGGCCATGAGGTCTCTACCAGCCATGATGACAGGCATGGCATACTTCTGTACAGGTGTCGGCTTCTTGTAGCCACTCTTACCACTAACCGTGCCGGCCACCACCAGAGCTACCGCCATTCTCCTCACGATCTCCAGAGCGGAAATCACTACCAAAGTGGCCGCCGCCACGTCCACCACGTCCACTGAAGCCACCGCCTCGGCCACCTCTGCTGCTACTCTCGTCACCTTCGCCGTCTTGAGAATCATTGTCGTTCCGCCTAAAGCCACCCGATCGACCGGCAAATCCACCAGTACCTCTACCACCAAAGCTAGAGCCACCGCCACCGCCACCACGTCCGCCGAACATAGGCCTTCCGGAGCTGTCACCATCATCAGCTCCGCCAGAGTGGCCTCCACTAAATCCACCTCTTCCTCCGCTGAAGCGACTTGAACTACTTTCTGCTTTACTGCTAGTGTCAGTGTGTTGTTGCTGTTGCTCTTGCTGTTGATGGCCAGGAGAGGAAGCAGTTGGCGATGGAGACTGCTCTGACCATGCGTCACTTGAGCGTGACGGACTGCTTACGCTCGATCTGCCTAAACCTCGGCCACGGAATGCGGCAAACCGTGGTGCCTGCAAAAATCACAGAAACCATGAGAAACAAAATGCACGTTAATAATAGTAATAATAAATTAAATAAATTAATAATATCTTTATTAGGATGACCCAGAGGCTTGTCGCCTATCAAGGGGTTCACCGCTTTGAAGGATGATCATCAAGGGAAATGCGCGACGTGTCCCATGTACATAGAAAGGCATGCACACACGCTTCTACAATGCCCTTATAAGGCACATAAACAGCATTCAGCACTACATACGTAAGCCGCGTCACACTAAAAAGTGGCTTAACGTTTTGCCAACAAATCGAGAAAATCACCAAACAAATAGACATCACTTTGGTTTGGCATGAAAAAAGAATTTTCCAAAAAGTATGCCAAAGCCACCTTTTTGCTTGGCTCGGCTCACATGTAGAAATAAACTGTACAAAAAAAACGTTTACTCCGGCAAGAAGACTTGCAGAAAAGAGCACCACACTGAACCAACTCAGCTGTAGCCACTCGTCTAATGAATTGCTCGAAATGCTCCCTTGTGTGACATACACACCGAAGTTCTCTTCAACTTTGGATACACCATAGCACTCTGCATGCACATAGAATTCGACTTCTGCCTATTACATTGACTAGTATTTCAAAAATATAGTATACTCCTCCTTTGAAGTACAATACACGAAGCTTGCGAAAAAAATATGTCCTGAACTATTTTCTCATTTTCAACTCGCGTTCTGGGCATGAACACACGTCGGAAACACGAGTAGCCCTGTGGATAATGATAACAATACTGATATTTTCAAATACATGTACCACATGCACCAATGCAATGACAAACTTCAAGAATGTCAGAAGCACACAATATCAAAGTCTGTTGAATTTTCGGGGTGGCTGATTCTTACCGTCACACTCTCGCCCGCCGGACTTGCCATGGCTGCTATTAGAACCAGATTGCTTAGTACCTACACTCTGAGCAGAACAATTACTCGAGGCTTAGGAATTACTTAGCCTTCTCTCTCTAGCACTGTTTTTTTAACACGCCATGAATCCCTTCACAAAAGCATTGATAAAACAGAAACAGAAAACTGATTTTTGCATTTTGTACGCAATCGATGTCTAGAAGTCGCACGTGCAACTCGCCACTCGGCATGACTTTCGATCGAGGTTGCGTTCACCGTAGAGATAGGTGAACTCGAAGCCAACACCTCTCACTTTCGCTCTACTGCCCCTTTGGGGCCGATGCGATCCTTGTGCCAAGTTGTGGTAGTGGCTCAACAGAACAGGACAGGTGTGTGTGTGTGTGTGTGCGCGTGCGCGCGCATGTGTGTGTGTGTGTACGTGTGTAAGTGTGGTTTCTGAACTTTTCTCACAATCGTATAAGTTTCATTTTTTCGTGAAAACCCAGCTACACTGTGACCGGTACAATCGCATGTCGTTTATCTGGCGGTCAGTCACATGGCATGTCGGGTATCCAACAGCACCGCACTGACAGCTTATAGACCTTATATTTAGTATTTATAGTCCTACTTCAAGTAAATGTAGACAGTCAGCATCATGAAAGTTGCCATTACGTTGAGTTAAATACAAGCCAGTCTCTAGAGATGAGCACGACTGTCTCAGGGTAATACTAGTGATAAATACAGGTACTTCGAAGTGCTGTCTTTTTGATCTGTCAACACAAAATGGCTTTGTAGCTTCAGTCGTCCAGAATATTCATTTTATTCCGCGGGTGCCGCATAATTGACACGCAACTGTACTTGTGCAAGTCTCCAAACGCTACGTAATTGGCCGACATTTACTTGTCCACGGTGATGAGAAACACGGCTCCTAATTTTTAAATCATGAAAGGATTACATACGCAGGTACATCCACACAATGTGCACTATCCTGAAGTCGTGCGCAAATATTCAAAATCATTCACCGAACACAGAGAGGCGCACATACCGTAAAGTACCGCGAGAGCGCCCCACCTATATTTTGCCGCGACATATTTTACAGCCAGGGAAAGGAAAATCGTATGGCAGAGTGCAACGAAGTTCGTACGGTGTGAGCAACTTAGTGTACTAAGGTCACACTAAGCAGGTTTTTGTGTGGAGCTCGTTTCCGCTCGAAGGTACGGATTGTCTGCAGAGCGTGCAATATGTGTACAAAGTTCGTGTCGTATAACCTACAGACAGGAGACCACCTCCACAATACGACCCCGAAAGGACGAGATGGTGGGGCACTCTGGCGGTACTTTACGGTACATGTAAATACGAAGGAACCACATGCGCAGCAAGGAGATTAGTCATTACTTTACTTATGAGTTGATGGATAGAAGTTTCCTTTCAGCTGACCATTACCACTCATGAAAGCAATAGTGAGTGCTGTTGTTCTGATTCACAGGTATATATTCGGCCCTTAGCGCAATGTGTTTTCGAAGCTAGGCACACGATTTGCATGAGGAAATCATGCAAAGATGTGACATAAGGCCCTACAAACATGACCTAGGTAAAGGGATGCTATTATTTGCATTTGCAGTACTTTGGCATAGGATAATTTGTGGATGATTGTGTTGATCAATTTCACATAATTTCACGACAGGTCATAGTTTATTTAGTGGGGCGTTGTGGGCCAAGGATCTACGACCATCTCTTTTGCATTTCGAACAAGTAGACACTTTCAACAATTCATACAAAAAATGCCTTCAGTGCAAAACATACCGTTCGGACACACCAGGCAGTCCTTTCCAGCCTTGATTTTCAAGTGCAGACGTATCCACGATGACCTTCGAGTGAACTGCGGCTTGGAACACTTTGAATACGAACCACACACTCAAACTAACTAGACCACCGCATAGCTAGTGTATTCACGGAGCCAAAGAAGTCTCCTTCTGCCCCCACAGGGTCTTGGTTAGTTCTCTAGAAGGGACGAGAGCCATACCTAAATTCAATAAATTCTCCAATTCCAAAGGCCTCAAATGAAGGCGTCTTGGTGACTTCGTTTCCCGCGGTTGCAAATAAAATCAACCCTTGAGTACCCCTTGGCGCACGGACTGACATGTCCCAGCGAAAAGCTGAGCTGAACCAGGCCAGCTGCAGGGAGCACTACGCATACCGTATGTATACCGTATATGTGTACCGTATGCGTAGGGCTCCCTGAGCTGAACGTACCCACCCGTACCATCCATACTCCACCATAGATCTACCGGTACGCGGTAACGTTGTCGTCACTTTTTCCGAGATTTTCAAGATTCAAAACTAAATAACAAAACAAAAAAGGTCACTCCCGCTCGATCCCACGTTTGCTAGCATGCACATGGCGCACTTCGTCGTCTTCGATAATTATGGATCAACGCGCAACGTGCAACATGACAGTTACATGATCAAGAAGATCATGTCAGTGCATAAACAAAAAATTAATAATTGAGGTTTTGCGTTTACTTGCTTGTTGTTTTTCGACTGTCTGCTATGGCCAAGTCAAAGTACGAATACGTCAAGCAGTTCGAGACATGCGAGAAGTGCTTGAGGAACACCTGGGTTGTGATACGCCTGGATGGCAGAAGTTTTCACCGGTATGTTGCTTTCAAATTGAATGCCTCAGCTTCTGATACTACTAGTAGGTCATAACAGGGAGCTGTATCTTTACTTATAAAGAAGAGGCACCTGTGACGTGTGTCTGTGTGTGTGTGTGTGTCACGCTCCTTATAAAGAAGAGGCACCTGTGACGTCACTGACGTGTGTGTTTGTGTCACGCTGAAGCGCTGCGGAGCAGCGCTGCCCTGAGCACGCGAAGCGTGCGAACAGTGTAGTACAGTGTAGGTAGCGGCCGCAGAAGCACTGCACTGAGCACGCGAAGGGTGCGAACGAAGCGTGCGAATCTTCGCACGCTTCGCGTGCTCAGTGCTTCTGCGGCCGCGCGCTAGCTACACTGTGCTCCACTGTTCGCACCCTTCGCGTGCTCAGGGCAGCGTGACACAAAAACACACGTCACAGGTGCCTCTTCTTTATAAGGAGCGTGACACACACACACACACACACGTCACAGGTGCCTCTTCTTATAACTTATAAGTAAAGATAGTGATGTTCCTGTAATAGTTTTACCTTGACACTTCTTGCTTGTCTTATGGTAACACCTTGTGTTCCGGGAGAGTGTAATAGTTTTACCTTGACACTTCTTGCTTGTCTTATGGTAACACCTTGTGTTCCTACTATTCTCACTCCTGCGGTTCTCACCTTTCTTTTGCTTTATAACCTCTGGTTTGAACATCATTCGACGAATTCTCCAATCAATCAAGTCTATACTGTTACAGTTCCTGCGTTGGTCCACTACCTAGTTTGGGCCTTGGCAAACTGGCGAATATGGAGTTTGTTTCGTGCAATGACGGTGAAAGTTTTGTTTGCGTCGTGCAAGACGAAACTACAGCGGACTTTCACAGCTCCAAGCATCGAACTACGTGCACTCCGACAACTACCGTGCGCAGCTTCTATCAAGAGGTCGCTAGCTTAGCGCATTACATGATTGATACGTTTGTGTTGGTCTGGTGCAATCCGAACGGTTCGGATGAACGACTGATTCCTGACTCCACAACAACATTGGGCGAGCTAGGCCTATCGGGCAAACGGCAGAACTTCCTGCTGTCCCAGAAAGATGGTATCGACCCAGTGAAGAGCTTTGTGAGCGTCAATGAGCAAGGCGACCGTACCAACATACACGCCGGTGAGAGCAATGGAAATAGCCTCTATCCTGAAGATCAGACCACTCCAGTCTCTATGAACTTGGTGGCGTTGGGAACGGATGATGACACTGTGAGCTCGACCACAGGTACGTACGGCAGCGACGGCGGCGGTATTGCCAGCAGCAGCAGCAGCAATGCAAAGACAGAGTATGTGGGACTGGTGAACCAGGCAATGACATGCTACCTGAACAGTCTGCTGCAAACACTGTACATGACGCCGGAATTCCGCAATGCCATCTACCGATGGCGCTTCGACGGCACACCGGACGAAGAATCGCGCAGCATCCCGTTCCAGCTGCAGAAGCTCTTCGCCAACCTGCAGACGTCCACAAAGGATGCGGTGGAAACAACGGACGTCACGAAAAGCTTTGGCTGGACAAGCAGTGATGCATGGCAACAGCATGATATCCAAGAGCTGTGCCGCGTTATGTTTGATGCACTGGAGAAGAAGTTCAAGGGAACAGACCAAGACAATCTCATCAAGCAGCTGTATGAAGGTGAAATGCAGGACTATGTCAAGTGCCTGGAATGCGGCCACGAAAGTGCAAGGACCGATACATTCCTGGATGTGCCACTGGTGATTAAGCCGTTCGGTGCCAGCAAAGCCTGCGGTAGTGTTGAGGAGGCTCTGAAAGCGTTCGCCACACCAGAGACCCTGGACGAGTCAAACCAGTACATGTGCGATAAATGTGACAAGAAGGTGGACGCGCACAAGGGACTGAAGTTCCTGAGCTTCCCGTACCTTCTCACGCTGCAGCTGAAGCGATTTGATTTTGACTACACAACGATGCATCGCATAAAGCTGAACGATCGCGTGACCTTCCCACACAGGTTGGATCTGAGCAACTTCATTGGCAAGGACGGCGGCGGCCACGGCGTGGCGAGTCGTCACTGTGACACTGCTTGCCAACAGACTGGACAAACTCCTCCTAGCGCTGCCGCGACAGGTCTCACTGGTGATGATGACGTCGCGGTGACATCAACAATCGGTGAAGCGTCGTCATGCTCTGCAGCGGCGGAAGGCCAGCAGCCTGACAGCTGTGATCGTGAACACCATGCCGCGGCGAACGAGAAGGAACTTGCGTCACCGACACCAAGCAGCAGCGATGAGTCCAGCCCAGCACATGAGTATGAGTTGTTCTCCATAATGGTTCACTCGGGGAGTGCGAGTGGTGGCCATTACTATGCCTACATTCGCTCCTTCAAAGATGGCGAGTGGTACAGTTTCAATGACACAACGGTGAAGGCGATTTCTGACCGAGATATTGAGAGTACGTTTGGCTCTGGGACCAGCTCATCGTTCTATTCCTACTCTAGCATGTACAGATCATCAGCTAATGCGTACATGCTCATGTATAGACAGGTGAGTAGCTCCAACTGCATTGAATACATGTGTGTATACGGAACGGGCAAACTGTTCTGTATGCAATTCTGATTTCATAGACTTCAAGAAAGGCAGGCAGGCACAGTGGGTTGGTCTAAGACCATGATTGAAAAACGTGAGGTACCAGGTTCAAGTCCTGCTTGAAAGCGGAAGGATTTTTTCCAGCCATGCTGCGACCCACAGTGAACTGGAAACTTGTGGCCTGGCATGAGGAGAACATGCATGTGGCAAATGGGATTCAGCCTTTGGCCTCTGGTTGGTGGATCTGATCTATCCCCCACCATTTAGGAGCCGTACCTGATGCCTGATAATGGGACGGTGGCTTCCCACGGAAGCGGAAAAGGCGGTTCTTGACCCACCCTGTCGCGAACCCCTGCAATTATTTTTCAAGAAAACTTCCACGCACGCAAGTGCACGACTTTGAGCTTGTTGCTGCGTACACGCCAAAGGTGCGGAAGCAGCTCCATGACCTCCTGGAAGAGGCAGAACGGTATGGAAAGCACCAAAACTTCCAAAAGACAACTTGCATCATGTGAATTACTGAAGAAACAAAGAACTCACGCTCCTGCATTTCAGTATCAGTTGGGTTTGTTGGAAATGGAATACGCTTCTGTCATAGCCTTTGGTCAAATTTAGTACTACCTTGGGGCGGTGCTCATTTACGGATCTCATTTGGCTGCGGAATAGTGAACCTACCCTGACACATGGTATGGCCTCATACGGATACGGGTACAGTGTGTGATAACCATGGTTACCCGGGTCCGACTGTTTTGCGTCATGTATAGTGCTTTAAGCAGCTGGAAGAATTGACATTCATAGCAAACTCTTCGCTTCTTTTGCTCTGTGTTCTGGAATGATTTGCTTTCAGGTCAACGCAGAACGCAATGCCATGCCGTTAGAAACAGCCATGTTACCGGAACATGTAACAGAGGTGATAGGCCGTGTTGCTCGCGAAGAAGAAGAGGAGCGCATTCGTGTGGAGCGGGAACGTTCTACTCTGAGAACCAGAATCTACTATGATGATCCCGGCCATGACAAGCTTGTTGGTCGGCAGATTGCGTTTCATAACGAGCTGCCACTTGGCGAGGCACTGGTGGAAGCCCATAAGTAAGTTCTGTTTACCATATCGAGGGTATGTGTGGTCTGAAATCCTCATTTCTCACTTCCCTATCATAATTTTCTTCACTTGTTTCACCTGTATATTGGTAGAAGCCCCTTTCGGTAGGTGTCTTTTGCCTTTGGGGAATTCTGGAATGGATCAATAAAACATTTCCGCCGTTTTCATGTATCCGTGTCTGATAGTGCTTGGGGTGTGAGCAGTGGTCAGGTGCGTACGCTGGTAACTAACGTTACCCTATGTTCTAATTCTCTGCTCTTAGGCTGTGGGAGCTTGATGCGGGTATTGTACCGCTGGAGAGATGCCGCTTAGTGAAGTACGATTCCTTCTACGAAGTTCCGAGCAAATCCCTGGACCATCTAGATGTGTCAACACCTCTCTCCAAGATTGCAGCAACTCCATTCTCTTCAAGTGAGACACTGGCCTTCATGCTGGAAGCACGTTGTGAGAATGAAGAGTTTGAGGAATACCAGTCGTCCGATGATTGCTGCTTCCTGAAGGTGAGGCAGTTTGAGTAGTATGGTGACTATTGCAAATGCATGTGGCCCATGCAGATGCATATGGAACATGCAGATGCATACATGTATGCACTGGATATTCTTTGAATGCTGCTTGACTTTCGGTTTGACGGAAATCCATGATAGGACATAGAAGTTGAACAGGGATGATACTTGATGACCGGGTTTCCTGTTTGGGCCCAGGAACATGGAATTTGTGTGTTCACAGCCAGCTGCATGAGAAAACGTATTACAGTGTGCTTGTTATGCAAGAGTCTGCCCTTGGTTTGGCTGACTGCAAGCAGCTGTTGTGTTAGTGTCCTACCCACTATTCATGCAGAAAGTGAAAGGAATTGCATTGCTTCAAGGCTTTAAAACAAAAATTCTCTTTGCTGTTTTCGGTTCTGTGTGTTATTGTTGATGTTGTAGATCTTCTATGTGGACCTTAGTGCTGAGACAGTGACACGAAAGCCAATGATCTGTGCTGATCTGCAATGGACGGTGCATGACTTACGTCTATACCTTGCAAAGAAGTTCAAGTGCAGTGTGGAAGGAATACGTTTGCTTGCGGACCGATACTACTCTGCTCCTCAGCTGATGACCAAGGAGACATCAACTCTGAAAGCGCTTGGTTTCTACGTCTCTAACAAGATCTATGTATCTGCAGCCTACACTGAAGACCAACTCCAAGATGTGTTAGTTCCGTACGAGACGTCTCGCCTGCAGGGCATTGTGGACACTTGCCTTCATACGTTGCTGCTAACTGTCACGTTGCCATCAGAAGAGGCCATTTCCAGGTATCGGAATGCTACCGTAGGCCAAGAAGCAAGCCAAAGCCAACCGACCTCCAACGGAAACACAGCTCGGACAATCTGTCTGGCAATGGACAACCGCAAGACTATATCTGATGTGAAGGAGAAGCTCTCCGAAGAGATCCAGCTCCCTGTTGAGTCGTTCAAACTACACAGAGCATATGGCACTGGTCAGGAGTTTGAAGTGACCCGACCAACGGAGCTGCTAACGCAATATGACGGCAAAACCAGCATCCGCGTCAGCCTTGGCAGAGCGCTGCGAATCGGTGAGTACCGTGTGAAGGTACACCTGTTTCAGCTCGACAATCCAGCCCAGGAGGAGCAGGAGAATGGAAGTTCTCCTGCTGCAAAACCAGCACTGACTAATGGTACAGCAGAGTCAGCAGCATCAGCAATGCCAACACTCCTAACTGCAACATCAGGAGCTAACGGGTCGGACGCAAAAACAGCACCGCCATCGCCAGCAGCAGATGAGCCAACTGAGACGACCGCTCCCATTGAAGAAACTGCAAAGGCTACAGCAGCAGCAGCTGTTACAGCGCAGAAACCTATGGCAAAGTACGAGGATGCGCATGAATCTTACCTTCTGTGCACCAGCGTGGTGAGCAAAGGAATGACCGTGCTACAGTTAAAGAAGAATATTCTGAACGATTCCTCGACATCACTTCCATCATCCATGCCACGTGACCCATCCAGGCTGCGCCTGCGGAAGCGTTGCTGGAAATATCCAGCGACCGTTCTTCTCGACACGATGAAGTTTGAAGAAGACATCAGTGTTTACACTAACTGGGATGTCTTCCTACAAGTGTTGCCAGAACCGGAATGTATGACAAGTTCGTTGCAAACGATTGTCTTTGTTCGCAGGTGGAAGCCATCTTCATATTCGTTGGGACCATGGAAAGAGATCGTCTTGCACGACAAGTTACCCAACACACTGAAAGATGCTATTTCCGTCCTCTCAGCCATACCAGCCGAGCGTGTGAAGATTGCCCGCGGTCGTGGCAGTTTCCCGTGTGACACTGCATTGCTTGATATGCCCGATCAAGATTGGGACCCTGACGTTCGATCACTCGGAGACTACCCGGTCAACCTGTCGGACGACGGTGTGGTGTTCTTCTACTGTGACAGTGAGGAGAAGCTGCAGAATCTGAGCGATGAGCGGCGTAAAGACATCCAGAAGCAAGATACCGCACGCTTTGGCAATCAGTCAACCGTATCCAGCTATTACTTCAGGGAGAAGGCACTGAAAATCTATACCAGTGTCGACGAGGACAATGACTCTCGCTAAGCCAACAAACACATACGCAGACAACTGTAGCGGCAGCAGTGCCAGCAGCATCAGCAGTACCAGCAGCATCAGCAGTGCCAGCAGCATCAGCAATGCCAACAGCATCAGCAGCACTAGCAGTGCCAGCAGCATTAGCAGTGCCAGCAGCATTAGCAGTGCCAGCAGCATCAGCAGCATCAGCAGCAGCGCTGGCCTCAGTTACCCATGGACTAGCAGTTATACAACATAGTCCACAATTGTGGTGGTAAGTCCTGCGTGTTACCGGTTTCACTTGGACGTGGACTGGCCGCTGTGACTGTGTGTGTCAGGTGAGCCTCTGCTACTACCACTACCAGCGTCATTGTATAGCTATCAACACTGGTGTGTGTGTATGTCTCTCTCGTATATCAGTTAGTTCAGCTATCAACACTGGTCTATCAGCACTGGTCTATCAGCACTGGTCTATCAACACTGGTCTATCAGCACTGGTCTATCAGCACTGGTCTATCAGCACTGGTCTATCAAAAACTGGTCTATCAACACTGGTCTATCAACACTGGTCTATCAGCACTGGTCTATCAACACTGGTGTGTGTGTGTGTGTGTGTGTCTCTCTCTCCTGTATATCAGTTAGTTCTAGTTGCGCCCGTTTACACTTGTAAAGTTATTTGTACTATATCCGTCTGCAAGACATCAGTCTCGGCATTGTTTTCCGACTATTGTCTAACCCCCCTGGACAAATGGTGAATCAGCATGCCGCGCCGGGCCTGATGAATGATTGCCGATGCATACCTGCTGCATCAAAATTAAGCCATTGTCAGTTGTTTTGCTATTCTGGAAATGGCCTTGAAGCCTTCTTTCATTGTAGATCTACCACTACTTGCACGACATGTAATGAGTGTGGGGCTGAGTGCCCTGCAATGCATGGCGTCTGTGGTAGTGCTGTACAGTGTATCTATTCTCTTCCCTGCCGCTGTGAATTGTGTCCGGCGTACGTGTGTGTGTGTGTGCGCGGGTGTATGTGTGTGTGGTGCGTGCATATTTCCAAGCTTTCAAAATAGCCCGGCTGATTGTCTTGAGTTATAATGTTGACTTTGCACACCACAGTCTGTATTGTTTCTAGCACAACACACACTGCTTGTGGTGCGACGGCGCTGGTGTGACCTGCAAGACTAATAATATTATATACCTACAAGTCTCCTTGTTCATAAACGTGTCTTGTGTGTGGAGACTGAGTGAGCACTTATACATGCTCACACTTACTGACTACTATGTACAATGGCGTGTGTTTGTTTGTTTGTTTGTGCTGAGAATGCGTGTATAGGGCCGCATGTGGCTTCCTTTATCGCATACTGCACCATTAGCCGTCTCCGAGTGAGATGAGAATAGAAGAAGAATGTACTGTGGCTGTCTATACTGCCAGCTGATCATAACTGTGATTAGTATTGAAGGAGCACTGGTGCCTCATCATCACCTCTTTATCCCCCAAAGCAGTATGCAAAGCATCATGATCGTGATGTACTGGAGTGTAGTAGTGCCTGGCGCTCAGTGCCCAGGACCCCCCATGCTTTATTTCCTATGTACAATACATGTATGGGTCACCTATGCTTGCGTGTCAACCGCTGTATAGGTGCTGCCAGCAGACTTACCCGTAGTCACTTTTTCAGTGTGTACGTGTACGCTAATACTAGTAATAGTAACATACATGTGGAGAATCCATAAAATTAATACAAATACAAAATACATGTACATGTATTTGTCCACGTCTAGGGAGACGTGAACAACTAACTTGCTATACCTGCTGCAACTTTGTATACGAGTTTACTGTTACGTGAGTCAAGCCTCAAGGGGTATACTCCACGGTACTCATACTAGTCTGAGTAGTAGTAGTCATACAAAGCAGCGCAGTTTTGAGAAGATTAATTATTATTAATGATTACCGGTATGTAACTAAATACTTACTTGTTCATTCATCATAGTGACACACCCCTCATCTGTGTCACCATGGTCACGCTGTCAAGGTTACGTGATTCGTTTACCTTCTGACTGTTCTGGCTGTTCTGTCAGTGTCACTATCACACTCACAGGCTGTCTGTGAACTGTATCATTTGCATGGCCAATGACAGTCTGGGGCCCATTCAAATACTTGAAATAGTTTCCTTGCGAAAGGATAGGAAGACTAAATGTCGCAACCATCTTCGAAAGAGTCTATCTACCTCCCGTGGATTATTGTTTGTCTGAGTTGGGAGGAAGAGAATGGCTCGGCGACCGCAGTCTGGCTTCGCTCGTCCAGGCACGGCACGTGCAGCTGGAACACGAGTGGAAATAACCAGTCCAACACTTCCCGACTTCGCAACGGTTGTCCGAGTAGCGCGTCCGGAGACACCAACCACTTCTGGACAGAGTGCAGAGGAAATGTGCGTGTTTGCGACTGACGAACCTAGCAATACTGTTGCCAAGCGTCTAGTAATCAAGGACGATGTCCTTTCACTCGCTGGCCAGTTGATACCGGGAAGTGTCGAAGGTGGAGGAGGTGAGAGTGAATACGAATTTGATGCTGTTCTCCAATGGAAAGATGAACAGTCAGTATTCTACCGCAGCGTCGTTCAACATGTCGTGGAGCAAACGCTACAGGGTTATCATGGCTCGATCATTGCTATCGGTCCCAGGCACACAGGCAAGGCGTACAGCATGCGAGGTCCTGATCCTATCACTGAGGAGCACGGTCCGCGAGTTCGCTTGAACAGAGGTGCAATCCTACGCGCCGCTGAGCAAGTGTTGCATTGCCTACAAGTGTCGCGAGGAGCGGCACGAGGTTTAGTGGTCGTCGTCTCTTATGTGTGGATTTCGAATGAAGAAATATATGATCTGCTCAGTGCGAACGATCTAGAACCATCAGCTGATGCTCCCAGCTCAAAGCAGTCTAGCTCATGCCAGAGAATTGCTTTGGATGATGACGGGCAACTGGAAGGTCTTTCAGAGCACGTAGTGTCTACAGCTAGCGAAGTAGAACATTTACTGCACAGAGGCATTGCCCAGGATAAACAGCTTTGTGCGGAGCAGTTAAATCAACGTAGCAGACATGTCATATTCACGATTACTGTCGAACACCGTGGAGGCATGGGGAGTGACTTTGCACCCATTAGCGGCGTGTTGCGTATGGTGGAGCTGGCAGATTGGACGGAGGCCGTCGCTAACAAAGCTGCATGCCACGGGAACGAGTCACAGAGGATCGGCTCGGCTAGCAGTGGCACCATGGATTCTCAGTTTGATAAATCGCTTGTGGAGTTCATCCGGACCCTGCACATTGCTGCTGAGCAAGATGAGGAGGAGGATGCAGGCACTGCAGCAGCAGCAGTGAATGAGTCCGTTCTGCTGAAGCTCTTACCCGGCTGCATTGGTGGCAACAGTAAGACGGTATTGGTGTGGAACGTTTGTCCAAGCAGCCAATATGCACAGATCAGCAAGAAAATTGTGTCCACCGCGGCCACGCTAAGCAAGAGCATACGCAACAAGCCGAACAAACGTGATCTTGCCGAGCAAGCCCTCATGAATGCTTACATCCGTGCCTTGAAAAAGAAATACCGCAATCTTGTGTTTTCCAAGAAGAGCAAGGCAGTCGTGTCACAACATCAAGGACTTTCAGCAGGTACACAGCAACTGGGCGGTGGCAGGCATTCAGCCAGACCGAAGGGTGCTAATCCGTACAAGACAAAGGCAGCAGCACAACCGGATGATGTCGTCTGGGATCCGACAAAGGCTGGACACCTCCAGGCATGGGAAAGCGGCCAAGCATCTAGCCCTTCCCAAGCCCGGCATTCGGAAGGGCTCGCTGCTTCCAAAGCCCAATGTGCTGGTGAGCTTGCCACTCATCGGCATGACAACCAGTTCCCCACTCATAGCAACAGTCCTGCACACCTTAACGACCCTGACCAATCACAAGCAAGTGCCGATGAGTACAACTTTGATGATGTGGATGAACATGCAGCTTCGGCAGATACAGCATTAGCCCTGGGCCAGGCAGCGGCGGTGCCTAGCATATCTGCTGAGGATGCTGCCAATATGCTGGCTGCAGCTGCAGGTCAGTACGACAGTTCAGCAGGAGATTATGGCTATGAGCAGGATGACCAACGCTCTGAGCAACAGTCTCAGCAGCAACATCCGCATCTACCTGGCCAGCTGTGCGATCAACAGCAGCAGCAGCAACAGGCAGCTGATCAGCATGGGATACAGCGGACTTCATCATTTCATCACCCTGGAGACGTATCCAGTATCTCTAGCAGATCGCTAGATCTCCTAAACGGTGATACAGCTAGCGTGGCATCTCATGGCTTGGCCAGCTTAGCATCTCACACGCAATGGGACAAGAGCAGTCCAGGTGCTAACAGGCCTAGTGCCAAGACATCAGGTCGAAAGTCTTCTGGTAGCATGTCAGTGGATAGTCAGTCATTGACAAGGTCAACGATTAGCAACCGCGCTATGTCAGCAAGTAGAGCATCTGACCATGCGCAGGTAAGGACGTGTGGATACTGCAGTTCTCTTTATGGGTCACAGTGTTTCATGCATGGTTTACGTATGGGCGGGGAAGAGCAGAATTACCAGAATTATGAGCCATACACTTTATATGGTTCTGAAGATTTCGATGCTTTTGGGGCAGAATCTGATAATTTTTCAAGGACAATCTGCTATGGGTTGCCCTAGCATAGAGCCGAGGAAGGGGGGGGGGGGTTGAAGTATTGCAGGCACTAATGTTAGGCATCATGTTTCATCCATGCCATCCTCCTGTAGAGTGACAGCTTCACCACTGGTTTAGATAGATGACAGCTTCACCACTGGTTTAGATAAATGAGAGCTTCACCACTGGTTTAGATAGATGAGAGCTTCACCACTGGTTTAGATAGATGAGAGCTTCACCACTGGTTTAGATAGATGAGAGCTTCACCACTGGTTTAGATAGATGAGAGCTTCACCACTGGTTTAGATAGATGAGAGCTTCACCACTGGTTTAGATAGATGAGAGCTTCACCACTGGTTTAGATAGATGAGAGCTTCACCACTGGTTTAGATAGATGAGAGCCACGATTGCTGTGTGTGTATGTATCTTTTCATGAATCCATGCACTTGCAGTCTTCTCTGCAGTCTTCTCTGCAGTCTTCTCTGCAAAGAGCTGGATGCACACCACCAACATCAGCAACCTCACCGCTGGCAGCTGTCACGACGCCATTGCCTGGCATGACACAAGGATCAGAACAAACCACTCAGCCACGAAGAGGCTCTGGAGATCTACTCACTCATTCATCAGATCAACTGCTACCAGCTTCTCAGAGGCAGAGATCCACTGGGACTCGGAATATGCTAGCCCAAGGTTCAATTGATGGCATGGCAACCAAAGCAACCCAAAGTGCAGCTGATGGCATAGCAACCCAAAGTGCAGCTGATGGCATAGCAACCCAAGGTTCAGCTAATGGCATAGCAACCCACAGTTCAGCTGAAGGCATGGCAACCCAAGGTGCAGCTGTTGACATGGCAACCGTGGCAACCCAAGGTGCAGCTGGTGACCAAGACCGGCATCATGCATTGACTATGGATGCCAAGCAACCTACAAATAGTGACAATGCAAGAAGAGCCGAGACTGGCAATATCCATGTAACACCGAATCTAGTGTCGGCAATCTTGGCTGGTGATCAGAGTGCATGCACGGTGGACTCCATCAGATCTCTACTCCTCTCTCTGTGTAGAGTGTTTCAAGGTGATCTTACGGGTCCTACTGATGCTGTTGCCGGTGGTGCTACTGGTGTTGGTGCTAGTGCCGGAATGGCTGATGATGATATTCTGGAGCAAAGTCAGTGTAAGGCCTCATCCGCAGTGTTTACATGCCAGGCTATAACTTGTAGTGTGAGTTAGTCCACTGATGCTACTTCAAGGTATTCATGAAGCCGTGTCCATGCTAACGCTTGCCTCCAAACAATTCTGTTTGCTTTATTCTGCATAAAGGCCCCCTAGCCAAGTGTGTAATCCAGGGACTGTTGTAGTCAAGTGTGTAATCCAGGGACTGTTGTAGTCAAGTGTGTGATCCAGGGACTGTCACAGTGTAGTTCCTAGAGGGATGCCACAGGTGACTGTAACATGAAACCATGTGTGTTTTGCTCCCGGGTTCCCCGTCCCAGTCACCCGTGGGGCAGGGCTGACGTATGCGTTTTCTCATTATGGCATCTCTGGTCTGCGCCGCTGTGTTTGGGTCAGCAGGTCAAGGCTACAGTTGCAATTGTTATGTTGACCAGGAATAACATAGAACCGTCTATGTTCTCATGTTGTCCCCCTTTGTACTTTGCTTCGCTGATGCATGTGATCTGGGTGGTATCATGTGACATGTATGGTATCATGTGATCTATGTGGTATCATGTGATCTGTATGGTATCATGTGATCTGTATGGTATCATGTGATCTGTGTGGTATCATGTGATCTGTATGGTATCATGTGATCTGTGTGGTATCACGTGACTCTGTGATCATGCTCAAGACTAATCATGTGACTCTCTGGTCATGAACTTTGTGGTCATGTGACTGTGCTTGTGTGGGTACCGGGTACAGATTGCTGTGTTAGTGGCCAGGACTTGGTGAGCTACATCCATGAACAGATGATGGAGAGGACGGTTGATCGTGATAGCGCGCTGTGGACAGCTCAACAGCTGCTCTCGTCAAGCCTAGTTGTGGCCCTGATGAACAGCGGTGATGACCCCAATGCCTCAAGGCAAGTACCATAGCCATGGCAATGATAAGAGTTCACACTAGATCACTGTTCAGCACCCTCAACTAATGAATACTGGATCGGTTAGCCGAGGTGTAAATCTCCAGCAGAGGATCATGATGACATTGTAGTTTACATTTGTCTGTGTAAAACTGTTAATCAAGTTTCCTTAGCTTCATTTACGATGTGTGCACCGATGAGCATGAGCTTCGGGTTAAAATGGGTTGACTTCAAGTGTGGTGTGGAAAAACCAGTACTGTATTAAATAATAGGTACTTCAAGTACTGAGCTGCATTTAGCAATTGACGTGCACACGCTACAGTGGTTACTGGCGACGTACCGCCAGAAAAATCGCAAAATGCCAATTCTTGAAACCTTCATGTACACTCTGGTAGACATGCATACATGTATGCTTGGTGGAGTTATAAAATATTAATTTTCAACCAGTCCATGTTGGGAGTGCCAGATTGACGTTATGCTCTTTGCCATATTTGTACTACAAGAACATGTACATGTACATGTGTATATTACTATCTGTGTGCAGAGAGTTCTGTGATGACACTGCTATCCAGTATACCGTGCTAACGTCAGCTAGAGCTATAGCAAACGCCCTCAGCTACTTTCACCAGGATACAGCACATGATGCTGGTAATCAACAGCCAGAGCAGCAACAACATCATCAGCAGCAGACCGGCATGGTGAACATGCCAACACATTCACGTGCTGCTCATCATGGCTATGCTGGTGCTGGTGGTGGTGATCAGGGTGATGCATACTACCAGCATGATGCTGAGCATAGTGCACAGGGAGCAGCCTACCCACAAGGTACAATACTGATAACTATACCATGCACCACCCTGCCCCCCCCCCCCCCCACACACACACAGAAATGCTAGCATGCAAGGGTGGGGGGGGGGGGGGGGGGAGGGGGGCAGAACTCAAAACTATGATGAGTGTGTGCCTATGTATGTGTTGTAAGGACAGAGGATGCGCAGTGCCATACTATGTCGCTCAGTACGGTACAACCTTGTCTTGTATTTCAAAGTACAAGTAGATGTTTAGTCTATTGTTATGCTGTGGCTTTGTCCCTGTTATCCATTTATGCCAGGTTTCCATGGTGATGATGAGATTGTCTATGACTACCAAACAGGTAGACCGTACAGCCCACCCCAGGTACGTCAAACACTCATGTTTGCCACGGGTTGTCACTGACATCTGCAGTGTCAGCTCTGTCACCGTGTCAGCTCTACTGCAGTGTCAGCTCTGTCCAATTCAAGTGTCCAATTCAAAGAGCAGTTTGTAAATTGACGAAGATACAGTCAAATCTGTCGTAAGCGACCGCCCCTTGGTGCAAGAAAAAGCGGTCTCTTACGGCAGATGGTCTCTTACGCCAGATGGTCTCTTACGGCAGATGGTCTCTTACGGCAGATGTATGGTAAATCCGGCATACCGGGCATGCATTATATGCTTCCATGTACTCAAATCGACGAGAATAACGTGATTTTTAATATTATTTTATTGGATATTCAATAGAATATAGCCTTATAGGGAGGGGTGCACAAACCCAAGAATAGTGCACATACAAGGGCTAATCTTGAAAGCTACAGCGCAGCCTCAGTACAGGCCAGGGCCAGTCGATCGCACTTGCAAGACAGCGCATTTTCACACCTTGCAGTTGACAGCGCACTGGCAAGTACAGTTTCGCACCTGAATGAACCTGGGTCGCGGTCGCTCACAGCAGATTTGAATGCAGCCACCGTGCATGAAATCGCGGTCGCTGGTCGCGCACAGCAGATGGTCGCTCTGGACAGATCAGTTTGTATGTGAAACCGTCGGTGCACGGAAAATCGGTCGCTAACGGTAGATGGTCGCCTACAGCAGAGGTCGCAAACGGCAGATTTGACTGTACATGCAATGGAGTTTCATAGAGTCCATCCATTACATCTCATTGCCACTCATAGCTATGTGTGTATGCTGACCGTGATTCTCCCCAATTGTCCAGGAATTATCACAGTATGCTGATGTAGAGCCATTTGATGGCGAGCAGTTCATTCTGTAAGTACCAGTACACGTGCCTCTTCATAGCTAAACGGCGTTAACATAATTATGTTTCCATATTTACTTTTTTTTTTTTTTTACAAAGACCACTTAAATGCCAAACATGAGATGCAGCTAGGGGAAGCACGCACAACCTGAATCGTGGCAGTGGTGGTGAGGTTTAGGGAGCTCCGCCGACCTAGGGTCTCGACTTCATAGCCACCTAGATGCACCAAACATGCTACATTGCTGTCATACACCTACATATCCTGAAGTACTAGCTTGGAATTGCCTTCAAAACCTACTACTAGTACTACATGTATGTACATGTAGTAACCAAGATAGCCAAGATGAACTCAAGGTGCACCACCCCTACTGATTTGTTCACCTAATACCAGTACATGCATATAATTATTTTTTACAAACTCGCACATACTGTAGCCTCTGGGACGTTCTCTAGGAGTTCAACCTTTGTACTGTAGCCCAAACCTTGAACTCCTGGACCCTGAACTTTGAACTCCCACGACTGAACTTTGAACTCCCATACCCTGAACTTTGAACTCCCACACCTGGACTTTGAACTCCCATACCTGAACTTTGAACTCCCATACCCGAACTTTGAACTCCCATACCTGACCTTTGAACTCTCAACTCTGAACTTTGAACTCCCATGCCTGAACTTTGAACTTCCACACCTGAACTTTGAACTCCCACACCCAAACTTTCAACTCCTACACCTGAAATTTGAACTCCCACACCCGAACTTTGAACTCCCACACCTGAACTTTGAGTTCCCACACCTGAACTTTGAACTCCCATACCCTGAACTTTGAACTCCCATACCCTGAACTTTGTACTTTGTACCCCGAGCCTGGTGTACAGCAGCTCTGCCCTGAGTCATGCACTCCTATAAAATTACCCTGATGTGTACGCTACCCACACCAATGTACCACTACTGTATCCGATAGGTACATTGGTGCAGTTAATCCCTTGGCATCATGTGCACTTTCAGCGGTGCATGTAAATCCTTCTCATTGTTTTCTGTCTTGCGTGGAAACTTCCCCCCCCCCCCCCCAATTGCGGGAGGGAACATAATACCACTGCCGGCTGACATTACACAGTATGTTTGACAAGATTTTTTGCCATCATTTTCTTCGCATGTGTACATCTCTATTAAAGGCCATGGTAAAAATTATCATTGATTCTCAAGTACGACTTTTGGCGGCGCACCGACGATTTTTTCATTTCTATGCATGCATATGCGCGCATGAAAACGGTCAATACGAAATGCATGAATCAGGGAGTAGTAAAATACCGCACCGGTATTCTTTTACTCCCTGGCCTGAATATGTGAACACGTGACCATGTACATTATGTGTGACCCTATCTTTGGAAATAAAAAAAACTGTGGGAAATAAAATAAAAAATCGCTCGCTCGCACCGATTTTCACAGGCTCATGACCTGAGAATCAAATTTATTTTTTACCATGGCCTAATCTGCATTATTTTACTGATATGGTCATAACTTCCGCTGTGTGTGTATGTGTGTGTGTGTATGTGTGTGTGTGTGTGTGTGTGTGTGTGTGTGTGTGCGTGTGTGTGACTGTGTGTGTGTGTGTGACTGTGTGTGTGTGTGTGTATGTGTGCACGCCCGTGCATGCGTGTGTGCGTGCATGCATGTTTGTGTATGCGTGAATACATGCCAATGTGAATGGTAGGTACCAAGACCGTGTTCATCCATTCCATGCTGCATGCGGTCTCGGAAAGGAGGCGGGAATGCTCCGAAATCTAGTCCTGATGTAAGCCCAGCAAACCCTGCTCCAGCCCCAGCGTGTGTTGCCTGCGACTGCACTGTATGATAGTCATCATTAGTAGTACATAGTCACTGTAGGGACTTGCTAGTAGTATGCCATATATCTATACCCCCCCCCCCCCCCCTCTGCATACACACTCTACCACAAAGGCGTGTACAGTGAGTCCACTCTATTGTGGCTAGTCAGACCTCGCTTAATCGCACACATCTGTTTTCCACAAAAATATCCGGATAGGCGAGGTAACCGGATAACTGAACACACATATATGCATACTGCATGTGCATGTGGCATGTCAAAAGCAGTGACAGCGTACATACATGTAGACGGGTCCTATGCAGTACAACTAGCGTGCACAGTATGTAAAACAAGCGAGAAAAATGACAAGTGCATGCATGCAACTGAGTGCTGTCCGCATGTACCCAGCCGGATGGCGAGGGATCCGGATGGCGAGGGATCCGGATAAGCGAGGTCTGACTGTACAATGATCAAGTACTTTCACTACATGATGTAGCACATGCAATCAGATAGTAATGCATTGAGGCTACATACTAGTCATAATTATCACTCTTGTCACTCATGAACATTCTTTACTGATGGTGCACATGTACATGATGTATCCTTGTCCTCCACAGTGATGCTGGTCTGCGCGGTCTAACTAATCAACTGAGACTCTGAGTAGAAGTTCCATGACCTGATATTTACCACTGTACCCTACATATATGTGTAGTAACTAGTAAGGTTGGCTCTGCATGCCGTGCTGACTGCACCTTATGTACAGCAAGGCTCTGCATGCCGTGCTGACTGCACCTTATGTACAGCAAGGCTCTCCATGCAGTGCTGACTGCACCTTATGTACAGCAAGGCTCTCCATGCACTGCTAACTGCTAACTACACTCAGTGTGTGGCCGTTGAAGGCTGGCTCCTACATGTACTTGCCGGTTGAGCACTAATGCCTGTTGTCATGGTAATCCTGCTGTTTCCGCTTGCTCTGCAGGTTTGGTATTGAACACTGTGACCGACAACAGCACACTCCATTGATGTTTGCTATCCTCAGTGACAAGGTTTGTTCAGTCGGCACATACACACACACACACACACACATACACACACACACACACACACACACACACACACGCACGCACACACATACACATACACACACACACACTACTACTACTACTATGTACAACTGCCACAAAATGGCCACGTCGCTCCCAGAAGCGGGAGACAACAGCGAGAAAAAAGAAACAAGGAGAATAATTGAGGTGAAAGGGGACCGTTCTACACATAGCTAGTGTTTCTGTCTTCGGTGGCGGGTGAGGTCCTGCGGGCGGGAGAATCGTTCGTTACATATGCTGCATTGAATGGGCAGATTAGCACACACACACACACACATACACACACACACACACACACACACTGTATATTTCAAGTAACTGTGCTGCACACACTGAAGAAGAGGTAGGGTCATGATAGGAGGAAGAGGAGGAGGAGGAGGAGGAGGAGGAGGAGCAGGAGCAAGTAGTACTGGAGGAGGTGGAGCCGGGAAGTAAGCAAATGAAGAGAGCCAGGGCAGACATGATTGAAGCACTGATCTTGCTACTGTACGGCTCAACACCAGTATTCTAAATTAAACCAAGTATACAAAAATTCAAAATTGACGACCACTAACAAACTCTCCCTGCAAGACTGAGGGCATGCATGTCATCTATAAACCATGACAGTGCACGGAACTCGCATGACTCATAGTCATATGATTCAGTTCCCGGCAGCAGTCTCGGTGTCCTTTTGTCACGGCACGATTCTTCATCTGTGTATCTTCATGCATGTGTGTGTGCGTGTGCATGGCTACATACATGTGTATTGCAGCCAGCTTGCATTACGTGCCTGTTGGAATGTGCGGCTGAACCGACCAAGTACGATGGGGACGGCTACACGGCTCTGCACCATGCCACACGACTTGGCCACTATCGGTCTGCCGCTACCATTCTTAGCAAGGTGAAACATGAACTCATCAGTACCATGATTGATCAAGTTGATATGCAAGTAAGTTGAAGTAGCTCAGAGTGTCAAGAAAATCATAGACTCATGACAGTGGTATAGTGATCAATGGGGTAAATCCGTCAGGTTAGATTTTGTCATAAATACATGCCCAAGTGTATGTTGAACTCGGATGGTGAGTTTAACCGTGGAAGAAAAGGAGAAGGACAATAATGTTACGAGTCTGGTTACGTTGGTGGAGAGTTCGTAAAAACTCTTAACATTTTTGTCCTTCTCCTTCTCTTCCAAGTATATGAGCTATGGACTTAAAGTTTTGCTATTTGTGTTTTTGATGATCAGTGCCCTGGCAGGCAGGCATAGTGGGTTGGTCTAAGACCATGATTGAGAAACAGGGGGTACCTGCTTAAATTGGGAACTCGGTGCCTGGCACGAGGGAAGCATGGATGCAGCGAATGGGATTTTTGGTCCTTGACCACTTTGTGGTGGGTCTGATCTACTCACTTCCCACCGCTTAGAAGCTGCATCTGGGCCTTGATCCAAGAGGGTGGTGGTGTTCCTCCGGATGCGGAAAACTCGGCCTTCAGCCGAGTCTCCCACGAACCGTGATTTTTTCAGTGGGATCAGCGCCCTTCACTGCGGAGCCAGATCATCGGCAAAACTTCTTGCTGTGTGTGCGTTGTGTGTGCTGTGTGTGTGTGTTGTGTGGCTTCATCTCTCTTCTGGTTGTGAATTACATGTAACTGACTACTAATTTAGCCAGTACATGATGTATTGATTGTGTTGCACAGGGGCTCAGTGTGCTACACTGGGCAACTCAGTTGAGAAGTGACAAGTGTCTGGAGCTCTACCTCAAGTAAGTACATGTACATGCAGCATGGCTACTTGAAGCACTGCCAGCCTACTGGCCATGTAGTTAGGCATGAACACAGTGACATAAGCATATGATGACTTTGAATGTTAGTAGGTCACATAAGGTGCATGATGCGGGCTGGACGGAGCTATATGTAGATAGATCAGTGGTATCATGATTCTCATGATAAGGTAGTTAATTATAATTATTATTCCCGTAGCTATGCAGAAGACGTTACTTCAGTAACGTCTGGCGCTAGCCAGGGTCCACACAGCTTTAATTTGGTATTTGTTTGTTTGTGTGTTTGTTTGTTTGTTTGTGCCACGCCTGGCGCTATCCCGTATCTGTCCCGTATCTGTCCCGTATCTGTGACTACAAAGGCTCTACAGGATTGTACATAACAGCTGTCCACAATATTTGCGGGCTCCTGTATCTGTCCCGTACCGTACCAATATTCGTCGTATTATGTATACGACTCCCTGATGTAGAGGGAGATTTGGAAAGAAATAGGAAGACGAGGAGGAAATTAAATTAGAATAGACGCCGAATAGGTGATAGGATGCGTCAGCATAAACAGCGTCAGCATAAACATACGTGTACTTTGGAAGAGAGATCGCGTCGTCTCCAAAATAAGCGTGAACGAGCGATTCAGCGCCGGTCACAGGAAACGTCGGAAGAGAGATCCCGTCGACTCCAGAACGCCCGTGATCGGCAGAGTCCGCCGGTCCCAGGCAACGTCAGGACAGACATCCCGTTGAGTCCAGAACGCCCGTGATCGGCAGAGTCTAAGCCCTGTCCCAGGAAACGTCAGGACAGACATCCTGTCGAGTCCAGAACGCCCGTGATCGGCAGAGTCAGCGCCGGTCCCAGTGAACGTCAGGACAGACATCCCGTCGACGCGCAGAAAAACTAAATCTGCAGCCTCTTTTGCCGTCGGACAGGATACGTATTATAGGAGACTGTAAAGTTATGTAATGTCCAAATTTCCACGTGAGCAGAGGGTCACTCGCATTGATTTTTCGACGTGCGAGCCAAATAACGCGAGCTGAACTTTCGCGTCGCAGACATCCCGTCGACGCGCTGAATAACTAAATCTGCAGACTCTTTTGCCGTCGGGCAGGATACGTATTTTAGGAGACTGCTAAGTTATGTAATGTGCTCCACAGGCAACCATGCATTCGGCGTCGTCATTGGCTCAACAGGTCAATGTACATGTATTACTACAAAAAGTCCAGAAAATCCGATTACTGTATTAAAATCAACTAATTTTCGCTGGCGATTTAATTTCGCTGATTTCGCCGCTTGGTACCAACCGGCCAAAGTAAATCACAGGGCAAAGTTTGTCATATAGGAAATTGATGCATTATTGAGCAATGGATGCATGTGAGAGCAAAAATACCTATCGATTTCAAATTTGACGTGAAATTGCGCGTCACGTCGGAAATAACGTGCATCTTAACCTCTCTAATAGAGAGGTTTCTATTTCTCATCAGCCAAAATTTGTTGATTTACAGTATAAGGAGATAAAGAGAAAAGAAGGAGCAAACCAAAAGAAGATGATTATTAGAGAAATAACAATCCGCAATAAATTCTGCAAATACTTTTGCCTCAGTTCTTATAACATGTACGATGAGCTAGGCAAAAAAGTATAAAAGCATAGCGTAGGGCCGTGAGCTTCCAAGCTCTCTCGTTAACTACCGGTAACTGATCTAACCTACAAACTGTAGGACAGGCGAATCCAGAATCACAGAGGGCAGAGGGGGGAGGAAGAGGGGAGAGAGGGAGGGGGACAGAGGGGAGAGGAAGAGGGGAGAGAGGGAGGGGGACAGAGGGGTGAGGAAGAGGAGAGGGGGAGAGGAAGAGGGGGGGAGGGGGAGAGGGGTGAGGAAGAGGGGAGGGGGGGAGAGGAAGAGGGGGGAGAGGGGAGAGGAAGAGGGGGGGAGAGGAAGAGGGGGGAGAGGAAGAGGGGGGGAGAGGAAGAGGGGGGGGAGAGGAAGAGGGGGAGAGGAAGAGGGGGGAGAGGAAGAGGGGGGGGAGAGGAAGAGGGGGGGGAGAGGAAGAGGGGGAGAGGAAGAGGGGGGGGAGAGGAAGAGGGGGGAGAGGAAGAGGGGGGGGGAGAGGAAGAGGGGGGAGAGGAAGAGGGGGGGGGGAGGAGCTACACATACTTACTACCATCTACACTGAGCACACCGTGAACGTTTTATTTCAGTTGGCCTCTTGTCAAGTCCTACCCTATATTATGTAGATGCATCATGGATCATATTGCACTGTATACATTCCCTGCCCCGCCACACACACACACAACAACCTCAACATTGCTGCTTGCACACCTTTCACCTTTAACACCCAATCTCCAGAGGAGATGATAGGCTACTGAGTTGGGCAGTACTTGAGGTAACGCTTAAATCGCCACTTCTCCTGAACGCCCTGCCGCATGCGCAGTGGAAGTCCTTCAGTGCTGGGAGCACACACACGCACACATACACATTATGTACTATGGGTTTGCCTGAATACTTGTATCTACAATAATCATGACATGGCAATGTCGGCCTTCTCTCTGTGTAATAGCAATCCAATCATGACGTGTCTGTGAACTTTGTCTCTGACGTGCCGGTGATGTAACAGACACAGTCGTCGTGGCCATGTGAACAAGATGGACTATGAACATCGCACTCCGCTATTCTGGGCAATCACCGAGAAGAACGATCGGCATGTTGAGCTCTTGCTGAGAAGGTAATGAGCACATCTACTTATCCAAAGATAGCCTGAGGAGATGTGTATCCAAAGATAGCCTGGGGAGATGTGTATCCAAAGATAGCCTGGGGAGATGTGTATCCAAAGATAGCCTGGGGAGATGTGTATCCAAAGATAGCCTGGGGAGATGTGTATCCAAACTCGGATAGCCTGGGGAGATGTGTATCCAAAGATAGCCTTAGATGTACATGATTGTACTGATGCAGTACATGTACATACATGTACAGGTATATGCTATGATATGGTGTTATTTGGATTGTGATTGTAGTGTGCATGTGAACATTGTCAATTTGTCATCGCTTTGTCATGTTATACACCTCACTTGAGAGAAAGAGAGAGAGAGAGAGTCCTGAGGGGCTGCTATACCGCCCCATTCCACTGTGTATATGATCGTGATGTGTACCTGTTGTATAGTTGTGATTCGTGTGTTGTGTGCTGCACAGTGATGCTGACCCTATCGTTGTGGATAGCTTTGAAAGACCTGCCTGCCAGCTAGCAATTCAGAGCCAGGCAGCAAACTGCCTCAAAGTAAGCCCTGTGCTTGTCACTGTCACAGTGTGCATCATACACTCAATCACACACTCACATCACACACTCGCATCACACACTCACATCACACACTCACATCACACACTCACATCACACACTCACATCATACACTCACATCACACACTCACATCACACACTCACATCACACACTCACATCACACACTCACATCACACACTCAATCATACACTCGTATCACATACTCGCATCACACACTCGTATCTTGGACTCATATCACAAACTCGTATCACACACTCGTATCACACTCGCATCACACACTCGTACCAACACACTCGTATCACACTCGCTTCTTAGTGTGTGAAGCGATGGGTTCAGAGCAACTTCACATGTTTTCCTCGGTTAGTGCTGTTACATTGGCCCCACGATCTACATTGTGCTGCATCCCAGATGTATGTACATGCATGCGTGTGTAGCCGTGCGTGTGTAGCCGTGCGGTGGAAAGAATCTAGTCTCCTACCAAGTACAGTAGTCTCTAGTGGCAGCTCAGGCATATTCGTGGTTGATTTCATGCTGTCCATGCTGAACCTTTGTTAGGTGTTGCTTCGATTTCGCTCAACCTTGGTGGATGTGCTGGATGGCAATGGTCAGACTCCCTTACATGCGGCTTGTCAAGAGAGCTCCGTAGACTGTTTCAAACTCATCATGAAAGCAGCACCAGGTATGTTAATTAAAATTATGGCTAGGAAAGAGAAAGAGAAAAATACGAGAGAGCTTGGAAGCTCAGGGCCCTACGCTATGCTTTTTTGCTTGCTCATCATGCATGTGACGTGCCAAAGCTGTGTGATCCCTGGCTAGCGCCAAACGATACTGAAGTAACGTCTGTTGCATTACTACGGGATTAATATTTTTTGTTAATTTTTAATTTTTAAGTTTTTTGTGTCACGCCCGGCGCTATCCCGTATTTGTCCCGTACCGCACGTACCGTACCATCAAAGACAGCTGGCCACAAACAGCTGGCCACAATATTTTTTGTTTGTTTGTGCCATCGGCATGCCTGGCGCTATCCCCTACCTGTCTCGTTTCTGCCGAGCACGGGCGTTCTGGAGTCGACGGGATGTCTGTCCTGACGTTTCCTGTGAACGGTAGGCATATGCGAATAATGCCGGCAGAAAAATTGGCAAAATTCAGTACTTTTTTGGTAAGTTTCATGCATGTTTGGTATGTGGATAAAGAAATGGAGGAGAATTCGAGGAATTGCCCGCCATAGGTTGGTATGGTTCTGCCAATTTCACTGCTTTCCGAGCAGAATCTGCCACCTTTTTGAGCATTATCCGCACACCCCTAGTGACCGGCGCTGACTCTGCCAATCACGGGCGTTCTGGAGTCGTCGCGATGTCTGTCCTGCCGTTTCCTGTGACCGGCGCTAACTCTGCCGATCACGAATGTTCTGGAGTCGACGGGATATCTCTTCCGACGTTTCCTGTGACCGGCGCTGACTCTGCCGATCACGGACGTTCTGGATTCGACGGGATCTCTCTTCCGACGTTTCCTGTGACCGGCGCTGACTCGCCTGCTCAGGATTATTTTGGAGACGATGGGATCTCTCTTCCAAAGGTTGTTTTTGCTGACGCATCCTGTCACCTATTCGGCAACTAACGTCCATTCTAATTGCATTTCCTCGTCTCCCTACTTCGTATTTCTTTCCGGAAAATCTCCCTATACAGCAGGGAGTCGTTTACATAATACGAGTCCTTGCTATACATCTACTTGTATTTATACGTTATATTTATTATGCTATCGGCCTACATGCGGTTCCCGGGCTGGTAGACAGGCGGCCCAGCCAGCCTGCCAGTGGGATCTCGGCCTCGCACACAAATCCACACAAAATGCTACTGCACTATTATATCGGCCTGAATGCATTCCCCCAATACACATAATATACGCATTATCTTGATGGTACTGTACTCTTGATGGTACGGGACATCAGGTACGGGATAGCGCCAGGCATGCCGATGGCACAAACAAACAAAAATATTGTGGCCAGCTGTCTTTGCTGGTACGGTACGGTACGGGACAGATACGGGATAGCGCCAGGCGTGACACAAACAAACAAACAAACAAACACCAAATTAAAGCTGTGTGGACCCTGGCTAGCGCCAGACATTACTCAAGTAACGTCTTCTGCATAGCTACGGGAATAAATAATATTGCCGGTCTATGTGACTGGGCCTGCCATGTACCAAGAAGACTACAACACACCCAGATTGAGAGGGTGCAACCCGAATGGGCTGCTGTAATGGAAAAATCCTGGACTACTAGATTATCATTTCTAGTGACGTAGTGCGTAGCTCGTCACAAGCAGTCAAGCAGATCTCCTGCTGCACAACTGCACTAAGCTCAGTTGTATGCACTGCGCCACTTCCCACGCTGCTTATCTGCACCAACCGTGGTGGACACCCATGCAGAGAAGGTCAGAAGCTGCACACTCTTGATCTCACACGGCAGGTACTAACATCCAGTTGTGCTAGGTGAAGTCCAAGACAAAGTGAATATTTGCTGCCCCGGACTTGCCCGGCACTTGACGCTCTGGAAGTGCTCCTATAGAACGTACGCCTTGATGTATCGGGACTTATTGCAATGAGCATAGGTCCCATTGACGGTCCATGTGTGACATGCACCTTTGGCTTGGATTTCACCAGCCATTGCTGTCCATGCCCAAACACTGTATTCTGCTGTTGTCTCAGGCGTCCTTTCCTATGTGGTGTGATTGGTATGCAGGTAAGCAGTGGCAAGGCATCAATGCTGTTGATACACTTGGTAGAAGTCCACTGCACTGTGCTACTCTAGCAAACTGTCCGGATCTTGTTCAGGTTAGTGAGCGAGTCATGAGCATGCACAGTGTATGTACAGTGCATGTACAACTTGCACTGCATGTCTAACTATACTTACATGCATGGTGACATATGGGGAGTGGAGGAGAGAGAACGGTATGTACAAGAGTATTCCCTTGCTATCTGGCTGATAGCCTAGGTTTGGAGTACACCGTGCATACTACACTGTACCGTGAAGTATTGGGAGAATGCCACACCACCACGTCCCTTTCGCGGTCATGTTCTGGAGGTGGTGGTCTGTCTGTAGGTCATACAACACACACACTTCACGTACCCTATACACGCATTGCTCTTTGTGCAGTCTTACTCTTAGCTCACACCGTACATACCGTAAGTTGCCCGCTGCCATTCGGTTTTCTTTCCCTGGCTGTAGAATCAAGGTGGGGCGCTCTTGTGAGATGGGGGTACTTCACGGTGCTTATCAAGAGTAGATATATTTGTACTGTTGACAGCACCCTCCTTGTACAGTGATGTGTAAGTAGTGCTCTTGACAAGGTTCACGTGTACAGAGATGTGTCTTCTCTGACAAATTCCCATGTTTGGGTTTGCTAGAAGAAGTACCGTCGATGCACCAGATTTTAGCTGAACCAAGAGTGAACTGGAGCTACTTCAACCAGAATGTTATGTGCCACTTTTCACACACTTCGTCCAATAGCTGCTGTTGAACCTGAAGGCTGACGTGTGGCTGCAAGATGTCAATGGCCAAACAGCTCGGCAATGTGCCAATTCTACAGGAAGCACGCCTTGTGAAGCATTGTTGGCCCGTGCCGAGGAAGCTTTGCTCCGGAACCGCAACAAGTCCTCATCAGTATGTGCTCTCATGTAATTGTCAGCTGTGACAAGCAATACCGGACTACTGCATGCCTAGCTGATGTGCCTAGCATTCCCCCGCTCAGCGTATCGGTGAAGTGCTCTGGCTGCAATCATGCCCCATAGCATCATGCAGCATGTCATTGGGGGAATGGCTGTGCACACGGCATGTCACTATCGGGCCCCATACAGTCTCAGACACCAGCTACTAAACTCCACAGGCATGTACAGACGCTCAGTTGATCCACCGGATGCGACTGGACGCAGGTAGACGTACAAACAACTGACTGCTGTGTCTAAACCAGTAGAGTAATAGCAAGACTGCTGTGTCTAAACCAGTAGAGTAATAGCAGTCACAGTGTGTACTGCCATGTACCTGACAAGTGCCAGCCTTTTCTTTGCAGCCTTGATTTCTGTACAAACTACTATTGTGTTTTTATCAGAGTCTTGATCATTCTCTTCTTGTTTGAGTGTTGATGATTTTAATTCCGAACTTGAATGCATGTTTAAAATTGTCATAGCTCGCAGTGTTCATGCTTGATTCACAACAATCATAGTTATCAGGGGCTGGACCCCTTCACAGGGGGGTGCACAGGAATTTTGCACAGGAAAACACGAAAAAGTTCGCTGATAGCTGGCCCGTTGGCACCGACTTTGGAGGTGGGGCGGCCATGGGTTACGGGGGCCCTCCCTGGGAAATATTTCAAAAATTGAAGCCAATTGCAAGCATTTCCGGGCATTTTGGTGCCATTTCAGTGTAACTACAATGAAAGACTTTTTGATTCTGCAACAAGCCAAGAAGACGCTACGATCGGGGACAAGAATTCTTCATTATCCTCCCCCGGGAAAAAAATTCAAAAATTGAAGGCAATTGCAAGCATTTTCAGGCATTTGGTGCCATTTCAGTGTAACTAGTGTAACTAACTAGTCTACGAGTCGTACTGGTCATGCACTCGCTACATGCACTCGTACTCACGCGATCGCGGCAGCACAGTACAACTAGTTTTAGTGCATGCAGTTTATTAGCAGATTCTACCAGCACTACACTTTTCATAACCAGGAGTTCGCAAAAAACCAAGGTCGAATTTTTTAGGGGGGTGCATGTGACCATCACGGGTGACGCCCCTGCCATAACAATTATTATGTTCTACAGTCAGGTGCTCCCACAGTCCCGGCTGCATCAAGGGCTGTGTCGCACATTCGATGGCAATATAAAGCTGCATGTGCAATTGTTACATTTTGCCACAAATCATTGACATTCCTGCTATAGTACTTCGAAGTAGTAACCATACTATAACTATCCTCTTCTGGAGAAAGGGCATACCCACTGTAAGCGGAGAGCACGCCAGCTTGCCACGCTCTGACAAATGTCAGAGGTCACAATTCCGCACACTGGCACTGGAGCAGCTGGTTTTGCTGAACATACTGGCACACAAAACACAAACGTCACAAACCAGTAGTGCCGCCGCCACCACCAATAAACAAAGAGACCTCTGGCACGCAGGCAGGCAGCCACAGTTGGGAGGTGATTGATATCTCTTCCATAATTATGATGATAGCAAAATAAAGAACAACAAAGAATCAAGTCTATTCTTACATACCAGTCTGTCAGTAGCAAGTCAGTCAGTAGCAGCAGCACCAGCTGTAACAGCTGTAACAGCCAGTGAAAGAAATCAGAAAAACGGAAAACACAAGTGAAAGCTCTGGAGAACTCAGGAGAAAAGCGGTTAAAAACGTAAAGTGGCAAATATCTTCAGCAACGTAAGTCCATAAAAAGCCGGACACTAAAGAACAACGATGAAACTCGTCTAGGTTATTTTTGTGGGAGTTATTCCGATGAATATGGTAGATAGAAAACTAAGGGATAAAATACCAAACGCGGGCTAACTTCACACAACGCAACACACAGCGACAACAACAAGATATCACAAGTCACATGACCATACACACTAACAGTGTGTGTGTGTGTGTACTAAACACACACACACACACACACGCGCACACACACGCATGCACGCACGCACACACAGGCCACAGGACCAAGCTGTGAAAGGAGCAGTGGACAGTCTGGAGACACACCAGCACGGAGAGCAGCTGTGATAACAGGTAGAGGTGATGGAATCGTGGCCACAGGACATGACAAAGAACATTAGACCAGACAAAGTGCAAGGTGTCAACAACATGACAGCAACCACAAGAATAACGATAACAGCTTTAACGCAAACAACTACCAGCAATAAAAAGACTACGGAGGAGATAGAAGTGGGTTGGTACGGAACATCTTGACGAGCGTGGGGTTATACATACACACGATGGAACAACACCCTCAAACCTCAATAGTATTATATCAGGTGAAAGCGGATACAGCAAACACACACACACACACACACACACACGTTCACACACAAACATGCACACACACATGTGCACACACATCCACCTAGCCATAGCGATGGTGTGTGTGTGTGTGTGTGTGTGTGTGTGTGTGTGGGCCGATATTGACTAGCGTACATCAATACCCTTGTGCTCAGGAACATGCTGGTAGTGGCATTTCTTGCCATACATGCAGCCTTTGCCTCTCCAATGCAAGCACTCCTGTGCCTTGGAAGAACTAGAAGCAGAAGCAGCAGTACTTGCACCTCCTCCACCACCTCCACGGCCAGTAGAGACGGAAGCAGCAGTACCTGCGCCTCCTCCTCCACCACCACCACCACCTCCACGACCACCACCACGGCCGGTAGAGACGGAAGGCTGCGCTGTAGCTGTTGACCGTTCTCTTTTCCGTGCAGCCGCAGCCCGCGCTTGTGCTCCAACAGCTCTCTGTTGTCGTGAGGTGGAGGAAGCAGCAGCAGCAGTCGAGCCTCTACCACGGCCCCGACCACCCTGTCCACCACCACTAGCACCACCACTAGCACCACCATTAGCACCACCATTAGCACCACCATTGGCACCACCATTAGCACCAAAGGTGTTGTGAGACTTGGAGGCAGCAGCTGCTGGCGCGGCACCACCACGTGACGGTTCAAGTACACTGCAAGAGGCAATCCCCGAAAACACACACACACATAGGCACACATAGACACATGAAACACACACATCACAACATGATGAAACACATATGAAGGCCATAACTGAGGTGTGGAGTGGGAGAAAAAGCGGCAAGAAAAGAGAGACACAAATGGTCTTGTGCACATCCAACTGGGAGAAACTGTCTACAGTCTACACACAATGCACCGCACGGACTAAAAAGGTTATTACAGCTAAAACATTCTGAAGAAATTCTGGATTCATTGAATGTAAATTACTAAAGTGTGTGTATCGCCGAAGTCACTACAAAGTTGTACAAACCTCTTATTCGTAAACTGCTAGCATACACAATTGACGAGCACAAACACTACTGCTGAAAGCTATGTTTGTTGTTGTTGTTGCTGCTGTTGTTGTTGTTGTTGTTGTTGTTGTTGTTGTTGTTGTTGTTGTTGTTGTTGTTGTTGTTGTTGTTGGTCAGTCCTAACACAAACTAAATCAACAGAAACCTTCTCTGCTGAGACACTCACTCTTGCGGTAGATAGCTGTCTGGATAGCGAACAGTCAGATTCATATCACCAATGTAATAGCCCTGTACAACAGCAAGACAGCAGCAGCAGCAGCAGCAGCGGCGGCGGCGGCGGCGGCAGCAGCAGCGGCAGCAGCAGCAGCAGCAGCAGCAGCATACGACAGCACAACAAGCATCACATTACACAATGTGCTACTTGCAAGTAAAACATTTCGGCCACAACACAATATGGTTGTACAAACTCAGACACAACACAATATGCTTGTACAAACTCAGACGTTGCCACTTTCACGGTAAAATTTGCAGGCCTTGACTCAGGCAAGTGTCGGTCAGTGGGAAGTGTAGTGAGCTCCAGCGTAGTAGGAGCAAGCATCTACTAATGTAGAGAGTTGTGCCCATACACTGCACAACACAATGTACTTCAACTGTGTAACAGTCTGATGTATGGATAAACTGAATTGTAGCTTTGTTTGCACACCACACACGCCTGCCTGTCAAAGAACATCACCATCACCATATGTAACCTGTAAAACAGCACAACATTTTCAGAAGAAACTTCCGTGCTTGGACTTGCTACGACAAATGTGTATGCTTAGGATGTGCGTGGAATGAAAAAGCGTGGAAGATATCCATGGCCCACGCGGATTTGGTGCACCGCATGTAGATCTACCACAGTCCACTTGGCTCTCATAGTTCTGCCAAAACATGAGCTTAGCCCTGTCTGTATGTGTGACCATACACAACTGGCTCCGCTGGAGAGACACAGTCCTCGCTGCCGCAACACGTTTCCGCCAAAGAAGAACCCCCATGCCTGTGTGACTGGGCCCCGATGAGTCAGTCCACTGGTGTAGCACTCATTGCACTATTCATCAACCTCTCAGAGGGCATGATCGCTATGGCATGGTCAAGGAGCTGTGGACTAAGCTAGCCGAGACTGGGGTACGGTTTCCCTTACCTGCAAATCTCTCATTGCATTAGCTGCTGACTGTGATGTACAGTAGTTGACAAACACACAGTGCTTGGCCGGCATTGTACGGATACTGGAGATTTCACCAAACCTGCAGCAACAACAACAACAGCACAGCAGTTGTAGGTAGCAGCAAGATAGAACACACTCCAGGCGTTGAGCATGCTTGTGAGCATACATGCAGCGTGGACATAGAACATACAGGAGATAAGAGCCTGTTAGGCTCTGACTTCAAGTTTGACGTACTAAGCTACCATCAGATAGCAATGGCATCGCAGTGTTGTAGCTACAAGCAGTGAACTTTATACTCGAAGTAGACACACAGTATACTCCTCATAGACTACAAGAGTTCAAGTTTACACAACTGACCTTTCAAAGAGCTTCCTGACATCCGACTGAGTAACAAGCGAGTGATTGACATTGCCAACCCAGACTGAGCAGATACCAGTGCTGGCGTTGGGTGTACACAAGTCATCGCGTGTTGTAAACTGTACAGCCGACTGGTGGTGCGGCTCTGCCACTTCATCCGACTCATACATAGCAGCCTCTGTTTCCGGGTCCTTCTGAAATACTGCAGGCACAAACACAGCAGATGACAGGAAAATTAGAAATTTGACGAGGAATTTCGAATTGTTATACCATACATGTCCCCCCCCCCCCTCCCCTCCCACTTTATGTTACGTGCCATCTCATCTCCTAAGTTAAATGTCTGGGAATACCAAACATGTTTGTCCGGTTAAGTAACAACCCCCCCCCCCCCCCCCCTCCCCCTCTCCCGGTGACACCATGGTGTGGTAAGTTGAGAGGAGTGCGACTATGTAGCTGCATGTGACGCAGAAAGAACTTACTTGCACCCGACAGCAGGGCATCAAGCGCTTGTGGCACGTTCTGATACTTATCCAGTGCCAGCAGTGACTGCTCATGGCTGAAACCCATTTGCTGAGCACACAACACACAACACAGACACAAGACAGCAGAAAATCATTGAACATGTTTTCCATTGACAGCATGGGCACAGAAACAAATTCCTTTGTTCAGAGATCCAGGCCAGATGTGAAAGCAAGAGGTGCAGGAAAGATATTCTATGTCTTGGGTGTCAGGCAAACAGGAGGCAAACAAATATGTCTACTAAAGGAGGATAGGTGATATCCGAGTGAGTGGATACCTACTTGTAATTGATATGCTCGGATCTTCTTCAGCTCCACCCATGCATCCGTACAGCTAGGATCAAGTGCCAAGACAACTTCAAACGCATCCTCTGCTTCTTTCCATTGCTAAAGGAACAATACGGTGCAGGAAAGAGAACATGGAAATCATTATAGTCAGTTAGCATAGAGGTGATGAGTTTCTCAGCATAATCACAGTGCATTATGTGTATCGTGCAGTGTGTAGTGTAGCCTTCTCACACTATACACCCCATGAAGCAAGGCATACAATGACTATGTTTCTGACTCACAGCCATCAAACAACAAAGGTAAAACACAACCTAGCACACACACACACACACACACACACACACACACACACACACACACACACACACACACACACACACACACACACACACACACACACACACACACACACACAGAGTCAGTGATACTTTCATCATGTCTCAGCCTCACATTACAGTGCAATTACAGACACTGAATGAATCACAAACACTGGCTCTCTCTCTTACCCGCTGTCCTGCCAACGCTCTGGCTCGTCGGAAGTAGCCCTTGGGCCACTCCGGTGACAGGTCAATAGCTCTGCTTGCATCCCGTTCAGCACTGCACATGTCAACAACATGGCCATGAAGAAAATATTTAAAAAAAGGTTTCTTGATAAAGTGTCTTGGGTCTTTGCTGCAAATAGTACTCCATGCCCAGCAAGGGCAGAGCGCACCAAACAAAGGCAACACCTTTGATCTCTGTTGTTTTGCCTTTGTGTAAAACGGTTTGTTGAAGACTTCATCCAATGCAGGTGTGTTTTCACCACCACTGCTCTACTAGTACTCGAATATAATATTAGACAAAGCGTCTGAAGTCCTTGCTGCAAATAGTGCTCAATACCCAAACAAGGGCAGAGCGTACTACACAAGGCAGAACAACAGAGACCAAAACGTTCTCGTTACTCCGAGCGTCGTGTTCAAAAACACTCATCAGACGAATACTAGTAGAATATTATGTAAGAAATCTGTCTGCGGACGGAATCTTGCTGTGTAGGCAATCTGGTCGTGTAAGAAATGTGGCAAATAGCAGAGTCCTAAAGGCACTATGAGATCACTGAACTGAGTGGTGTTGCCAAGCTACTCTATCCCAGGCTCGTGACAAAGGTCTGTGTGTGTTTATGCATCTGCTTGACACGGGCAGCCAAATATCCGACCTGCAAGAAAAGCATCTGCTGTTGACAATGGTCCCCATAGGGCATCATGTGTATAAGGAACATTTTGTTCTCCTCGCATCCCAGTGAAGCGCAAGTCTCATAGACATGGGCATAGACATGGGCTAATTAGGCATATGAACGTCTGCCACAGATACTCTTACAGTGTACAAGCACATACCTTTGGTACTGAGCAAGGCGGTCGTAGCAGAATGATCGATTGCCATAATACCTGAAGAGGAAGGCAGGTAGAGAGAGAGAGAGAGAGAGAGAGAGAGAGAGAGAGAGAGAGAGAAAGGGAGAGAGGGAGAGAGAGAGAGAGAGAGAGAGAGAGAAGAGAGAGATGCTCACAAGTCACTTCATTTGCGTTCACTCCCCAGAGTTGAATTCTTAGCGTTTATGATTGTCCATTCGGAATGAAAGTCGAAAGTTCACTTTAGATACCTGGATCTCCATCTACTGGGGTGTGACCGCAGTTTCTTTCGTTGACAAAATTAATGTCATTCCGTAAGAGCATGAAAAAGGTGCAAAGCACTTATTCATGCAAGAGAATATTGAGAATGGACAATTTGAAAATTTCTGGGTAGTCCCGGTTATTGGGTTGGCGCTATCCGTCTGCCGTGAACATCTTCTCTCGCTGGCAAAGGAGAGAAGACTTTGAAAATGCATCCACGCACACTCACCGATGATCGCTATCATGTAGCTTGATTGCTTCGGAGAACATGTCGATTGCAGCCTGATAGTGGCCCAGCTGAGCAAGCTCATTGCCTCGCACTAAGAAACACACACACACACGCACACGCACACACACACACACACGCACACACAAACACACACACACACACACCAACATACACAGAACAAGAATAGAATTTATACAAAAGAGAAAGACCAAGGAACTACAAGTTCTTTTGTATAAATTGAACCTTGGCTCTCCATCTAAGAATAGAATTGTTCAGCTTTCGCATATTTGACACAAAAAGCATAGGAGAGCTGCAGTCCATGTCAGGGTAGTCCTGATTAAAAACCTCTGACTTGCTACAATATCCATTCACACAGAGACCTTTAAATCTGCAGCTCATACTAAAAAGAAACAGGATGCATGACATTGGCATACACAGAGACAGTGTGGGATGTTCTGAAGTTTGAAGCAAGACATTACTAATGTCAACTAGTACATACTTGCATAGGAGCGGGCCTGCACTGTCACATCATCTACCTGCTCAACACAGGAGAGAGAGAGAGAGAGAGAGAGAGAGAGAGAGAGAGAGAGGAGGGAGGGAGGGAGGGAGAGAGAGAGAGAGAGAGAGAGAGAGAGAGAGAGAGAGAGAGAGAGAGAGAGAGAGAGAGAGAGAGAGAGAGAGAGAGAGAGAGAGAGAGAGAGAGAGAGAGAGAGAGACACACACACACACACACACACACACACACACAAATACACACAAGTGCAGAGACCGTTAGACTAATACTTGTATAGAGAGCATTCACATAGGCCCCGGGGAAAGCAGTGAGTGCGTATGCATCAGAAGTGCACACCACAATGCCACTAAAACAGTGCACGCATGAACATCAGTACAAGGATACAGCACAGGGGACATTTGCAACAGCAGCAGCAACTGAAACCCAACCCCTGCCTTTCCACCATGCAGACTTGTTCTTTGCATGCTTTCTCAACTTCATGTACATGTAAAGTATACTAATGTGAGAAGCCAGCAGTTGGATATTACTTGACACCTATCTTCGTCATGCACAAACCAATCGCGTACATACTGCTCCCCTGTGTGTGGAAAGAATACCTAGAACATTCACCAATGTAACAATCATTCTTACTTCAGCAGACACTGGACCCTCAGCCGACGTTGCTTGACCAACAGTAGACGGTGCAGGTGTTGCAGCGTTAGACTTCTGCCCACTAGCGTTGGATGATGCTGGAGATACATCTCTGCGTGCGGAGCTATCCTGTGCACTCGTTGTCTTGGCGTTGCTGCTGCTGGCAGGTGCTGCTCCGGCTCGACTACGCACAAACGCTGACGTCATGTCAAAGTCACCTTCCTACACACACGCACACACACATGCATGCACACACACACACGCACACCTTTGACCTTTGGACGCCCATCGCCGGAAGCGATGATAGCGATGCTACAGCAGAAGCCATAGCAACTTGTGCTGGGATTGCACCATTCAACAGCTTGAAAGGCTGAAGAATTGACCGCCACTATTCAGCCTGGTCTACACCACACAGCTATGAAGTGGCTTTTTCTGGCCAATGAATCCCTAATTTTTTGGACTTTTCATTTTTTCCCGCACACACATCACATCACATACTCCGGCATGCACTGGCTGTTGGTAACCACCCAGGAGAATGAAAGAAAAGTCAGGAGTCTGAGGAAGAGAAGAAAGACGTGTGTGACCATAATCGTCGGGGATCGAACCTGCAACCTATAGATTGGAAATTGCTGCACGTACCACCGCACCATATGAGACCCACACCCACACACCCACACACAGCAGCAGCAGGGAGAGGAGGAATTCAAGGTAAATAGCGAGTCCTGTTTATTACTAAATTCTACTCTAAAGATGCATTCCAACGTTGTGTTTACATGAGAATTTGCAATCTGGGTGAACCGTCCACACGCTGGAATAAATAGATGAGTGTTGGCATGGAGAGGATTGACCCGGCTGGATTGCTGATATGCTGACAAAAAGTCCATTTCTAGAGTCCTGTATGGCCGTGTGACTACTTTGGCAGGAAACGTGCATGTGCATGCAAGGGTAGTGCTGTGCAAACCTGGTATGGCGCGAAATATGCACAGAAGTACGGCAGTACAAGTAGTAGGGGTAGTATGGGTCAAGCGCAATGCATCATGTTAACGCTCCAGTCAAGCGCATGCATCATGTTAACGCTCCAGTCAAGCGCAATGCATCATGTTAACGCTCCAGTCAAGTGCAATGCATCATGTTAACGCTCCAGTCAAGCGCAATGCATCATGTTAACGCTCCAGTCGATCTGTGTTCATGGCAGGTTGAAACTCCACCCGGGTCAAACTCCACCCGGGTCGAACTCCAACCGGGTCGAACTCCAACCGGGTTGGACTCCATCCGGGTCAAACTCCACCCGGGTCGAACTAAACCCGGGTGGAGTTTTGAAGCGTAAACATAGCCTTGGCATGCATTCTAGGGATGTTCTTGGAAGGGAACGTCTTGAAGTTCTGCCTTACCTCTTCACTGGCTGGCTTTTCACATTCTGATTCTTCCTCATCTTCTTCTTCCTCTCTACAAATACACACACACACACACACACACGCACGCACGCACACACACACACACCGCATGCACACAGTCACAAATCAGTCACAAATTTCCCACCATTTCACTGCAAGTAATGCGACAGGTCATGAAAGGCACGCTTTGCTGGTGACTTCCGTAAAGGGGTGGCAGAAGTCCTGGCAAAAGAGAATATGCTAGGCACTGCGTCAGGTCCCAAACGTCGTCTAGGTGTTCCACCCTTTCCTTCCTTTTCCCTTCGTTTGAGGGCACGAGCAGACACTTGAACATAATCACTCTCCTTGAAGAGAGCGCCACAAACTTTTGTCACCTTCGGCTTTATGACAAATTGCTTTCCAACATCACGGTGAATAGCATGCAACCACGCCGACCTGCGGACTTTTTCAGTTGGAAAATCGTGGAAGGAGATGGCCTTGTCCTTGCCGTACTCAGAGTGGCATTCAGGAACACAACAAAAACTACCAGTTGTTCGTCCTTCAGAAGCAACAGCAATTTCGTCCTCGGATGCACTATCGCTGCAGTCGGCCATGGCAATTAATTCGTACTATCACTAAACTAAACCACGCTATTACAGGAACAACGAACCTATTCTCGATGGTAAAGAGGAACAAAGCTAAAGCACAACAACTTGAAAAATATATCCGAAACTAAACAGGAGTCGAGACTTCCTGCCCACAACTCGGCATTTCTGCCAAGTTTGTAATGACATCATGGTTTCCAAATATGGGATTACGCAATGAGCCTATGGAGGCTGGGGGCCCAACAGGCACTGGTAGCAACTGCCCTACAGAGTCTCAGACACATACAGTTTGACAACATAATAAAAGTGCATGCACATTCACGAAATTTTAACGGTTAATCGTTTCGCCCGTCAATTCCTACCTGAGTGAAGATTCTTCCAACCTTCTTTATCCACAATCAATACTCTTCCAACCTTCTTTATCCACAATCAATATCAACCTAAAAAAAATTACAAGTGCGAACGTAACAGAGCACGAATCCTATCTAGAGAGGCTCACCGCCAGTATGTGTCCTCCATTAGCACTAACCCCTCATCCATTATTGCATCCACCCCTAGTTTGTTCAAGTTTGTTAAGCAGCTTCGTTCGCCGACCCCTGTTGGAAACCCTATCATCACTGAACTCCATGAAAATAACACAGTACACAACGACCCTACCCAGATTGCCAATGCTCTGAATCGCCAATTCATCAGCTTTGGAACACCGGATGATCCTGCATGGTCTCTCCCTGGTATTCCACACCACGGGCTCCCAGCACTACCCTCTTTTAGCACTACTCCCACCGCCATTGCCCAACACATCCGTCGCCTAAAGCCTAAGAAGGCGGCAGGTGCAGATGGCATATCCCATGAACTGCTAAAAGCCCTGTCTCCTAGTATAGCTATCCCTCTCAGCCTAGTTTTCAACCAGTCCTTCGCCACCGGAATCTTCCCTGATGTCTGGAAGGCAGCTGTGGTTGTGCCTATTTACAAGAATAAAGGCAGTAAACTGTCTGCATCCAATTACCGGCCGATTTCACTCCTTTCCACCATTTCAAAGCTCTGTGAACGTGTGGCATTTGGCCACTTATACCAACATGTGAACCCGGTCCTTGACCCGTCACAGTCTGGATTTCGGCGAGGCGATTCGACCGCCTGGCAGTTGCTGAGGCTTGTGCAGAAGCTATATGAATGCAAGGATCAGAAGCAATTTAGCCTCGTATGTTTTTTCGACCTCAGCAAAGCATTTGACACTGTCTGGACAAGGGGTCTCCTCCATAAGTTAGCAGCGTTTGGCGTAGCCGGGACGTGTCTGCAGTGGCTCACCAGCTATCTCACTGAACGTCGACAGAGTGTCCGAATTGGACATGCCCTGTCCGCCCCTCTAACAGTCCACTCTGGAGTGCCCCAGGGCTCTATCTTGGGGCCTCTATTGTTCATCGTATACGTTAATGATTTGGCAGGTTTGGATCATACCTCACTCTACGCGGACGATACAGCGCTCCATATAACCGAGCCAGGCTTATTGCAAGCCTGCGACTCGCTACAGTATCACATTAATCAAGTTGTGCGCTGGATGTCGAAGTGGAAACTCCGCCCCAATGTGTCGAAAACGGCAATCCTTTGTATCCCCCCACGACCCTCCAGTGACCTCACCCTCCTTACGACTCGGCTTTTTACTTTCCCTGATGATCCCATTGCTATCAACATTGTTAAAAATCACAAACACCTTGGTATATTTCTTGATGAACACTTGTCCTGGGATTCGCACGTAACCTATATTGAAAAGCGAGTTTGCTCCGCGATAGGCTGCATTTCTCCTCACATCTCCCATCTACACCATGGTTGTCGAATACAAATTTATCACGCTTATGTTCTTCCTTTGTTTGATTACTGCTCTCTCGTTTGGTCCTCCGGTCTATCCTCCGCTCTTATGCATCGGTTAGAAGTCACCCACCGTAAATTACTTCGATTAATATTTCGCATGCCCCCTCTGACCTCCTCTCAGACGCTATACATTTTGGCTTCCTCTTCCCCTCTCTCAGAACGCTTTCCCCACTCGGCATGCAAATTCATTCACCGTATTAAGCTTCAACTTGCTCCTCCTCATGCACTTGCGCACTTAAGCTGGTTCAATAATAGCTCGCGTACTAGATGTTCTCTCCATTTCCCACTTGCCAGGTCATTGATCCTTTTAAAATCCCCTCTGTTCAAGTCCTATTCTCATTGGTCTCGGCTTCCGCAGGAGGTAAAGTCTCGTGACACCTTCGCTGCATTTTGTTCCATTCTGCCCGCGCCTAAGTTGAATTGAATTGAATTCGTTGTTTTCCATTGCTAGCCTAATCTTCATACTGCTCTCTCCAGGTTCCTATAGTACTCCTTTTGTTTTCTTTTCTTTTCTCTTTTTCTTCTCCTTCTTTTTCTCAGTTGTCCCCACCATGGCTGGTTAAAATCGCCCGCATCACATGCTTATTGGCACTATGTCATCGTGATTGTGAAATAATAATAATAATAATAATAATAACCTTCTTTATCTTCAATCAATAGTCTTCCAATAAATGACGTGCAGTGAACTATCATAGATAATGCGCAGTCTGGCTATATAATAGTGTTCACGTTGAAACTAGTGTATTCCGCATTGGAATATCAGACTTGCAAGTTGTACCCGGGAGATGCACCGAAAGGCGCCCAGAGTGCAGGATTAGCCTTCTAAATTTCGAGATTTTTCCGGGGGAGCTACAGGGCTTTCGGCTGCACCGCTCTGCAGGAGCAGACTCGGGCCCTGAGTGTGAAGTATGCACTTACTGTGATGCCTGTTCAGCTTTCTTGGCTGTCTTGGTAGTTGTAGTTGGAGCTTTCGTTGCTTTGTTAGTAGTCTGAAACAGAGCAGCATGACCAGAGATTAGACCACTGTAAGGCCTCATTTACACGACAACGATCGAAAAAGGTTTTTGTCAAAAACGTTTTCAAAAGAACATACTTCCACAGATTTTGATAGAAGCGTGCACACGAGCACGCTGAAAAACATTTCGAAAACGTTTCAAAAACAAAAAACGGCCTTCAAAGTGTTTTCCAATTGTTTTCGTTCCGTTTCGTTGTCGTGTCAAACGCTTCACTGCTACTCAAAACATGCCGCCGCCAGGCTAACTTATTGCACGTGACCATTGCGCGCCGAAAAACGCGTTGCAGTGTACACGCTTATCGTTGTCGTGTGAACACGCGTACAGTCACACATCCTACACAAGAACATGTCATTGAGTAGAATGTGTACTGTAAAACCAGGTTTAAGCGCCCACCCCACGGTGCAAGCAAAAACGGTCGATAAAGCCAGGTGGTCTTTAGAACCAGGTCCCATAGTGTCTGTGTAGAATTGTCGGTGCATGGAAAGACGGTGGTTAAGAGCAGGTGGTCGCTAAACCCAGAGGTCTCTTACACCAGGTAATACAGTGTACAGCGTATACGTAGAGTACTGGACTACAAGTGTAGTGTTCGCTAGGTCACCGCATTCTCGGAATTCGTATCAACGGATTCCCCAGAGGCCCTGGCCTAAATCGAGGGTGTGTCTGGGGACTTGTGCATGTACGTGTGTGAGTGCGCCCAATCCCCCCCCCCCCCCCCATACACACGTGTGTATACAGGCATACTTATACTGTATGAAAAAGAATAGAAAATGAAAACCCAGACAAGCAGCGCTGAGCCCCTGTGCTCTGTGCGTTCCTTCACAACTGGTCTTGCGCACCTGATATCACATCTGTGAATAAACCACACATGACAGAGTCCACAAGGACTTACAAGTTTAAAAAAAAGAAAGAAAGAAAGAAGTAACAACTTAAAAGAGTAGTACTTTTACATGTCCATCCAGCTTACAGGGGTTTGTGCAGCCTTCTTCCTCTTCTTTGCTTCTTTTTTCTACAAGCACCAGCATAGGAAAATGCAGTGCAAAAGTATTGTCAGAAATCATGACAGAGAAATACTTCTATGAGTGCAGTGCAGCTCACTTTTATAAAGGCATGTCAATGCAAACAATAGATTTCTCTCTCTATCCACACAGTGCTCAATACCATAAAAGAACAGACCTTCCTTACAAAGAAGGCAGAAAGAGATTAATTCAGATGTAGACAGAGAAAAGTCACATACGGGCACAGACGAAACCAAAAATCTGCAAAACCTAAAAATACATACCCTCTTGTTCTTGTTTTTGCGCTTATCATCTTTCTTCTTTGCCTCTTCTTTCTCCTTCTCCTCCTCCTTTAGCAGTTCGTCTGCATTTTTCCGTGCCTCCTAAGAAACAAAGATACCCACATAACGGGGTGTGTGTGTGTGTGTGTGTGTGTGTGTGTGTGTGTGTGTGTGTGTGTGTGTGTGTGTGTGTGTGTGTGTGTGTGTGTGTGAGAGAGAGAGAGAGAGAGAGAGAGAGAGAGAGAGAGAGAGAGAGAGAGAGAGAGAGAGAGAGAGAGAGAGAGAGAGAGAGAGACAGAGACAGAGAGAGAGACAGAGAGAGAGAGAGAGAGGGAGAGAGAGAGAGAGAGAGAGAGAGAGAGAGATAACTAAGGTGCCGCTTTCCAACTGGTTTCACCTCAGGAGATGGGAATAAGACGAAGGCTGTCAATTGCAAAAAAAGACGGACTTGCTGTAATGGATTGCAGAACTAGTTAGTTTCATCAACTGGTGTGCCTGCATTGGCACGTACTGCATACAGCAGTGTGTGCATGGGTTCAACACGGTCTTTCAGCGTACACGTATAGGCTAAATCTAGCCATGTTGATTCACCACACAGCTTCTTAGGTAGAAACGGGGTAGGGGCATATCAGTGGTACTTTACGGTGTACACTGACTTCATCACTTCAGCGCTGATGCAGCAACAGACGAGAAACAAATCTGAAAACAAAGAAGCAAGCATCCTACCTCTTCCGTTACAGGATGGAAACGTCGATAGCTTGAACCTAATGTTAGAGGAACACACAACACATCATCAGGAAAGAACATATCAGCAGGCAAGAACACATCATCAGGAAAGAACACAGCAGGAAAGAACACATCACTATAATAGAAGGGAAAAAAGTAAGAGCGTAAATGCGCCACTATCCACCATGGTCAACATTGTGATAACTTTCACCCCGCTGATGCGTTTTTTTCTTCCAATTATTATGTTCTTTCCCTTTTTCTTGATTTTTCCTTCTCTTGCCTTGACTGACTAACGCCCCCTCCTTTGCATTGGCTTCTGCCATTGGACGGTGAAATAAAAATTAATAAAATAAATTGCTTCAAGTATGAAACAGCAAGCCATGAGTGGGTACTTCACTCCACAGCAACGTGGGTATCAGGGCCGGCCCAGATCGTCGCTGGTCGGCACCCTGAACCAAGACCTGCTCAGCAGAGGCAAGCCGGGCCTCTCGAGCCGAAGCCATCTGGACGACCTAAGACAGTTCGCTGCGGATCGCAATGGATGGCGGCAGATAATCTGAAGGAGTCGCCACAACTGCCGGATATTGACATACATAATTATATTGGACATAGCTAGAGAACAGTAGCGGAAGCATGTATAGCACGGCTGTGCATGTTGTACGCGTATCTGTGTTATTATTATTATGAAACATCACATGTACATTGTAAGTGTATTGCAAAGCTGATCAGCTGCATATAGACTATAGAGTGGTTTCACATCAGTTTGTCATGTGACCAAATTTGTACAGAAAGTTATCATGGCAAGTGGACAGTGGAGCCAACACGGCTGACATCATGTGACCCATAGATGCAAGGGTTGAGTGGAGTCGGAAGGGGCTGCCCTGTACGGTCATGTGATAGAAAGCAATGTCAAACTGTTGTTAGGTACCTCCTCCCGTACCTTTTCTAGCTGGCCTGCATGCACTCGCGTACTCACCTTTTGTCTCCTTTTGTTCCGTTGGCCTGGGTAGCTACTTGCGCGCCCATAATTGCCATAGCTACCCAGGCCCCTTTATCTTGCCGTTCACTCTCGATCTCTCCCTCTAGTCTTTCTCACTCTTCAATGTAGTCGTTTCGTTCGTCTTGGTCTCTTGTCTCGTCGTCTATAATAAATGTCGTTCCCACTAACTTGTTCCCGTTGTCCGTTCTAATGTCTGGAGAATATGTCGTCCGTTTTTGTACTCAACACTGTGAACATGTGAGGCCACTCTATATCAGAACTAAAAGCAGTGAGCCAGATACGTATGTGGGATATACACCTCTTTGTTCCATAAGACCAAGAGAATGAGTAAATACAATTTGAGAATTCGTTTTGTGCCCAATGGCCTTATATTTAATATATACAGGCCAAATGTACCAAGTGCGATCTTGTGTACAAGCGAACATTGCTTATTGAGTAGAGCTTTCGGTTCCGCGAGAGAAATGCGTTTCAAAACATCTGAAATGTTGCTATACTGTGTCTGTTTGATCTGGTGATTCTTGCAATGGCTTCAAAACCTGTTTTTTTCTTCAGTGGTGTGCTGTCTTGTGTACAAGACTCATTCATTCTACAACAACTAGAACATTATTCATAGAAACACAACCAATCCACAACCAACGGACATCGATTCGTTCTCCACACGCGTTTTTCTCCAGAAATCATCATCGGTGTGCGTTGCCAGTGGATTGGTTGTGTTTCTATCAATAAATGCTATCTTGTCTCCGATGAGAATAAATAGAACATTCAAACATCATTATTCTGTTCCTCTCTCTCCTGTTCAAAGTGGGTAGTTGAGTTGCTTGTGTCCAGCACTAACCGTAAGAGTCCTCAGTAAAGTGGTTTGCCGGCATGAAGAAGTCTGCATTGCTGGCTTCATAGCCGAAGAAATCCTCGTCATCGTCAAACTCGTCGCCATCCATGTCACCAGAGTCGTAGTAATCAGCATCCTCGTACGCACCACAGTCATGATGCATATGCGAGTGCATAATCTCCTCCAGTATGGTACCGAACAAGCCTCCACTATCACCTGTCATGGATACAAGCGGACAGGCAGCAGGGAATGAGTTGGACCACAACACTGGTAACACTGACCAACATCTCATACAATAGAGACCCTGACATTCAGCACGCTTGCTCTCTCCCCCCCCCCCCCCTCTCCTCTCTCTCTCTCTCTCTCTCTCTCTCTCTCTCTCTCTCTCTCTCTCTCTCTCTCTCTCTCTCTCTCTCTCTCTCTCTCTCTCTCTCTCTCTCTCTCTCTCTCTCTCTCTCTCTCTCTCTAGCTGCAGCTGTGTATAAATCAAACATGCAAAAAAAGAAGTAAATGAAACAGAACTGTAATGAACCAAAGATGCGGCTAAATGAAGCTACAGTACATGTGCTCACCATTTGCACGACTGAAGTAGATGTGATGGAACAAGGTAAACATGTCATCCTGTAAACGACGAAAGGCGAAAACAACAAACAAATAGACCGGGGAACTTAAATAAACATGCCTGAGGAGTTAACGGTGTCGGGCAGTTCATCCCCAATAAACTCGTGGTGAAGTTAAGAGAACCAACACCAATGTTCCTGAAGCCTTTTTGTCTTAGCCAAAAACAGACATGAATGGAACCTTTCCACTCACAGATTCGTAGAGCTCAATTCTGAGTACTATGCGAGCTATTCATCTTCTCATTATTAGTTTTGCTTCACATCTTACTCAACCTCTCTGACATCATCACTTGAAGTGCAAGCACAGTGACTGCATGTATCAACTCACCGCCGTCATGACATCATCATCGTCATCCTCGTCATCATCATCATCACCGTCAGACGTCAGCTTCTTGTACGCGCAGGATATCTCTTGAAACTTCTGTAATGAGGAAAGCAGTGAATTATCCATTGGACAACCACAACAGGACAACGGGTTATGACGGCCATGGGAGAACTAAATAACCGGACAAAACCAGCAATACAATCAACACGTGATAGGAATATGTGCAAAGTGGAAACTAACATCCGTTATACCCACCAGTACACTGCATATCTACATGCACTCGTACTCACCTTGCTAGGTTTTACCTAAATGTACACATGCGTGGTCGCTGCCTTCATGCGCAGAACTTGCATTCGCTATTCGCCCTACTGCTATCGGCCAGATCAATATTTTAACGGCCTTGAAGATGCCGTGACAAATTTATTATTGTTTCAGAGAGATCCTTGTTCTAGTGCCCTTTCCACCACGTGCAGTATTTCAGATACTAGAACAAGTACACTTCTCAACTCAATCAAACAGTTCAGTCAGCGTATGTATGGCTGAGGACGACTACGAGCTCAGAAGCCGCAAACACACGTCCAACAATTTCCACAACATTGCTGCCACGGAGCATTTCGAAACCATGCAGGGCCGCCGGAACCGGTCTGGTTGGTCGGGTTATCGCCGGAAGTTTTGTTACCGGACCAACTCTGGCTCAGGTCACCCCCTAAGATTCGTCTAAAATCGGGGAGAAAAAACTCTCCGTACATGTAAATGATGTGTTAGGTACCTCCTCCCGTACCTTTTCTAGCTGGCCTGCATGCACTCGCGTACTCACCTTTTGTCTCCTTTTGTTCCGTTGGCCTGGGTAGCTACTTGCGCGCCCATAATTGCCATAGCTACCCAGGCCCTTTATCTTGCCGTTCAGACTTGATCTCTTTCTCTCTCTTTTCTCACTCTTCAATAATCACCATGTAGTCGTTTCGTTCGTCTTGGTCTCTTGTCCCGTCTCTAATAAATGTCGTTCCACCAACCTACCTGTTCCCGTCGTAATGTCTGGATAATGTGTCGTCAGTCGTCCTTTCTCGTATTCAACAGATGTAATGTATTATCCATCATGCATGTATGTACATGTACATGCACCCATAGTGGGTCATACATTGTACATTGATATCCATGCAAAATTATTCCCTGTATACTGTACTGGGCTCTGAAAGGGCCAAATTCTGCTATTTCTGACCGGAATTTTCAAAAAAAATGTCCGGGGGAGATCCCCCGACCCCCCTCAAACCGGACCAACTTCGCCCTCCTTCCGGCGGGCCTGCCATGGATATGTGATAGGGTGGCCGTGGGTTAGAAAAACCCTGCATTCTAGTGACAACATTTTCAAGAACATGTGAGTTAAAATTGAAAATTATTAAATTTTAGTATCCAGCACCGGAATAGAAAACCAGTCGAAACACAACCAACCTTAGTAGCAACTTCTGATCCAGGATTCTTATCGGGATGCCAGCGCAAGGCCAGCTCCTTGTAGCTTTGCCTAACGGCATTCTTGTCTGCATCTGATTAAAACGGAAATTGAATGGTGATGAATTTACATTTTGTACAATTTCGGCCAGGCAGAGACAACAAACAGCTTAGCTAGCACCTTCTGTCAGGTTGAGAATCTTGAATGCTTCATCTCTCGTCAGCACCATGGCCACTGCTTATTCTCTCCGCGATAATTGCAACTCCGTAACGTTCGACATAGAGATACCTTGACACTAGTAATAAAAGTAACGTTAGTTCAGAAACAACAAATCAAGAGACGACTTGAATTTTCACACAGTCATAATCGAAACTGTTTTGGCTGTTTTCCTGCATGATCATGACGCCGCGACGAGTCTGTTGGATCCATGGGCGCCCCCGCGGCCCCGGGCACGACGTCACCGATCGATGTGGCGAAACGGTCTTTCCTGTGCGGCTACTGTACTACAAAAAAATGCCGTAGTGGCTGTACTGCACTGCTGTTAGGCGCTAGCCGTCATCATTCTATCATTTCTACGTTCTGGTCTTGACTCTTCATGGTCATGGTGACAGGTCACGACTTCAGTCCTCCCGGAGTGCAGGCATGGTAGCCCAGCAAGATTGTGCGTGCACCCTATAACTTGTTACATGTTAAACTACCAAGCAAGGCTTCTGTATATACCACCCTATAGTATAACTTGTAATGACTATCACAGTATGTATCCCTTTTCTTGATGCAATGATGGCAGCAACAGCAATTGTGAGCCTCCCTGGGATGTATAAATAAAGCCAAACAACAACAACAACAACATTGTACTCTTGATGGTGCCAAGAGTCCATAACCATGGACTCTTCAATGATGGCACCACTGGCACTGAGAGTCCATAAACATGGCCTCTCGAAAATCTTGAAGGAAAGGGGGGTTTGTCAACAGACAACCGCTCTAATCAGTTACTAATCTGCGAACGCGCAAGATTGTGAATAGCAACTGAAACTGAGCGGAGCGGTTGTCAGTAGACAAACCCCTTCTTCTTTCATAATGCAGTTGCGTGATGTCCACAAATGTCTTAGTTCTCGAAAGTCTTGCTGGCACAAGTACACGAGACGTTTAATTAATATCCACTGCGGCATAATTCTCCAAGCGATGAGCAGTGAGACATACAGTCTGAGTCATATTACCAAGCTCTGGCTAATACCCTGGTTTGTACATTGTGAATTGTAGTGCAGCAACCGAGAGGAAGAGGGAGGCTAACATCTGGCAAAACATGTCTAAGGAGAAAAAGAGGTAACTAAGTCTGTCTAAAAATTAATAATTCTGTGACGACGGCAGTATCCGAATGCTGAAAAAGCACAGCGGCTCGCCACCAGGAGTCTAGTTATGAATAGTAGAAGGAAAGAGCACAATGGCTCAACATCGACCATGAGCCAAGGCCAATTGGAGTAACCAGATATTGGCAAAGGAGTAAGGATAAAATAATTTTAATTTCATGACACCGCTAACTCAGTAGAAACAAACTTGGCCATTTTTGAAAATAATCTGAACCGTTCAGATTATGACACCGCTAGGCAAAGAAAAAAGCCAGTGAAGAAGATGTCACAATGACTGAGAGAGAGAGAGAGAGAGAGAGAGAGAGAGAGAGAGAGAGAGAGAGAGAGAGAGAGACTGGATGGTGAGGGCAACACTTCTGCTTTGCTCAGAGGCCAAAGTTCAATTGGAATCTGGCGAGAGAAGCATCCGGCCATCCCACAACCCAAGAGCAAAGAAGGAGTTGTTCACTCGCGTCTCACGGCTGCCATAAACGGGTTGGCACTTGGTTGGAACATTCAGGCCATGCCCACCAGTCAGTATCATGGGCGCAGCTCTGTACAACGCACCCTCCGCTGTGTTTGTAGCATGAAGTGCCTGCAGGTACAAAGGTAGCCAACTCCTCGCTCTTTGCCGATGAAGACACCACGCAGACGGACGGATGAAGTCCACATCATTGTCAAACGTCATGATGCGGACAAATTGCATTGGGCCTGGATGTAGCCTGACCTTGCGTACAATGCAGTGCTGACAGGTGTTGATAACAACTAGATAGCCATTGCTCAGTGCAACAACAAGCACATCCGATGCACAACTCAGGTCGTTGATCACAACAGAGTCTGAAGAAGAGGCACAACACACATGCCCACACACAAACACACACACACACACACACACACACACACACACACACATACACACACAAACAAACACACATGCACACACATGCACATGCACACACATACACATGCACACACACACATACACAAAGTCACCACAGATAACTGGATTTGCTCACTGTCATAAACTGGTCACGTGAGTCTTCCCAGGAGAGGGGAGAGAGATTCAAAAGGAATTTGATAACGCATCAACACACAGGGACTGGATAATGCATAGCGTATGGAGAAGAAAAGAACATTTCAGAAAAAAATGGCAGGTAAACTGACCAGGAAAGTCACTGTCCGCACAGCAGTCAATGACAGCCACATTGCAGGGTGAGTTGCTTGCAGTAGCTGATGTAGCCCAGCCATATACACGACTACTTGGACACGCAGCAGTCCATAGTTGATCGGTGGTGTGACCCACTGTCGATGTGTCGTGTGCAGCCAACATAACAGTGCGAAGAGGCAACGGACTTGCAGTGGATTCCGACTGTTGCAGTGTGGCCAGAACACACATATCTTGTGCTCGTAGTACGGTAATCATACCATTGGCATGGCCGCACCACAGCTGTGTATCACGTGCTGTTCTGCCTACATCCACAGAAACCATCAGGAACACACTGCGCAGCACAGACACCAGGAGACCAGGTGATGACTCGTGTGATGGCTGAATGACATCATCATTGGGCTCATTTGATTGTTGAGTGATGGTGGCATCAGTACACTCTGACGACTGCTCAGAGGCCTCACTGAACACGCTGGACTGATCAGCGACAGCTTCACTTGATCCAAGTGCTCTGCTCTGCTCTGTAACATTACCGGACTCACTGGAGTGTTGAAAGACACCACTGGAGTCCTGAGCACTAGCACTCCCACTGGATCTACGAGATCGCGGTGTGACATCACCGGGAGTATACGAACCCTGAATGACATCACCGGGGTCATGTGACTGCTGAGTGACGTCACTGGGCCTGCGTGATCGTGGCGTGGTGACATTACTGGAGTTAGGTGATTGCTGAATGACATCACCAGGGTCATGCGATTGCTGGATAACTCCATCAGTATCATCAGTGCACTGGATGAGGTCATCAAGGCTGGCAGTATACGACAGTAGGACACCGTTGCCGAGGCCGATAAACACACGGTTTAGCCGAGGAACAAAGTGTACGCACTGTACGCTGGTGTCTGGGTGACTGGCGTGCGACTGGTGTGTGCTACTGATGACATTCCACTTGTGACAGACGGTCAGTGTCTCGGTGTCCACAATACAGACATGACCAGTGCGAGAGAAAGTCCACATGTAAGCACCGGTACTGCACAGGTAGGCGGTGTCCAGCTTTTCCAGCAACTGGATCTCATCAACCTGCATACAGACAGACAGACAGACACATCATGCACGCACGCGTGCACATATGCATGTACACACACACACACACACACACACACACACACACACACACACCATGTACCATGTATACGCCCGTCGCAAGAGAAGCACGCAAATCTGCAAATGCACTGGATGGGCACCCACAGATCTTCTCTTTATAGCAACGATAGCGAATCTGATTCTGATTGAAACAGATCAAGACAAGCGCCAGATAACTGTCTAATCCACACAACTGGCGAAGCCATGTGAATCGACCCCCCCCCCCCCCCCCCCCCCCCAATGCACACCTGGTCTACACCACACGGAGTACATCGGAATAGGACAGCCAAGACAGTTACCTATGCACACCCTACACTTGCTGGGGTAACCAGTATAGACAGCACGCTGCTTTGATAAAAGCAGACACTAGATGCACTGGTACACACACACACACACACACACACACACACACACACACACACACACACACACACACACACACACACACACACACACACACACACGCACACACACACACACAGCACACGGCACCAAGCAACAAACAATGAAGGAAAGAAACAGTCTACTCAACATTACTTCTCGTAACCCATGGCAACCCTGCAATTGAGTTCAAATTTAAAATGCATACATAGCACACCCGCACCGCAGATCTCAAGAAGCCAGATCCGACCTCTCTTCACTAACTTTGTATGAACATTGAGATTAATGTGAAAAGACACAGTAGGAAAATAATACCCAAATTTCCACTCCTCATAAAGTGCTCAATGCCGACCCAGACTTCCAAGGCTCACACAGTGCTCGACACCCGTGGGAAGGGTACAGCGCTTTCCAACACAGAAGTCAAAACAATTTGTTAGCTGAAACTTGGAGTTTCATGCAAAGCGATCCTCAGGCAGCTACCAAGTTGTTCTGACTTCTAGTTCTACTGAAGGGACTAGTGTGTTAAATGAGTAAAAATTCACAAGTTGGGTCAGCCTTTTTTATTTTTTTTAAATAAAAAGAAACAAGGAAAAGGACAAAACCAAGGAGTCGTAAAATACGACTCTCTGGACAAAACATAGGGGATGTAGGGACGACGTGCCGATGTGCTGGGAGCAACTCAACCGATTAGAGGTCTCGGCGTCAGCGTTGCAACTAGGCATCGAAAATGATGGGGACAAATGGTGCGAAATAATGAGAAGAAAATAATAGCGCCCAAAAGCGCTAAATATGAAATTAAGAAAAGCTAGCCCCACTATTCCACACTGCGCTATGGCCAAGCTAGTCTGTGCTAACTTCCTCTATACCTCTATACAAAGAAGATTGGAGACAATCTCCCGTCAGTCAGTATAGACCACACACCGACCCAACATGGCCCTACCCCTCCATTTCAACAGCTACACAACACCGCTGCCCCTGCTGTAACAGTAGTGGTGGCGATACTCATTACTCAGAACATTGATTTCACCGGCACATGCAACATACACATGCAACATACACATGCAACATACACATGCAACATACATGTGCATATAGTGATAAAAGAGAACACACTCCTAGCTTCACTTGAACAAGAAATCAGTCTCGTGTTTCCTCCCTGCATTTACCTGCAGTCAGGCTCTGGGCGAGAAGCAATACCCAATCCTGCCGCTCCTCTGCTGTTACGGTGATATGAGAGTCACACTGTGCTTTTATAATTTCAAGCCCACTCTTTCTTCTACACAGGACAACAAGACATAAGGTTAGGTTGTTGCAACTTGCAACTCTGAGTAGTTCATGCTCTACAACCCATCAGGCAACACTACTGCACTACTGCACTACTGCACTACTGCACTACTGCACTACTGCACTACTGCACTACTGCACTACTGCACTACTGCACTACTGCCTGATGGGTTGTAGAGCATGGACTACTCAGAGTTACAACAAGCTAGCCTTGTGCCTTGTTGTACTGTGTAGTACGCTCTGCCTCCACCGCGGTATTGAGCACTCCTAGCACACCGGGTGCATCTTCCCGTCTTTCTTCTACAATGTAACTTTGACCTTCAAAGCTACACTCCAAAGAAAATGGCTACAATATACAGTGCTACTCAATGAAATTCGATCTAGTGAGTCAGCTTTGCGTCCTGCACCAGTGAACATCCTAATGTTCACAGGTCTAGGTCTGCAGAGCACCTGGTGCATACTTGACTCATGCGATTGGATTTCCTGGAGCATCACAGCTATGCTATGCTGTGCTATGCTGTGCTATGCTATGCTATGCTACTGACCTGTGTAGAAGCGGTTGCAGCAGCATACGCAATGCGATGAACCGACTGGGTTTCACCAGAACGCCGTCCACCAGACAACAGCCATACTTTGCCAGGCGAGGCACGATCAGTCGAAACACTCATGCTCACGTCAATGACACGCTGCATGCGGACTTGGGGCAGAGGAATGCCATCAGCGAGAAACAACACACTCTGCTGGCGAATCAACTGAACTAAACTGTTTGTTTGTGGACGCGTGTTAGCCTCGGCAGCTGTGCAGTGTAGCATGAGATGTTGTAGCTGTACTGGCTGATTCATTACCTGCACACAATGTGAATAACACAGCATACAATGTGAAGACACACAGCATACAGTCTACAGTCTACAGTGCAGGGAGTGCAGGGAGTGCAGGGAGTGGTACAATACATGTAGTATTGTACTACTCCCTGGTTACAGTGGTACAGTGTACATTGTACCTTCTATGCTAGAGACTGTACACTATCCAGCACAATCCAACAACAACAACAACAACAACAACCACCACAACCACAACCACAGCAGCAGCAGCAGCAACAAGAGTATCATGCCAAGATTGGGTACTGACTAGAAACATAGCTCCTGGTGCATGTCTAGTACACGTACAGTATAGTACTGGTACCCAATACACAGCCAGAGATGAGACTACATTGTGTACACTGCAACGTACACCGTATTGCAAGCTTGGGACTACTTGAAACATTTACAAATCTGAGCACCAGAGGAACAAGCTTCACAGCAACACCATTTACACACCAACCTAGCACACTAAACAAACCATGAACAACACAACACAATAGGCAGACAAGATTGTGTCCAGAACCCTGAGTACCACCACCAGCATACTGCACTCAGATTGCGAGCAGCATGACTACTTACTCTTGATGTAGGATATGGCAGAATACCACGCTGTACTAAGCTCTGTACGTAGCTAGGGATCACACCAGCATAGGGATGTGCCAGCGTCATCAACTCATACATCAACATGCCATAAGAGAAGATATCAACCTGGCGTCAGAGAGAAAAGACATTCAGAAACGTAAACAGCAAACAATACATTACATGCACAGACAGAAAGAAAGACGCACACAAACTCTGTGTGTGCACGTGAGTGCATGTAACGTTATTGTGTGTGTGTGTGTGTGTGTGCGTGCGCGCGTGTGGCTCGCTGTTTTCGTCGACTCATGCACTCCAGGAAGGAAGGCTAGGGCTTGCGTTCATTTTGGCTTGGAGAAACTATCTTCATTGCCATGTTCTCTATCCTACAGGACCAGGTTCAGACTGTGCACTCTCTGTTGTGCATGAACAAGTCCACAAAACATGAATTGATACTGTTGTCCGCAGATTGACAGGAGAGAGTATGTATCTTCCATCAGCTTGTCATACTAGAAGCAGACTGGTGAGGTATGTACTAGCATACCATACATGTGAAGTAGCCAAAACACATACTCATGCTGAAGCCTATCAGTATAGACCTGACAGCTGAAGCCTATCAGTACAATCATGTACTTCAGAAGTATAGACCTGACAGCAGTTAGCAGTACTCAAGAACAAGGTACTAGTACATGTACACAGTTAGCAGGATGAGGCAAGTGCTAGTAGATAGCCCACACACTGCTAACAGTTACAGTTGCACATGCATCTACACACACATAGACACACATACACATAGACATAGACATACACATACACATACACACACACACACACAGATACACATAGACATAGACATAGACATACACACACACACACACATACACATAGACACATAGACATAGACATACACATAGACAGTAGTAGTACTGTATGATTAGAGCTACAGCATACCTGTTGGGTATAACCCTCTGTGCCGGAATGCGCCACAATCTCCGGCGCCATGAAGCCAGGCGTGCCGGCTAGTCCGCGCACACTGCCCGTTCCCGACACACGGCTAATGCCGTAGTCACTCAGCTTCACATGAACGGCGCTGCGGAATGTGTCGCTGCGAGAACATGGCTCCTGCAAAGATGTGGCCAGTTCTTCAGCAGATGGAATAGCCCACACTAGGATATTTTCAGCTTTCAGGTCTCGGTAGATGATAGACAAGTTGTGTACGTACTGCAAGCCAGCTGCAACCTGACACATCGCATAGAGTTCACATGAACTGGTAAGTGCAAACCCACAACCACACCACAGACGTATACCCACATCCACAGATGTATACCCACATTCACAGATGTATACGATTGGGCCATTCACCATTACAACACTCACAACCAAGATAGGTTAAAAGTTGTAGTGAAAACCGAGAAATGCGAATACCAAGGAACAAGACAAACTGTCCGCCTCAACTCTAACGTGTTCTCATTATGGAGATTAATTAACGTAAACTGTGAAATTTGTACCTCCAGGGGAGAGCAGAAAACAAGTACACAGTTCCCGTGAGACTCGGTTAGAACCAGTGCAGAAAGGTTTTCTCAAATTCCAGGTGTCCAGTGTTCCACATTTCTCACATGTCCTTTAGGAAAGCACAAAACCGGTACCTGTTGTAATATCTGCCAGAGTATATATGGGGGCAAGGTCAAGGTGATTGCTGCAGCTCCATACATCTCATCAAGGCATCCGGAAAAGGACGCCACCAACGAATCCAAGGCGCCTTGCGGAGCCCATTCCAACAGAAGCGCAGGCGGATTCAAGGTCACTCCGTCAAGAGCAACAACATTCTGATGATGCAGGTGTTGCAAGACGGCTGCTTCTTGTCGAAGACAGCAGAAACTGTCGGCAGTAGACGATGGAGCAGAGATGCTCAGCAGTTGATTGGCAATTAGTTCCTCATCAGCTGAACTATGTGCTGCATGCAATTGTTCAACACGTTGAAACCGCTTGATGGCAACATCCTGTGAGTAGGCAGCAAACCAATACACATGAGCACGTAATAATGATACCTGTTACACAATGCAGAACAACAAATATACCTGTTACTATGAGTAGTAGTGCATACACTGGGATATACAGTAATGTGACTAATGACCACCCCTTGGGGCCAGAGAAAGTGGTCTTTAGTGGCAGGTGGTCCTTAGTTAGAGGTTTGCACCGCACCACCATACGGATATACGAATGTGAGACCGTCCGTGCCTGGCGAAGTGGTCTGTAGTAGCAGGCTGGTCACTAGTCACGGTGGTCTGTAGTAGCAGGCTGGTCACTAGTCACGGTGGTCTTTAGTTACACGTTTTACCGTATTGAAAGTACAGTGGTGACAACTGACACCCAACCCTGGGATTTTGTTTACATACGAGCTAAAATGAATCGTTTTATTTTCGTACAGTACTGCATGATAAATGCACGTGTTTGCATGCTGTACGCATGTATAGTGATAATTTCACATGAACACATTTTAGCTCTTCAGGCACAATCTTCCTCAGCCTACTCAAGCTCAACTGATGAGGGGTGAATTCCCCGAAACACTGTGTATTGAGCAGGGAGTGGTACTTTCTTGCAGGTTTGCCGAGTCGAAGGTTGGATGGACTTCTCGTGTGCTCTGGATGGCAGTCGTGAGTCAGTGAAGTGTCAAGTAAAGTCAGCGGAATAGCGCGAGTTCCGGTGTGGGGAGCAAACCCTTTCTTACAAATCATCGCCGAAGTCGCAACCACTACTTCGTACACATTTTAGTACGGAATTAATTTTAGTACAAAAGAGGCCGTGTACGAAATTGTCCGAAAATAAATTCCGTCCGAAAATTTCCTGCTATACAGTACTTAGTATCTGAGATACTTCTTATCTTATTAAAGTATTAGACAAACGTCAGTAGTGATGAGTACAGCAGTGCTCCACACTGCATTGTCCCTGTACTAAACAAGAGTCGTATGTCTTATCAGAATGAGTGCTTAGTGTGAGGTCCACTGTACATGTACAAGTAGTAGTAGTGATTGCGATGTCAATGGAACAGAGCAGCATGTGTGCCTACCTTACGGCCAAGATCAGTTGTCACAGTACCACGGAACACCTCTCCAAAGGAACCTGCTCCGAGCAGTTCACCACAGATTACACTTGCCGAAGGAATGAGTGTGTCACGTTTGAAGTCACTGAAGTTCTGCAAAGAAAACAGGAGGCAGGAAGGCGGGAATGTTTCGGGGAAAAAATACGGTACATGAAATCATCTGCCGGGATGGAACTGTGATCGAATCCATGTGTTCAATGCATTCTAGGTTGCTAACATAACAAACCAGACCAGACACGGTATGGACTCATGATTGTATGTAGGTGTGAACAAGTTAGTTTCTGGCAATGTTGTGGTGTTTGGTTTCCGCCCAACTTTGTCGATCTGCATGTTTGCACTAGCGTGCAGCTGAACCAACGCAGCCGAACCAACGTGCCTTGCAATGCTTTGCTAGGCTTTTCTTTCACTGTATCTTTTTGGTCACATATAATACCGTACACTTTTCTTACTCAACAGAATCTTAGAACGAAGAAGGAACGGTCGGTTGTTGTCTTTGGCGGTGTGTCGGATCATAGTGCATGCTACTAGGCGCCATTCGGTTACAGCACTTTTTGGTGCCGAAACCCGGGACTCAGGAGTTTGTGTTGTAACTCGGATTAGTCAGGCGAATTGGGTAGCAGTGCGAGATGGCCAAAGTCGAATGCTTCTTGAGACCGTTCCGCGGGGGTCGGGACGACCTGAGCGAATTCTGGGCGAAGTTCTCAGTTGTCGCGGACTTGCAGAAGTGGGACTCGGACGAAAAGAAGATGGCGAATCTACCGCTCTATCTCGAGGGTGAGGCGTTCACCGTGTGGAACGAGATGGCGGCAGCGGATAAGAAGAAGCCGGCCGATGTGAAAGCGAAGCTGACCGCCGCTTTTGGGATGGCACCGGATCAAGCATACTCGATGTTTACGTCCAGGATCTTGCGAGGAGACGAGTCGGTGGACAACTTCGCAGCGGACTTGAAGAGGCTTCTCACCTTGTCTGGTGAGCAGGTTGATGCTGATGGGAAGAATAAAATAGTGATCGGGCAGTTTCTCTCCGGGCTCCCCTCTCAGTTTGCGAAGGAGCTCCGTATGAGTGGAAAAACGGACACCATCGACGATTGCGTGGAGTACGTCAGGCGGCTTAGAAGCGTGGAGCGATCGATGAAGCCCGGTGTGGCAGCAGTGAGCTACGGTGCTCTAGACGATCGGGCTCCATCAGGCTCTTCCAGGATGACCGCTGCAGCAGGTGCAGGTCGCGACTCCGCAAGACGTGTCCTGTGTTACAAGTGTGGTCAAGTTGGCCACTTCAAGCGGAACTGCCCTGCGAGCACGAGTAGTGGCACTGGTAGCCACAAGCAAGCCAAACACAGTCAGCTGACGTGTTTATTCTGCGACGAGGCTGGGCATATGATGAGAGATTGTGCGGAGTTCAAGGCCTTCAAGCAGAAGAAGCAGCGGGGTGGGAGTGCAGCCGCTGCTCCTGTGCACTCTGGTGATCATGGTGACTCCAAGGTGTTATGCCTGAGCAGTGGAGGTGACAGTCTGCCACGGATCTTTGTGGACATCAAACGGTCCGGCGGTCCAAGCAAGCGTGTAGTAGCTGCTGTGGACACCTGTGCATCCCGCTCCCTTGTAGCTAGCGCCCTGGCAACCGACCTAGCTTTGGATATCAGGCCTACGTCATCGACAATTAATGCGATCGATGGCAGTCCGGTGGATGTCCGTGGCGTCGTGGAGTGTACAATCTCACGGCTGGATAGTGCTGTGGTTCGCCTACGTGAGACCGAGACTGACATGCTGGTGGTGGACGACCTGTCTGTCGTTGAGGCTGATGTGCTGATTGGAGTTAACAGCATCGCGACTCTGGGTGGTGTGCATATGCAGTATGACGCAGGAGAACTGGTGGGGGTTGTATTCGGGACCGTCAGTGCTGCATGCCCATTGGTGCTGGCGTCGAGCACCCCAGATGAGCAACCATCACGCCCCGAGTCGGAAGCACGAGCCGTCGCTGAAGACTTTCACCACGCGGACGTGGAGAAGCTCAGCAATGGCGATGTTGTGCTGCGGGCATCAGATATGATCCTCCGGTGGAGTACGGCTGACAAGGCGTGGGAGGTGCAGTGGCAATGGGCGGACAAGACGGAGCCGACTACGTGCATCGGGTCAGGCCTTGGAGAGTACCCACGATCCAAGCTCTCCAAGGAGCAGGAACAGCTATTTGGAGATGAGGTTGAAAAATGGCTCGGCAACGGCTGGCTAGTGAAGCATGACGTCGAGAAGCATGGTGAGCCGAGATGTGTGCTGCCTCTGCTCGCTGCTACGCAGGAGCATAAGGCATCAACGCCAGTTCGGCCCTGCCTCGACTACCGGCTCCTCAACCAGAAGCTGACGTCGCACCCTGGCACCGACGCTCCGGCATGTGGCGAGACGCTACGGAGGTGGCGTCAAGCGGGCGTTCCGCAAGCGTATCAGCTGCTGGATATCAGCAAAGCGTACCTACAGGTACGCATTCATCCCGATTTGTGGCGTTATCAGTGCGTGGTGTGGCGTGGCGAAGTGTACGTCCTGGAGCGGATGGGCTTCGGGCTGTCCGTGGCTCCAAAGGCAATGGACTTGATCGTGAAGTGGGCCACGCGTGATCTCGCTGGCGTAGACAACTACGTGGATGATCTCTACGTCCCAGAGCAGCTCGTCGACCGCACCAAGTCGCGGCTCCTGGAGTATGGCCTGCCAACCAAACCGGCTGAGCCAGCCGTGAGTGCGCGTGTGCTAGGTCTGCAACTTCAGGCTGATGACGAGGGGAGTGTGTCGTGGACGCGTCGCGAAGGTGTGTCTCTACAGCTACCCGACAAACCAACGAAGCGCGAACTGTTTAGTTGGTGTGGCAGAGTGATTGGGCACTACCCTGTGTGTGCCTGGCTGCGCCCATCGTGTTCGTATGTCAAGCGCCTTGCCTGCACATCAGAGGTGGCATGGGATCAGGCTGTACCGGATGCTGTCTTGAAGTGTTGCCGCGACATTGTTCACCGCCTGTGCAATGATGATCCCGTTAGCGGAGTGTGGTACGCTGACCCAACGATGGGTACGTGGCGAGCGTATTGTGACGCGTCCAACCTGGCAATTGCCACGGTGCTCACGCAGGATGGCAAGGTTGTCGAGGATGGTTCATGGTTGCGAGACAAAGCAGACAAGCGTCATATCAATGTGGCGGAGCTCGAGTCGTCTCTGAAGGCGCTGGATCTGGCCATCCGGTGGGACGTCAAGAACCTGACCATCGTGACCGACTCGAAGACGGTTGCTGGTTGGTTGCGCTCGGTCTCGCAGAATACTCATCGCGTGAAGGTCGGGGGTCTCCACGAGTCTCTCGTCCGTCTCCGCCTGCAGGTGTTTCAGGACACTGTGGCTGCTGCTGGCATGACGGTGTCCGTGGAGTGGGTCCCCTCGGAGTCGAACGTTGCAGATCGGCTCACCCGCGTGCCGACCTCATGGCCTCCCTGTCGGGAGGAAGCAGGTGAAATCGCAGCAGCGCTACCAGCAAGCTCTATGAAGGGGCCAACGTCGATGCGGTCTATCCGCGGGTGCCAAGCGGTAGATGCGGATGTGCAGCTGACAGTGACACAGCTACAGGATGGAAAGCAAGTGACGAGCCAGCTGTACAAGAAATCAAAGGGTCAGCTGCGTGTTATTGATGGCGTCCTGTACCTCAGTCGTGTGGACCCCGTCGATGGTGATGTGATCGTACCGGTCCTGCCTACTGCACTGCAGAGTGAAGCCGTCGGTGCTGCTCACCGCAACACCGGACATGGTAACTGGGAGACCATGTGGGGCAGTCTTCGGAAGTGCTGTCATTTCCCACAGATGGCGCAACGCTGCCAGGAAGTCGTCCGAGACTGCGGGACGTGCCGTGCAGCGAACCCGTCGCGAGGAGAGCCCAACCCTCCAGCCGCGAGAAGCGACCTACCAACCAGGCCGTGGGAAGTCATCCAGATTGATACGTTAGAGCTGGGACCCAGCCGCAGTAGTTCCTACCATTGTGTCCTCGTGTGTGTGGACATGTTCACACGGTGGGTGGAAGTCGTACCCCTAGCCCGCCATGATGGTGTCAGTGTCGCGGAGGCGCTTGTTGGTATTTGCACCCGGTTTGGCCCACCAAGCGTAATTCGATGTGACAACGGCACGGAGTTTGTTAACTGTGTGGTGTCGTCTCTGCTATCGATATTCGGCGTACATGTGAGGCATGGAGCTGTGCGCCACCCTCAGAGCCAAGGGGGAGCCGAGCGCTTCAATCGCACGCTGCTGGGTCTTATCCGCAAAGTGGTCGAGTACAGCAGCGATTGGCAGACAGAGCTGAACATGCTGCTCTACTACTACAGGGTGCGGCCGCACAGTGCTACTGGGATTTCGCCATGCGCCGCAATGATGGGATGGGAACCACGCAACCTCCTGGTCGAGCGCGAGGAAGAAGACCTCAGTTTGTCAAGCTGGGTTGAAAGCTTGGCAGAGAAGACGGCACGTGTGCGAGACCTCGTAAACGAAGAGCTCTCTCGGAACGACACAGAGAGCGTGATCGAAGGAGCAGAGTACAGCGTAGGGGATGCGGTGCTGTTACGTCGGCCTTCCCGGAGCCGCAAATGCCTGGCACCGTACGAGCCTGGGTGGCGCATCGTTCGCGTTGTGTCGCCGTCGACAGTTGTCATCACCCGGGCTGCTGATCCACACTCAGCGGAGAAGATTGTCAACGTGGAGATCATCAAGAGGGATGTCGCCCGTGACTTGGCCCAACCAACAGCGCTGATGGACGACAGTGCAGCGGCTACAGATGGTGGTTATCTGTACCAGCCAGCATCAGTGCTGCCAGGCCCTGAGCCCAACATAGGGGATGGCGGCATCCGCATGTCACTGCGGGACAGATCTGCCATTAGGCCACCACAGCGCTATGGCTCCTGAAACTGTACGTGTGCCGTGTTATCAGTCTAGCTTGGCGCGTGCTTAGTTAAGAGCAAGCTAGCAAATGCAAGACCCATTACGCATTTTGCTGTTCTCTTGTTTAGCTGTTGGTGGAGTGTTGTTCTTTTCTTTGGAGAACCTTAGTTCTACGTTTTAGTGCAAGTTCCCTGTTTTGTTGTGTTACCAGGGGGGAATGTGTGATCGAATCCATGTGTTCAATGCATTCTAGGTTGCTAACATAACAAACCAGACCAGACACGGTATGGACTCATGATTGTATGTAGGTGTGAACAAGTTAGTTTCTGGCAATGTTGTGGTGTGGTTTCCGCCCAACTTTGTCGATCTGCATGTTTGCACTAGCGTGCAGCTGAACCAACGCAGCCGAACCAACGTGCCTTGCAATGCTTTGCTAGGCTTTTCTTTCACTGTATCTTTTTGGTCACATATAATACCGTACACTTTTCTTACTCAACAGAATCTTAGAACGAAGAAGGAACGGTCGGTTGTTGTCTTTGGCGGTGTGTCGGATCATAGTGCATGCTACTAGGCGCCATTCGGTTACAGAACCTATAAGAAACGACTCCAATCGTTGTACACTGCTGCAATGGATGTCAAGAAAAGCAGCAGCAGCTCAGACTAGAAACAACTAACAAGTCACAAGTGCTGATACATGTCAAATGGTAACTTACGATATCCGGTGCCATATCAGCCAGTGGGGTTGTACCGTGATTATGACATTGAATGGCCTGATAGCCATGGCACGCTAGTGATACTAGCTGATCTAGCAAGAACACCGTTACCATGCCGTCCACTGGCGGTGGAGTGCCGGGAGCAGCAAGACACGCCAACGCTCCCGCAGGTACTGGCTGTGTTGCGGGGACGGCCGACTGCAGATTCTCCCAGAGAATACCCGGTGCGGTCAAGTCAGCGCGACACATTGGGCATATGTGGCAGCGCGTGATGTACGGCGTGCCGGTGGACATGCAGCGATTACGATCACCAATACCTGGGTACCAGTCACTCAGCAGGCTGTCTATAGCGTACGTACACTCTGTCAGCAGCTTCGCCTGCAACAGATACACCTCATCCTGCTGCTCTGGCTCGTTCGTAGCATCATTGGCGGCAGCAGCAGCATCAACTGAATGGTCAGCATCAACAAGTGACGTAGATGAGTGATCAGCAGCTGCTGCATCAGTGCAAACTGGCGGTGGTGGTGTGTCAGCGGCTTGCTTAGCTCTGAAATCCAGCACTGTGACATGTAAGCAGCGTGCTGCGTCCAGTAGTACCAGTGGTTCCCACTTAGAGCCATTTTGCACAACAACACTGGCCGGTGTTGTGTCCAAGTGTTTGAACAGATCTGCAGCACTGACCTCCTCCATGGTCACAATGGGAGTATCTTCAAGGACAAGCTGAACACCGCGTCGCCACAGACGCCAATGCACGGTGTCACCAGTCAAGTCCACAAAGCAAGATGCATACGTACACATGTCCACTTTCAACTCGCTGGCCAGAAGCCGTGTGATCAGTAGCGGCCAGAACCCACTGGGTACATAGACCATCAAGTAGACACGTTGAAACTGACATCCACGTACCGACCAGTTACTGGAGTGGCCATCAAGCTTAGCTTGTGCCGGTGGCAACTCAGGTAGCTGCGATGGAATGAGAAGAGTTTCAAGATCCAGCTGGATAGCAACTTCAAACTTCCCAAGAAGCTGGACACAGACGTTGGCCAGTTTAGCTGGAAACTTCACACTATTGAACACGTGACTGAGACTTCGAATAGGCAAGATGCCTGAGGGGAAGCAATGCACACAACAGAAACACAACTTCTCAGACCACACTCATACAAATATGGCAGAAGCTCAAGTAACAAAATATGGTGGGCTATTTTAAACTATCTTGGAAAAAGTAGGGTACAGGGTACAGGGTACAGGGGCGCAGCTCGAACATCGGTGGTGTGGTGGCAATGTGCCAGAGCATGTATGGCAACCTGGTAGCTGTCACTTTGCCTATTTTGACTATGTAGTACGTATGACGGCTATTTGGCTATTTTGACTATGTAGTACGTATGACGGCTATTTTCTGGAGTGGTCACCAGGCTAGGCTGACTACACACGGGCTATGCGCCTGAAAAGCATGGATACCAGGCCTGAGACCAGGCCGGGACTCACATTGTTCGGAGGTACACAGGAGGACATTTCACCGAGTAAACAGCATCACAAATGCATACATACGTAATCAACAGCAAGCACCAGACAAGTTGTCTACAAACATTGCATGTACATGTACATGTACATGACATTGTACACTGACTTACCGTCCTTGCTAAAGGGCATGACCTCACGGACAGTCACTACACGAGCCAACACATCGCAAAGCCACTGGGGATCGATGAAATAGAAATCCTTGAGTCGTGAATCGTCAAAGTGCAGTAGCACACCTGGAAAGATAACATGCAATACAGTGGAGGAGAGCAGCATGAAGCAACACATCAAAATTAACGACTGGATACATGTATACATTAGTATACAGGTATGCAGGTATGCAAACACAAGACAAGGTTACACAAGGTAGTAAAAATATAATGGTACCCCACCCTCACCCCAATATCACGTGCCGGTACACTGTCACAAAATGCACAAGTGTGCAACAAGTGTAGTACATGTACAATGTACATGCAAACATACTAGTAGACATGATGTAAACATGAGGTCAATGACACAATTACAAGGTACATACTGCAATGGGCTGGCACATGTGATGGCACAACAACATACAGTGTAGCACAGTGTAGCACAGTGTACACACACACACACACACACACACACACACACACACACACACACACACACACACACACACACACACACACACACACACACACACACACACACACACACACACACACACACACACACACACACACACACACACACACACACACACACACACACACACACACACACACACACACACACACACACACACACACACACACACACACACACACACACACACACACACACACACACACACACACACACACACACACACACACACACACACACACACACACACACACACACACACACACACACACACACACACACACACACACACACACACACACACACACACACACACACACACACACACACACACACACACACACACACACACACACACACACACACACACACACACACACCATGTACCATGTATACGCCCGTCGCAAGAGAAGCACGCAAATCTGCAAATGCACTGGATGTGCACCCACAGATTTTCTCTTTATAGCAACGATAGCGGATCTGATTCTGATTGAAACAGATCAAGACAAGCGCCAGATAACTGTCTAATCCACACAACTGGCGAAGCCATGTGAATCGACCCCCCAATGCACACCTGGTCTACACGACACGGAGTACATCGGAATAGGACGGCCAAGACAGTTACCTATGCACACCCTACACTTGCTGGGGTAACCAGTATAGACAGCACGCTGCTTTGATAAAAGCAGACACTAGATGCACTGGTACCTTGAAGTGAAATTGGAGTTATTAGCCTCGGCAACTGGGTACTGGGAACCCAGGGCCAACAGACGTACCAACAACCTCAGCCATGAAAGCTATATAGTAACGACACACTGGATTGTGGAGCCGAAACTAGTCCAACTTCCAAAAATGCTTTGGCAAGAGGGTAGCCTTCCGACAGGTTGGACACACACACACACACACACACACACACACACACACACACACACACACACACACACACACACACACACACACACACACACACACACACACACACACACACACACACACACACACACACACACACACACACACACACACACACACACACACACACACACACACACACACACACACACACACACACACACACATGACACATGCATGGACACAGGCATGCAGTACGCACAGTGTACACATGCATGGACACACACGCATGCAGTAAGCACAGTCAGAACCTATACCATTGTCATGAAGAAACCGCACAGCCACTTTCAGCTCATCTACATCACCCACAATGGAGCTGAAGTGCTTCCTACACAACACAAAGAGCAAACACACACAAATACCAACAAAACATAATAAACAACAATGCAATGCGGATACATGTAAATATAATCAGGAAATATGCTGTGGACACATGAGAAAACACAATTGACAATGCGCAGGTATAGCATTACCGGGTAGTGAAGGCCAGCAAATAAAGTTGAGCTGTATAATGACCGTAACATACGGCCACCGAAAACAGTGGGATAGCGGTAGGGCCGACTTACATACCGGTACATACCACAAGTACAAATGTTGAATGTGTTCAGCTGTCTTGCTATTAGCGCAGGTCAATAGATACTCTGGCAATACTACATCCAAAATTCTGCTCTCCAAGACAGCTGGCATCCTATTGAAGTGGCTGTGTTAGGCCTCCTCCCCTCCCCCCCCCCCCCCCCCCCTCCACACACACACACGCACACACACACGCACACACACACACACACACACACACACACACACACACACACACATACACACACACAAACCCACGCACGCACGCACACACACACACACACACCTTGACCTTGACAAACAGCTGCCGTTAAACGGCTAAGCTACCCTCATCAGGAGGGGAACAAAGGGGTAGCATCACGGCATCGCAGCAGAACATCCGGCCTCATGCCGCTGCAGATCCTGCTGTCTGCGATATCTCTCGCCGCACGCACAGCAGAACTTGAACTCAAGACGCTCCCTCGCTGTTGGTCGCTTGCCACGCTCGCAATTGTGCCGTTTAAATCCAGCAGCAGATCGAAAGCACCGGTTACATGACGGGCAGTGGAATAGGCAACAATGTTGGTGTTGAAGCACTAGGCGAGGTGCAGGATCGATACACACACACACACACACACATTTGCACACACGTGCATACACGCCAATTGGAGTTGTTCTATTACCTGAATTGCGAATCAGACAAGATTGGCAACGTGCTGCCTGGTAAACTGGAGCGAAATGATGACACAGCGTCTTGTAGAGCAATGTAGGACGCAGGGACCTGTTCTTCAACAATCTTCTCCTTCGACTGGGATCCTACACATCAGCACAATGACAAGATCAGAAGCAAGAACACACAACTAATCACAACTACCATCAGTATCCAGGTTGCACTTCAGCAAGAAGAGCGTACACTTGCGCACGCACACGCGTGCGCATGCGTGTGTTACGCACTCCCAATCTCGCTGTCTATTGAACCCACACTTCTCATGCTACTCTGCTCTCAACAGGGAGTAGTATTTTACTACTCCCTCAACAGGGAGAGTAGTAAAGTACTACTCCCTGGTTCTCAATTTATTCTATTGGTATTCAATGACCAACGCATATGGCCGATTGGTTTGCAGGCCTGCCTGCGAATCATGAGGTCCCGAGTTCGAGACCCGCGCTGGTAGCAGGGAGCGTGTAAAAAGACTTTTTACGCGTGTTGAACTGCGCTGACACCCACGGTCAACTGGGTACTCACAGCTCGGAGTGAGGATAACAAGAATGCAGTTTACAGGGTTATGGGCCGTTACACGCCCGATTGGTTGAGAAACTCACCTCCTCTCCCCTGACTCACTTGTGAGGTCTGCATTTGCCACTAAGGTGAAAAGGCATAGTGGTGGCCTGCGGAAGCGAAGGCTATAGCTTGTGCGTTTTTGAACATTCAAGTGATGCTAACGCGGATCCAGCGAATATTATTATTATTCAATGAGCGAGTGTCTAACATACTTGTTCATGCATTCCAGAAGAAGTACTGCTGGGTGGATTGAGTGGATAAGTGAAAGAAGAGACAAACACAAATGCAGTAAAACAAGACTCCAATGTGTCTTGGCATACCGGTATTGTCATCTGCAGTTCAAAACTAGCACTGTTGTCAGCAGCTTACGTTTCAGCGAAGGAATCGCACAGGCTGTCTCATAGATGCAAGCGCACAGATCATCGACATTCGTACCAGAACCCACACAGCTGACAAACTTGACGGCGACAATATGAGGAAATCCGTGTTCCTCTTGATTCGTGGCCACTGCTGATTTGATGAAGTAGCGTTTGTGCAACGCTGGCAACCAGACATCCGTACAGTGCCTCAAACCACCATTCACCTTATCAAGATGTGTGCCGACGATCACCACAGTGGCTCCCGGCACACGGGCCTTGAAACACACACACACACACACACACACACACACACACACACACACACACACACACACACACACACACACACACACACACACACACACACACGCACACACACACACACCATGTACCAACACACACACACACACACACGCACACACACACACATACACACACACAAACACACACACACACACAGAATAAATACAATTTGACAAAGAAAGAAGACTATTTCCGTCTTGACAAAGGACCTGTTAATCAAGCTATAGGTACTTGTAGCACTACATAAAACAAGTGTAGACATTTCTTATTCATATCTAACAATACCTGGATATTGCGAAGCCAGTCGTCCAAGGCAAGCAAGCCTGCAGGGCCACTAGTGATCTTCCACACAGCCAGGAATATAGAGCGACTTGTCAAAAAGCACTGATGAGTGGCATAGTACTCGCGCTGCAGCACACACGGGTACAGGGTATAAAATCAGACACACACACACACACACACACACACACACACACACACACACACACAGCCAGACACACACACACACACACACACACACACACACACACACACACACACACACACAGCCAGACACACACAGCCAGACACACACAGCCAGACACACACAGCCAGACACACACACACACAGCCAGACACGCACACACACACAGCCAGACACACAGCCAGACACACACACAGCCAGACACACACACACACACAGCTCTTACTCCTATTCATACAATGCTACACATGAATGCAATTTGTCATTCCAAAATCATCTGGTCACAGGGAAGTAGAACCCCACACCACGTTGGCATTAACACAACCTAGGCATCAACAGTACATGTACATGTAGTACATTACCTGTCCAGCAAAGTCCCATGTGCTAAACTGAACTGGAAGAGCGGATTGGTTGGAGAAGATAGTACGACGAGGCGGCTTACACTCCCAACTGCCCAAATCCACGCCAACAGTGGAGAGAATCGTTGCATTGCCATGCCCTGCAGATAAGCAATACATGCACGCATGCACGCACGCACACGTACATACACATGGTTGATAAGTTTCAGGCTCTTCACAATCAAAATTCCAGCATATCCACTAGAGCTTCCATTGCCTTCTCTTCTGGTGGATAGAGGCAGAAGCATCAAATGTACATGCATGACAACGTGCAGGTGATAAAAGCAGCAGCAGCAGCGGCAGCAGGTAGATTAGCGAGAACAAACACAGAGAAAGGAGTAAAGTGATGATTGCAACGCACATTGAAACACAGCAAACCCTACAGCTACAGTCATGCACTAGAAGTGGAGGTGTGAAAACGTGTGATCAAGGTGATGCACATGAATTGTTTTCTGTGTTTGTTCTCACTAATTAACCTACTAGAAGGTGTTTTATTCAACGCACAAACCAATGATGATATGAATGCAATGAGAGCAAAGAATTCAAAAAAGAGAACACCAATCAACCTACTACCAACTGTTACTTATAACTAATCACCTACACCTTGTTTAAAATGTATTGCACTGCTTAGTTGCTTCTTTTGCCTCTATTATATACATGAATATTTAATACAGAACAGAACAACAAGGACAATCAAGGCTTGTTTGCTGCGACTTGAAGTTTCATGCTCTCGCAATCATCAGGCAAGGGGGGGGGGGGGGGGGTGTTGCCTGATGATTGCGAGAGCATGAAACTTCAAGTCGCAGCAAACAAGCCTTGATTGTCCTTGTTGTTCTGTTCTGTATTACGCTCTGCTTCCGCGGTGTTGAGCACTGAGTTTGTTTTGTCGAGTGAGCTAGTTATCTTACACCACCCGAAGAGAAGGCAACGAAACTGGAAACTTTTGAAATTTTGATTATAAAGAGCCTGAAGATTGCTGCACTTCTTAGTCTGGTTACTGCTGCTGCCAAGGTTTTAGCAGAACAGGAGGATAGGAGAGGACAGGAGAGGACAGGAGAGGATAGGAGAGGATAGAACATGGGCTTCACAGCTGGTCCAGCTCAATTTTTTCGGCCGAACATATTATTATTTTTTTTGCTCTTCAGTCATCTACACGCTCCTCAGTCATCTACAAATTTACTACTTCTTCCAACATGTTTTATCGCGCATGGGTGGTACACGCCCTCAAAAGGCACGATTTGCCTTGATTTTTTCAAATAATTTCCCGGGTAAGGTTCCCAGACCCCTCTACTACGCACGAAACCGCACCGATCAAAAAAGGTTCAGATGCCCAAGTTGAATAAGAGAGGATAGGAGAGGATGAACTGGCTCGATAGATGTTTACCTTCCCGACGCAATAAGCGCACCAGTGATGTTTTGCCTTGGTCCTCCAAACCAACAAGCATTAGCTTCATGTGTCGATAGGGAACCGATCTGACACAGGCAAGGACACACAACCACACGACTATACAACATGCAGTACTGGTGATATCCAGTCTAAAACAAAAAAGTCTTGACGAACGTATACCGTAAAGTCGTGTATAAAAGCCGCGGCGAATATGACTTTTTGGGGAATTTTTTTGCAGGCTTCTATATGATACAGGCTTCCTTACAAGACAGGTATTTCTATGTATGTCAACACTAAAACCAGGCTTATGTGCCGACAGTGCATCTCGAAAAATCAGGCTTGTATTCAAAACAGGTGAGACATGCTTTTATACAAGACACTACGGTACATCACTACAAGCAGGATAGATGTTTCCATGCTCAAGCGCATGAAAGAGCGGACAAAGCATGTGTGTGCTCTTGTTTTCTCGAACACAAACTTGGGTGCGTGTACATAAGTGTGGGCTCAACCTCACCTGCAATCATGAATCCGCCCATGCAGCTCACAACTGAGATGAAATCCAATGCCTTTTTAAGTGACATGCCAGCATCTACACTAAACAGGAGCAGCAGCAGTGGCGGTGACAGCAGCAGTGGCAGCAGCAGTGGCAGCAGCAGTGGTAGCGGCAGCAGTAGCATACTTACTTTTTCAGACGGCCTCTGAGGAATGCTAGTGTTGTAGAGATTCCATTGTTTGTGATGGTGGCTGGAGGATCCAGCAACTCAATGCCTTTGAAATCAAGTTCGCACAGGTTGTTTGGTGGCAGGTTGCCGAGTTCATCTGGCAAAGATTGAATCCTGCGGTTGTTGGCCAAACGAAGAGATCGTAGACCTCGAAGTTGCCCAATGCCGGCAGGCACCTGATGAAGAGAATTGTCGTGTAAATCAAGGTTGGTCAGACGAGGGAACAGCGGTGTAGCATGCATCACATCTACCGTGCTCGATGATTCGGCAGTACTGCTTGACGCAGCCTGAACACTACTTGTAGTAACAACAGAATGCAGTGGGTCTGTGCTGGCAGCGTTGGCAGAGTGACAGTCAACCAACGCGACGGAGGAAAGGTTGTTACCAGACACATCCAGCATTTCCAATAGCGGCAGCTGGCGGTGTGAAGAGTTACGGCAGTAGCGTAGGCTAGGCTGCACCTCTACCCCAGCGCGACAAAAACAAGCACCACTCGGGTTGGAGAAGAGTGATTCGGGCATGATGCCGAACCGTACCTCGGCGCTTTCACAACAGTGCAGATTCAAATCTTCAAGCGAAGACGGATATGCACTTATGCTAGCAAACGAGGAGAGAGGATTGTAGGATAGGTTGAGTCGGCGCATGTGAGGAGCAAAGCAAGACAAACCCCTGGGTACGTGTTTCAAGCGGTTGTGAGACAAGCTCAAGATAAGCAGCGGCGAGAAGAGTGGATGTGTGTGGACTTGCACATCCATACCCACTGTACTCTGATCCGAGTCCAACAACTGATCATCCAGTACCTGCTTGCTGCGAATACCATAGCCAGGGTGTGCTTGCCTTCTCTTATAGCTTCTGGAGCGCCAACTGGCACACAGAAAAGACCAACTCTTGCTGGACGAGTCTTGCGGTGGTGTCACAGTGGATGTGGTGTCGCTCAATGCATCATTAGCGCACACCACTCTCTGGGCAGTGATTGCACGATGGCGGCTAGATGCCGACGGATAGAGCGAAGCACTAGCTCTGGGTAATGGCGGGGATGAAGCTGCAGTAGCGCTGGCAACTGCTATTCTCGTCCTGGTGACATTCTGCTGACGAACAGTGCCATGAACACGGGCAGGGAGAGATTGATATCCACTTGGCAGCACTGCAGCAGCAGCAGCAGCAGCAGCTTCATTCTGTGTCACATCACGGTTATTCTCACCATAGCCACCGGAGCAAACAGGACGCCAAAGAGGTGGATCTGGAAAGGATGAGATGAGGTTGAAGTCGAGCTGGAGTGATGAGAGCTTCGGTGCGGTCCACACGCACTCCGGCACAGCATCCAATGAATTGTTACACACAACAATACGGGTGATTGCAGGCAATTCAAACAGACTGTCAGGCAGGAACCGTAACTGGTTACCACTGGCAACTAGCTGCTTGATGTTCAAGCCACCACCATCACCACCGCCACCTTGCTGGGCATTGGGAAACTCTGGTAGCTCTGTTAGATGATTGTGAGAACAGTCCAACACCATCAGACTGGGCAGAGATGATAGCACAGCACCATCAAGACATGTCAGCCTATTCTTGGAAATGTCCAGGTGAGTTAACAGCTGGTAATCGTTCGACCTCGATATTGAATGGTCGTCGACAATCATTCTTGCCCAGTCCGGTCGAAGCAAGCGCAGACCGATGTTCTTCCAGGCAAGTTTCACCAGCCAGCTGGTCTTCAGTTTGCCTTGCCCATCGTCTACTTGGTTAACGCCCGCACTGACTAGTCTTGGATAGTTCAACATGAATATGATTGTCGGAGATAGTGGTTGAGCCATCACAGAGTCATCTTCCAAAACTGCCCGGATCATATCAGTCGTCAACAAGTCGTAGGCCAGGGCATGATAGCCCTGACAGTAGGCGGTCAGCCATGGATACAGAGGAAAGCCAGGGCACTGCAGTTGCACATCTGTGAGTTCAGACGGCGCAGGTTGTCGTTGTCCACACTGTTGAGTAACACTGGCACCGGACTTGACGAGAAGGGCAGCGTTTTCAGGCATGTCAGCAAGAATAGCCGTGACAAGTGGCGGGAAGCCCTTGGCGCATAAAACATCCAAACCGCCGTTCACCGTGCATTCGACTGACTTGCAGGTGACACTGAGAAGACTGCGCAGCATTTCTTGCTTGGCTTGACGAGCGGCCACATGATAAGCGGTCTGTCCATTGTCATCAGCAACATGTGCCCAGGAATGGACGAGGGATTGCCAGGATGCTCTGGAATCACTGGATTCCGAGTCAGATGGCATAGCACAGGAGAACATCTGACATACCGCAAGAAGATGACCGGACTCCAAAGCTACATGCAGTGGAGTTCTCCCACGGTCATCTCGAAGCAATAACAAGTCATCAACAGCATGCCTGTCTTGGGCAGCTACGGCGGCAAGATGTGCTGATCGGAGCATAGCTGCATGACACAGGAGAACATGTAGCAGATATAGATTGTGAGGAGCACTGTGAGCGGCGCAGAGCAGATGCAATGGTGACTGGCGTGACACTGACAGTGGCGATGCTGACAGGTGACATGGCATGGATGGCAGAGTGAGCATTTCCTCGATGGTGGCATACGTGACAATGCTATAGCGGCAACTCAGACAAGCACTGCAAAGCCTGGTGCAAAGGACAACATGAGAAAGTGGCACAGCAGTAGGAACAAGACTGAGAAGACTATGCGTGAATACAGGTCTACTTCTGATGCAACTAGGCTAAGCAGTAATAATACAGGTCTACTTCTGATGCAACTAGGCTAAGCAGTAATAATACAGGTCTACTTCTGATGCAACTAGGCTAAGCAGTAATAATACAGGTCTACTTCTGATGCAACTAGGCTAAGCAGTAATAATACAGGTCTACTTCTGATGCAACTAGGCTAAGCAGTAATAATACAGGTCTACTTCTGATGCAACTAGGCTAAGCAGTAATAATACAGGTCTACTGCTGATGCAACTAGGCTAAGCAGTAATAATACAGGTCTACTTCTGATGCAACTAGGCTAAGCAGTAATAATACAGGTCTACTTCTGATGCAACTAGGCTAAGCAGTAATAATACAGGTCTACTCCTGATGCAACTAGGCTAAGCAGTAATAATACAGGTCTACTCCTGATGCAACTAGGCTAAGCAGTAATAATACAGGTCTACTGCTGATGCAACTAGGCTAAGCAGTAATAATACAGGTCTACTGCTGATGCAACTAGGCTAAGCAGTAATAATACAGGTCTACTGCTGATGCAACTAGGCTAAGCAGTAATAATACAGGTCTACTGCTGATGCAACTAGGCTAAGCAGTAATAATACAGGTCTACTGCTGATGCAACTAGGCTAAGCAGTAATAATACAGGTCTACTCCTGATGCAACTAGGCTAAGCAGTAATAATACAGGTCTACTGCTGATGCAACTAGGCTAAGCAGTAATAATACAGGTCTACTGCTGATGCAACTAGGCTAAGCAGTAATAATACAGGTCTACTTCTGATGCAACTAGGCTAAGCAGTAATAATACAGGTCTACTTCTGATGCAACTAGGCTAAGCAGTAATAATACAGGTCTACTTCTGATGCAACTAGGCTAAGCAGTAATAATACAGGTCTACTGCTGATGCAACTAGGCTAAGCAGTAATAATACAGGTCTACTTCTGATGCAACTAGGCTAAGCAGTAATAATACAGGTCTACTGCTGATGCAACTAGGCTAAGCAGTAATAATACAGGTCTACTGCTGATGCAACTAGGCTAAGCAGTAATAATACAGGTCTACTTCTGATGCAACTAGGCTAAGCAGTAATAATACAGGTCTACTGCTGATGCAACTAGGCTAAGCAGTAATAATACAGGTCTACTTCTGATGCAACTAGGCTAAGCAGTAATAATACAGGTCTAGTTCTGATGCAACTAGGCTAAGCAGTAATATTACAGGTCTACTTCTGATGCAACTAGGCTAAGCAGTAATAATACAGGTCTACTGCTGATGCAACTAGGCTAAGCAGTAATAATACAGGTCTACTGCTGATGCAACTAGGCTAAGCAGTAATAATACAGGTCTACTGCTGATGCAACTAGGCTAAGCAGTAATAATACAGGTCTACTGCTGATGCAACTAGGCTAAGCAGTAATAATACAGGTCTACTTCTGATGCAACTAGGCTAAGCAGTAATAATACAGGTCTACTTCTGATGCAACTAGGCTAAGCAGTAATATTACAGGTCTACTTCTGATGCAACTAGGCTAAGCAGTAATAATACAGGTCTACTGCTGATGCAACTAGGCTAAGCAGTAATAATACAGGTCTACTGCTGATGCAACTAGGCTAAGCAGTAATAATACAGGTCTACTGCTGATGCAACTAGGCTAAGCAGTAATAATACAGGTCTACTGCTGATGCAACTAGGCTAAGCAGTAATAATGCTGCACATACTGTAAGTCTACAACTCTTCGGCCCACACAAATTTCGGCCTCCCAGGGCTAAAACATATTTCGGCTGCATTACATTTTCAGCCTGTACTGCTGCTGACTGTATACACTGCCACACTGAACCTTGCAAAACAAATTTTCGGCCGCAACACATTTTCGGCCAAATATGAGAAGGCCGAAAATAGCTAAAAATAAATATGCACCGAATATGTGTTGACTTACAGTAGGGCAATAGAGCCATAGAGTCAGCTGACACCAACACCATTTCCAACCACTTACTATCATAGTCATAGAGTCAGCTGACACCAACACCATTTCCAACCACTTACTATCATAGTCAGCTGACACCAACACCATTTCCAACCACTTACTATAATAGTCATAGAGTCAGCTGACACCAACACCATTTCCAACCATTTACTATCATAGTCATAGAGTCAGCTGACACCAACACCATTTCCAACCATTTACTATCATAGTCATAGAGTCAGCTGACACCAACACCATTTCCAACCACTTACTATCATAGTCAGCTGACACCAACACCATTTCCAACCACTTACTATCATAGTCATAGAGTCAGCTCACACCAACACCATTTCCAACCACTTACTATCATGTCAGCTGACACCGACACCATTTCCAACCACTTACTATCATAGTCATAGAGTCAGCTGACACCAACAACACCATTTCCAACCATTTACTATCATTGCAATATCTATAGGGACCAATTTTCCCTGTTTAGTTGCAATTGTAAGAATGTTCTGCCCAATGGATCGCATAGCGTCAAAGTCGAGTAGAAAAAAACCTCGCTCTGTTTTCTGTGTAAGAAAGCTCTGGTCATTGTAGTATTGAGCGCTGTGTGCAGGACAGAGAATGAATCCAACTGTGGCATGCAGACCGTGACGGAATGAGTGCACTTAGTTTACATGCTCCCCTGCAAGACACGGTTCGTTACAAAGGGTCAATTCTGTATGGGCTCAAACAGGGAAATGGACAATGGTTCACTATGACGAAATTCGCCACATGCGAGTTCGCTATAAGTGAAGCCAACTGTATTCTGCATGCACCTTGGCCACCCGTGACAGCAGAAGCACTTGTGACAATTCTCTTACTTGTCTACGCATCACTAGTACATGTACGAAACAAGACAACACAACTCACCAGTGTAAAAGTGATTCATCAGCACTTCCTTTGCCAAAAGCTTGATCCAGAATGCCAGGTTCGGAGCTGATGATCTCCTCCAGGCCAAGCAAGTCACCGTCGTTACAGTACGTCACAATAACTACAACAACAGCAAGATGAAGAGCAGCCGCCAGATAAGTAATACACCTCTCACAGAGAACACCGCAAGCCACCGTATCGTCCATATCCAACTACAAGCAACACATGCACTGGTTAACAGTGTGAAATCTCACTGCCATAAGAAGGGCACAGATGCAGTACAGTGTAGGAGTGGTAGGAGTGGTAGCCAGTGAAGTACAGAGTTGGCTTCGAGAGCAACATTGCTGCAGTATATGTTTTGTTTTGTTCTTACTTAGTTGGCTGCAGACAGATGGAATAGCGCTCCATCTGATATCCGCACTGCTGCATCGCCATCCCTATTTCGCCATGCATTACTTTCATTCTTAGGGTACCCCGTAAGAAGACCTTGAGTCTGTGGGGACTGCCCTATTAAAATATGAATAAATAATAATAATATGTGCACAACAAAACATCATTGCACTGTACCCGGGGACAATTCCGCACTTCACAGATCGGTAGGCTCCATCAGAGTAGAACTGAATACTTACGATCATAGAGATCTCTTTGTTTCCCTTTCTTTGCCTCATAGTTAGCTGCAAAATAGAACAATGGAGACACAAAGCAGGAGTCAAAGTAAAATTATCAATAGCGAGCAATATCAAATTAATTACGTCACATTACAACACTTTGTCAAATTGGTCAAAGCACTGCATTGGAAAAAGAAAGAAAAAACCCCCAAAGTCTCTACAGTACAAGCAAACTTGTTGGTAAACAGCTTTCAGAACTACTAGGTTTTCAAGTCTCCTCCAGGAAATATAACAGGAGTACCGTAAAGTACTGTTGACCCCCCCCCCCCCCCCCGCATACTGTCACTTCCCCACTGATTTTTCGGCAGGGGGCGGGAATGAGATCAAGTCACAACAAAGCAGAAGATCAGACTTGGCATGCTGGATTGTGCACATTTTCATCCGGTACTGGCACGTATTGCGTACAGCAGTGCATGCGTCGGTTCATAACCCTATTTCACTGTATACGCCAACGTCGCTTCACAGGCAAAAATTCGACAGGGGGCGGAAATTAGAGAGGGGGCGGATCGACGGTACTTTACGGTACTTGCACAACATGATGATAAATGAGGCAATTATTTTCCTTGTGCGACACCCTCAAGTATGAGAGGAAGTGTTGTTGTGTGTAAAGCAGAACTATTGATTCAGATTACCAGCATGTACATACCAGCAATTTCATCTAGATAGCGTGCAACACCTCGATACCCTTCATTCTTAGCACTCTGCGCAGGCGTTAGCGTACTGGAGCCCCGGTCAGAAGGGATGCAGCCAATGGCAAGAAGATACTTCACACACTCCATATGCCCTCCCAAAGCAGCGCGATGCAGTACAGTCTGGTAATAACATAGAAAACAAAACAAAAATATTATTCGTACACAATACAGTTGAATACTCGCATGCATGCAAGCACGCGCGCACGCACACACACACACACACACACACACACACACACACACACACACACTACGAGTACAATGTACATGTACTTCTGTACAGCTATCAATAGTGGTGGTGTACAGTGCTGAATGCTTGTAATCATCAGTGCGTGACATGTATCTCCTCGGTGAGAGGAGAGTGTCATAACATACCAGGCCATCTGGGCTCACGTGCTTCGGATCCCCTATCACGAAGCACAGAACAGGCACGGACACACACACACACACACACACACACACACACAAACGCGTAATGAAAGCAATCCTCAGCTGGTCGGGTGGAGCAAAATGAATATCGGGGCAGCTTCCTCCTCAGAATATTATTTACTTGGAAGTGAAATTATGCATTCGGGGCACTTGCTACAAGTACTGTTTATTGCACAAGAACCTAATGTTTCTTTGAAGTGTCGTAGTTCTGGCCAGTGAAACTCAACCTCATAAGCAACAACAGCATGATGACTATATCGCAGGCAGGCCCGCCGGAACCGGTCCGGTTGGTCAGGTTATTACCGGACCAACTTTTTGGCCAACAACACAACATGTCATGTTGACTACTGAGGAGGGAACGTGTACACGAACTGTACCAAAGGCCATGTTACAGCCGGACCAATCAAAAATTGCTTCCAGCGGTCCTGGCATGTGTTGCGACATACCAACAGCAATGCAATGGGCCGTGCTGTGGCTCTGCCTGTAGGCTCTTGGCATCAGATATTACACCATGCCAAGATACAGACCCACTCAGTCAGTGTAGACCGGGACTATTACAGTATTAGCTAAGTTATGTGAATGTCTGTGTTCACCATTCCAGGATGATGTGCCTGCTAACCTGGAAGTGTCATGTACATGTACTCATGCAGATGCCCTACCTCCATGCTCGATCAATATCTTCAGGCATTCGACATGTCCTTGGAAAGCTGCATCGTGAAGCGCTGTTCGTCCTAAGCCATCAAGCGAGTTAGCATTCTCTCCGTGGCTCAATGTATCAAGTAACAGCTCTTTTACATCGAGTCTGGCTGCCTGGTGCAGCAAATGTAGGTTCTCGCAACCTTCAATTGCCATTGTACAACTCAAACATGTTCCACGTTCCAATGCACCAAAAACAGGTCCTCAGTGAGGAAAGAGCAGGGCCATTTGTCAAACAAACGAACATCCACTGACAAGGCAACTCAAAGCGTTCACCACCCAGCATGCAGCATGCATGCAGGAAACCGAGAACAAAAAAAACAGACTGCCCAAGCAAGCACATGCACACTGCACAGAGCTGCGACTCGTCTCGACTTCTCAAGTGTCAAGAATTACGGGGATTTTTTGAAATCGTCCCTTCCATCGAAGGATCATCATGATCATGAGTACAGTAAGTATCGTTTATAAAGTGACCGGATATAATGATATACCGGTTATAGTGATAGAACACGTCAAAATCAAAATCAAATCTGAAAAAATACAGCTAAAATATCACTATATACACTATTATCGGCTATACCGATATATCGCTTATTGTGATGGCCTTCAGGAAGCAAACCATATCAAATGTACAGGAAAATATCGCATATAATGATCAAGAGTGATCTTTCTGCATGCTCTTGTCCGTTTCTGGCTGTGTTGCCTCTCACGATGATGTTGCCAACTCACGTACACAGCCACTCATGTCTATTTCTGGCTCTACGCAACTCGTTGGACACCGAGTAGATCTACGATCTACGTGAGCAAGGATCCAGCTCAGGCTTTTTTTGGAGAACACGCTGAAGAAGCAGCCATGCCACATGATGTATCGAAGTTCTAGTACATGTACAGTCTGTACTCGTACTGCACTGCCATGCACTGCTCTGTGTCATGCATGCACCGGTACACAGTCCGCGGAGCATGCATGCACTTTCAGCATGCTTTTTCCAGCGTGTACGCATCATTTCATGTGCAGTCATGTGCCATGTGTCGGTCAAACATGCAAATCGGCTATAGTGATGCACCGGATATAGTGATACATTTTCGAAAATCAAAGGGGCACGTTATATCCGATATTTACTGTACCAGGTATGATGTAGGAACACGTGCGGTGCATTGGATGCATGCAGCCTCGGCCTCCTTGGCGTTGTTTTTTGAACTGTTTCTTCCACTTCGTTCAGAATTATTAATTTTGGCAGGAAGAAAGTAAGTTGTACAGTGTGTAGGCATGTGTCTCTGCTCAGAGCTAAATAGACAGCCATTTCGCCTTCTATTCTATCCACATGTGCCAGTGGACGGTACTAGTAGTAGTAAAATAGGTTTCACGCTATTGGTGTTTGTGAATAAAGTTAATAAACCCGTTCTAAAGGAAAATAGATCAAGATAATTGTGTCATTTCAAGTAATAGTAATAGACTGTCTATTTTTACTTGACGCAATATCTTTATCTATGTCATAATAGTATAACATGGAATGCCGCTCGCTCAATGTCATGTCCCCGACAGCAGTCTCGAGTGTGAAGGAAGGAGGGTCCATACATTACGGCGTAATGATAGCTCTAGTTTCAGTTTCGACACACCTATCCTGACCTAACTGCCAAGTAATACAGTGTATACTAGTAATTAGACACCCTTAGCAAACAACGGTAACGCTATTTTTTACGGTACTCGTACCTTGATCACCCAAATAGCGTTGAAGCTGCAGCGTATAAACGTTATGGGGGCTGATTTATCGTTGTGACCAACGGTACGTGTTTTAGCCAAATATTGCATAGTCCGTACGCATTTCACCTTGTATCGCGTATATGATGAAAAAATTGGAAAGGCTTTCTGTCTAAAGCCTTTCCATACTGGTGCTCGATGTTTTCAGTTTGGGGACACCAAAATTAGTGTACCGCTAAAGACACACGTAGTCGACACTTTGTTGACACGTTGTTGACACTTTGTTGACACGTGACCCAATTACCGGCCTACCAAGTGCCTTTGGCGACCGCTAACAGCAACTGTGGAACAGTGCAGTGCCCTTTTTTGGAGCAACGTACGAGTAGTGCCCATGGATTATGACCCCGCGACCCCAATCTACGTGGCGGTCCGCAATTCGCTACTTCATACTGACTGGCGTCCGGCATCGTCCCGAATTTGGCCACAATCTGCTCTCGGGACCCCTATAGGGCTCCCTGACCTGCTCCATCTCCGCCATCGTCAATGTACTGCGCATCCACCCAGGCCAGGACTGCACTTACTTACGGGAAGGAGTATTTGCAAGATGGAACCTGGGAACTGGAAGACGACGAAGAGGAAGCGTGGGAATCCGGCGGCAATGGCTGGGATGTAAGTCCAACATTGCTGGTGCCAGAGTTGCCACTGCTTGCTTATAAGGGAATCATGTGTGTTGCCTTTTTGCCTTTTCCGACGTCCTCCTCCGACTGTACTCCCGATCCCAGGACTGAACTTACGGGAAGGAGTGCTTCCAAGATGGGAGACGAAGAAGAAGAAGCCGCTGAATCCGGCGGCAATGGCTGGGATGTAAGTCCAACATTGCTGGTGCTAGAGTTGCCACTGCTTGTTTATAAGGGATTCATGTGTGTTGCCCTTTTTTGCCTTCTCCCATGTTCTCCTCCGACTGTACTGGTGAACGCTGTCACATATGTTGCCCTTTCCATGATCCAGGCAGTAGAAGGGAGGGGGGGGGGGGGGAGCACATCCTGGCATCCAGGAATGCTAGGCCCTAGGAACTAGGCAATCTGACCTTTCCTCTTACTCCAATAATGGTATGGATGGGGAGTTCTTGAACATCCTCAGTCTTGTTAGAGTGAACTGTGCAACTCGGCAATCGGTGATAGCAGAGGACCAATGCCGATGGCGATGCTCCTTCCTTTTTCTCTGTCACAGGCTGCGTTCTCGAGAGGAAGCGTCATTTCTGCATTCCAAGAAGGACGGCACAATGGTGAGTGGAACTTCGTGGGTGTGCAGCCTTGCTAGTTGAATTGTAAATCAACCATTCTTCCTGTCTCTGACTTCTTCAATGTCCTCCTCAGTGTCGGACTGTCCGCGTCGCATTGAACTGGTCCGATGAGGCTGCTATTGCACACACAGTGAGGGAACTCCCATACGGGAACTCGGAAGTACTGCTACAGTACAGGTAAGGTGGCCATTGCTTATGTGCGTGCGCCGTTGTTGTCAACTTCTAAGCCAGCTGTACTCCAACCTACATGGAGTTTGAAAGTAGTCAGCTGGCGAACTACAATTGAAGTTTAGACGTTATATGCCGCGGCTTGGTCAGCTTTTTCAGTTTCACAATGCATTGCACTCAGCACCGCTTCTCGGAATATCTTGTCAGGATAGCTGTGGAACGCATCCTCCCCAGTGGGGGAACGGCAAATATGCTGTTCATTTTTTAGGCTTGCTTTTATGGTACGTACAAATCCCCATTGAAAAGACATAGTGGAGACCAGAAACTGCAAATAGATGTTGGGAACCGCGAAGACCACCCTTCCTTGTCAAGTTCCCTGAGGGTGTGGAGGGGGGGGGGGGGAGCGGAGGAGGGACATTCCTGCACTGCTTAAAGCAGGATTCACAGGAGAGTTCAGAAATTGCTTGTACATTTGTACCAGTTGTAACCGACAAACGCATTCTCATTGAGCTTTGACTTGAGGCACGTCAGCAAGGCGCTGTTGCATCGCTGACGTCTTGTCGTGATTCTGTGAATGGTATTTTGTGCGAGTTTGCATCGCACGCAGAATCGCAGGTCGTGTCGCATTGCGCAGCACACTGCCAAATTGCTTCTGTGAATCCCACGTGAATGGGAATTCCAATGGGAATGTAATCCATTGCCAACAGGTGTATTCCCGAGCTGCGCATCATACTGCGAAATTGCTCCTGTGCATGCAAATGGATTTCATTGCTCTTCTGTAGTTTGGGAAATTCTCGATTATGATAATTCTGCGTGTGTGTGTACACCAGCCCTGAACATACATGTAGGTGACCCATTCGTGGTGTCTCATAGCCTACCTCACGACCTTATGCTTTCTTTCTGTATCACTTGTATCTTGCAGGTATATCACCCCGTGACGACCACATCGAAGTCTGAAATTGAAGTGTGAAGATGCTTCATCAACCCCTTCATATTTTTCCATTGCTTTTATTGTGCTTCTACTGTGCATGTGTGTAACTTGTGGGGTATGCATGTGATGACAATGTATGCCGGTGACACGGTCAGATTTTGTCCATGCGTGTAACGTACACCTGCATGCTATCGTTGAAAAGGATCTGCCACTTACGATCTTCGGACGAGTATCAGGTCAGCTTGGTTTTGTGTGGGCTGTACCAGATGCTGTTCACTTCTCTATCTGTTGGATATGTGACTTTCTGCAAGTTTCTGGTGTATGGTGGCCACTTCTTTGCTTGTCTTTGTATGACATTACAATCATTCTGCACTCACTGCTTCCATGGTGTGGTCTGCAAACTGCAATCCTTACGCAAATATCATCACGGTTTGCAATGTTGTGCTTTGGCTGCCAGCTTACCTTTATTTTGTTTCACAACTGACTTCCTGAAGTATGGTGGCCACTGCTTTGCATGGCATTATACACTGTTCATCAAGAATTTTCCTGTTTGGGCCGTGTGTGTGTGTGTGTGTGTGTCACTGTGTGTGTATGTGTGTGCGTGCCCATGTGTGTGTGCCATGTGCATGTGCTTGTTTGTCACAATGTGTCTGTGTGCGGGGTAGCGAGGTGGGAAGGGCTGGAATGTATCCGTGTGCTACTGCAATCGCATGGCTACATACAGTGCATCGCGCGCATGCTCACCATGTTTATCTTCGGAGCTGGGCCGGGGTGCGGGAGGGAACAGAAAAAGAACTGAAATTACCCATATAAAAACCGCTCTGTGAGCGGTTCTGAAAAACCTCTACTGGTGCAGCCCCGTCGTAAAAGTAAGAAATTAGGACTGGTGCATTGTCCTCCCAAATGTGAACTGATCCACCTAAATCGCGATTGACGGGACCCGAACGCACCAGTAGCACGAGGTCGGGAGGGCACAGGATTACAGCAATGGACCGGCGCCGATCAAGTTACCATACAACACTTACAGTACCCCGAAGCCCACCTTTGGGTTTGGCTATGGACCAGCGTCCCCAGCTGCATCCACAGGTAAGAACCTCGTGCTACTGGTGCGTTCGGGTCCCGTCAATCGCGATTTAGGTGGATCAGTTCACATTTGGGAGGACAATGCACCAGTCCTAATTTCTTACTTTTACGACGGGGCTGCACCAGTAGAGGTTTTTCAGAACCGCTCACAGAGCGGTTTTTATATGGGTAATGGTTGTACAGCGCGAAATCAAAGCTATTCTCGTGGCAACAGCGTACTAAAAATAGCGTGCATCTTGCTAAAGGTCGAACCCAAATCACGGTATTTTCCCCCTTACGATAACACCGTTACAACATAACGTTGTTTGCTAAGGGTGTCTAATAGTTAGTTCTATCTCCAGTACATGCTAGGCCCTAGGAACTAGGCAATCTGACCTTTCCTCTTACTCCAATAATGGTATGGATGGGGAGTTCTTGAACATCCTCAGTCTTGTTAGAGTGAACTGTGCAACTCGGCAATCGGTGATAGCAGAGGACCAATGCCGATGGCGATGCTCCTTCCTTTTTCTCTGTCACAGGCTGCGTTCTCGAGAGGAAGCGTCATTTCTGCATTCCAAGAAGGACGGCACAATGGTGAGTGGAACTTCGTGGGTGTGCAGCCTTGCTAGTTGAATTGTAAATCAACCATTCTTCCTGTCTCTGACTTCTTCAATGTCCTCCTCAGTGTCGGACTGTCCGCGTCGCATTGAACTGGTCCGATGAGGCTGCTATTGCACACACAGTGAGGGAACTCCCATACGGGAACTCGGAAGTACTGCTACAGTACAGGTAAGGTGGCCATTGCTTATGTGCGTGCGCCGTTGTTGTCAACTTCTAAGCCAGCTGTACTCCAACCTACATGGAGTTTGAAAGTAGTCAGCTGGCGAACTACAATTGAAGTTTAGACGTTATATGCCGCGGCTTGGTCAGCTTTTTCAGTTTCACAATGCATTGCACTCAGCACCGCTTCTCGGAATATCTTGTCAGGATAGCTGTGGAACGCATCCTCCCCAGTGGGGGAACGGCAAATATGCTGTTCATTTTTTAGGCTTGCTTTTATGGTACGTACAAATCCCCATTGAAAAGACATAGTGGAGACCAGAAACTGCAAATAGATGTTGGGAACCGCGAAGACCACCCTTCCTTGTCAAGTTCCCTGAGGGTGTGGAGGGGGGGGGGGGGGGGAGCGGAGGAGGGACATTCCTGCACTGCTTAAAGCAGGATTCACAGGAGAGTTCAGAAATTGCTTGTACATTTGTACCAGTTGTAACCGACAAACGCATTCTCATTGAGCTTTGACTTGAGGCACGTCAGCAAGGCGCTGTTGCATCGCTGACGTCTTGTCGTGATTCTGTGAATGGTATTTTGTGCGAGTTTGCATCGCACGCAGAATCGCAGGTCGTGTCGCATTGCGCAGCACACTGCCAAATTGCTTCTGTGAATCCCACGTGAATGGGAATTCCAATGGGAATGTAATCCATTGCCAACAGGTGTATTCCCGAGCTGCGCATCATACTGCGAAATTGCTCCTGTGCATGCAAATGGATTTCATTGCTCTTCTGTAGTTTGGGAAATTCTCGATTATGATAATTCTGCGTGTGTGTGTACACCAGCCCTGAACATACATGTAGGTGACCCATTCGTGGTGTCTCATAGCCTACCTCACGACCTTATGCTTTCTTTCTGTATCACTTGTATCTTGCAGGTATATCACCCCGTGACGACCACATCGAAGTCTGAAATTGAAGTGTGAAGATGCTTCATCAACCCCTTCATATTTTTCCATTGCTTTTATTGTGCTTCTACTGTGCATGTGTGTAACTTGTGGGGTATGCATGTGATGACAATGTATGCCGGTGACACGGTCAGATTTTGTCCATGCGTGTAACGTACACCTGCATGCTATCGTTGAAAAGGATCTGCCACTTACGATCTTCGGACGAGTATCAGGTCAGCTTGGTTTTGTGTGGGCTGTACCAGATGCTGTTCACTTCTCTATCTGTTGGATATGTGACTTTCTGCAAGTTTCTGGTGTATGGTGGCCACTTCTTTGCTTGTCTTTGTATGACATTACAATCATTCTGCACTCACTGCTTCCATGGTGTGGTCTGCAAACTGCAATCCTTACGCAAATATCATCACGGTTTGCAATGTTGTGCTTTGGCTGCCAGCTTACCTTTATTTTGTTTCACAACTGACTTCCTGAAGTATGGTGGCCACTGCTTTGCATGGCATTATACACTGTTCATCAAGAATTTTCCTGTTTGGGCCGTGTGTGTGTGTGTGTGTGTGTCACTGTGTGTGTATGTGTGTGCGTGCCCATGTGTGTGTGCCATGTGCATGTGCTTGTTTGTCACAATGTGTCTGTGTGCGGGGTAGCGAGGTGGGAAGGGCTGGAATGTATCCGTGTGCTACTGCAATCGCATGGCTACATACAGTGCATCGCGCGCATGCTCACCATGTTTATCTTCGGAGCTGGGCCGGGGTGCGGGAGGGAACAGAAAAAGAACTGAAATTACCCATATAAAAACCGCTCTGTGAGCGGTTCTGAAAAACCTCTACTGGTGCAGCCCCGTCGTAAAAGTAAGAAATTAGGACTGGTGCATTGTCCTCCCAAATGTGAACTGATCCACCTAAATCGCGATTGACGGGACCCGAACGCACCAGTAGCACGAGGTCGGGAGGGCACAGGATTACAGCAATGGACCGGCGCCGATCAAGTTACCATACAACACTTACAGTACCCCGAAGCCCACCTTTGGCTTTGGCTATGGACCAGCGTCCCCAGCTGCATCCACAGGTAAGAACCTCGTGCTACTGGTGCGTTCGGGTCCCGTCAATCGCGATTTAGGTGGATCAGTTCACATTTGGGAGGACAATGCACCAGTCCTAATTTCTTACTTTTACGACGGGGCTGCACCAGTAGAGGTTTTTCAGAACCGCTCACAGAGCGGTTTTTATATGGGTAATGGTTGTACAGCGCGAAATCAAAGCTATTCTCGTGGCAACAGCGTACTAAAAATAGCGTGCATCTTGCTAAAGGTCGAACCCAAATCACGGTATTTTCCCCCTTACGATAATACCGTTACAACATAACGTTGTTTGCTAAGGGTGTCTAATAGTTAGTTCTATCTCCAGTACAGGAGTACATGTACATGTATGTATGTAGATGGCCAGCACTCTTGCACAGCGTGGCATTGCTGCTGGCTGGCCCAGCCCCAATATCACAGGTCCATAAAAAGCTGCAGCTTCTGCAGAGCACAGCCTGTGGCTAGTCGTGCTTCTTGCTTGGTCACTGATGATGACATACTCGCCGACTGAGAAGACCTGCGATCAAGTCTGAGCTAGCAGTGCTAGGTAAGTGACACAAAGACAGATTGTACATGTACATGATCAGATATGATGATTGTATTGTTATCTCAACTGCACAATGACATACTCTTACATGACTGTAATTAATATTTAAAATACAGAAAATAAAAAAGTCTGGGTCCCTGATTTGGTCCTATTTTAAAGAGGCACGAAGCTAGACTGTGGATCTACAGATCAAGACGAACAGTTGGCTGCTGGATGTGGTTTGACCGCTGTACAAGTTGCCGAAGCTCTGTTGGGCCAAGACCGTCCAGGTCGACTTCGACCCTGGTGAGCTTGGACACACGGTCGGCTGGCTGATGGGCTTGGTCGTTGCTCTGGGCCAGGCAGCCTGGCGAGATGCAGGGTTCTCACCAAAGCAACACAGCGGGGCGCTGTGCCCTCCTTCACGTTTGGCCGCCCCCTTTCAAAATGAACGTGCCACCCTTCAGAGTGCGAGCGCTGCCTTTAAAAAAAATGCATGATGAGTACATAATATTATCATGACATTGCAATAGCACAGCGTTGTATGAGTCATTGCATCCCATAACAAGGCCATCACAGCCGTGGCGGCTGTGATGGCACTTTTGCGGCCGACAAACACTGCAACAAAGCGCGATGAGGTTCGCAGCTCAACGCAAACGTGGCGAATAATGAAGAATCCTTGTCCCCGATCGTAGCGTCTTCTTGGTTCGTTGCAGAATCAAAAAGTCGTTCACTATAGTTACACTGCAATGGGACCAAATGCTCTGAAATGCTTGCAATTGGCTTCAATTTTGGAAGTTATTCCCGGGGAGGACCCCCAGACCCCCCCCCCCCCCCCCCCCTCCATGGCCGCCCCACCTACAAAGTCGGTGCGACGGGCCTGCATAATCATCACTTACCACTGAAACCATACTGATAATGGATTCCAGTGGCCAATGAATAAATATATGGAATGGAAGTCGGTTGGTTGCTTACTGGCGTCAGTGAATGTACCGGCCAAAATGGTGGTAAGAATCACGAAAATATGAGTCTGATTACCCCCCTCCCCCCTTCACTTTTGTTCTGACTATAACCCTGAGATCGTGTCGGTTCCGACGCAC